CGTGAATAATACAACACAAAAGAACCTGAAAGCAAACAAAACCAAAAGTGAAAATTTAATAAATAAATAAAAATAACAAAATAATTAAATCAAGCTTGTCTAAAAGTACTTATCCGAAGCACTATAATCAAAAATTACACATTAGTTTAAAAGACCAGTGCTTCATCCTTTAGTCTCATGACTAATCAAAATTGTACATTTGACTTAAAAAAAACCTCAATAGAAAGACACTCAATCATAATTTTATTCCTGTTATTATTATTCCTACAAATCTCAGAACTCTTCCCATAGTATAAATTATAATAATGTATATATATGAAAAAAACCTGTTTAAACGTAATGGAAAAACAGCATCTATTCAAACTTTTAAACTAACATGAGTGATAAAATTCTATTAAATAAATCAAATTTAAATATTTAAATCATCTAAGTAGTAACTACTTGCTAATGAAATTGTTTGATGACTGATTGTTTTACTGTTTATTTAATATTACATAATGATTAATGAATACTGAGCATACAAGTATCAATATTTACTTATTACTGAAGCAGTAAAACCTGGATGATGCTACATTGTCTAGGACTAATTTAAAACTTGAATTTTAACTATTTTTAGGATCAGCTTTCCTTTAATCTTTGGTTAGAATTGCCTAATTTGCTTAAGTCTACTAAGTGTGAAAATATCTATGTAATTATCATAGACCTTTACTACTTTAACACACTTTTTTCTTAAAACAGCTGTTTTTGGCTTCCTTCATCAGCCATCTTCAGGTTAATTGATCATCAGCTGAATTGGAACTCTTTTCTACTAGAATTTCATGTGGAGAGGGTTTTACTGTTTGATTTAGCAATTTGAATACAACTGATGGGTTCGGAAGAAGAATCAATANTCGAACTTGTGCACGTACTATAGTTTGGGATCAAGTGTGTTTAGTGTAAACGAACCAGGTGTACGAAGGACTAAGTAGCTGTAGTTGAATAAATATCCTGTTTGATTTTATGGTTACTTCTTTGTCATCCTTCCTTTGTCCTCCACACCACCACACTTTGGTTAGAATTGCCTAATTTGCTTAAGTCTACTAAGTGTGAAAATATCTATGTAATTATCATAGACCTTTACTACTTTAACACACTTTTTTCTTAAAACAGCTGTTTTTGGCTTCCTTCATCAGCCATCTTCAGGTTAATTGATCATCAGCTGAATTGGAACTCTTTTCTACTAGAATTTCATGTGGAGAGGGTTTTACTGTTTGATTTAGCAATTTGAATACAACTGATGGGTTCGGAAGAAGAATCAATAGATATTCCCTAGTGTGTATTTTATTTCATTATGTGCATCTGTGCTTATGTCAGTTCTTTGCATTTTTTTAATTGCCTCAGTTCCATGCTGTTTCCAGTTATGCTTCTGAAACCTTAGCTGCATTCAAGTCATTAAATTTGAACAGTACATTCAAATATCAGACAACCTGCTCCATGCGAAATCCTTCTAAAAGAGTTCTAATTCAGTTGATGATTAACCTGAAGATGGCTGATGAAAGCAGCTGAAAACATTTTTCCTTGATTTCTTTGGTCATTTACTCTGATGGGCAAATTTAAATTAACATGGGTGAAAATGTTAGCTTCATTACTTTTTCTGCTGGTTTTTGGTTTTGGTCACTGCATTTATTTTTTTTTGATTGTTAAACAACTATCTGCTAGAGAAGTGAAGGTTTGTGATCAGAGCCAGTGTGTGGTGAGACAGTTGTTTTGGGCAGCATTTTCAAAAGGGTAACATTTCTGGATCACACATTGAAATTTTTATTCATTAGAATGAATAAGAAAGTAGTAAATAAATTATTTACTTGGCTTCTTTGATAATTTTTCAATGTAAATACTATACATCAATTGGTGCTCTCTATTGTTTTTATTTGTGTGCTGCTCTGGGGTGCACAAGCACTGATATTTTTCAGGAAGTCATATACAATATTTTTTTTTCTAGTTCTCAGTTTCCTTCTGTTGATTATAGAGAACTGCTATTTGCTAGAACCTTAGAACTTAAACATCAGCATTGATGAGATATATTAAAGAGAATAATCTGTTATTTAGTTGTGTTTAGTTATTATCCAAACTGCTCATTAGCATTGAGAAGTTTAGATAATATACATGAACCAAACAACAAATTTTTTTAAACCTTTGAGTTTTATCAAAATTTGACCCTTTTACAAGTGAACATTTATGAAGGTCATTCGTGAATCCTCACATTATCTAAGTAAAGATATACAAGTGCAAAATGAACTCTAATTGTTTAATGGGACGAAAGGTTCAAAAAACCATTGTTGTTGTTATTAATGATTGTAAACATTATAGTATAATTTTAGACTGTACTCCAGATATCAACAGAATCAAGCAAATGCCTTTGGTTATTCTAGCAAGGTTGTGAATATTTACCAAAAGAATATTTTAGCACGTTTTTGCCTGTGAAATTAATTACTGGAATAGGTTTGACTCAATTAATACTGCAAGAACTGGAAATATTCTTAAAAATTGAATATTCTAAAATATTCTAAAAATTGAAAATATTCTTGGATGGGGCAATGATAATGAAGTAAATATGAAAGATGTCCATTCCAGTATCCAAAGACATATATTTCCAATCAAAATCCTGAAGCCTTTTTGTTCCCTGCTCATGCCATTTTTTGAACTTTGTTGTCAGTGATGCAGTAGCACTGAAGAAATCAGTAATATTTTTTCTCTGGTGCAAGAAGTTTGTGTATTTTTTTCCAGTTCCATTAATAGTCGTATTGCTACATATCTATAAAAAGTGTTTTAAAAAATATGTAACATCCTTAGTCTGAAAAGGTGTAAGTGATGCAAGATGGAAAAGCTGCATTGATGCATTAAAACCATTAAGATATAATTTCAGAAGTATATACTGCACTAATAGAAATTTATTTGGATGAACAGAGATAGTAATACTAAAACCAAAAACAAGGCTGCTTTTTGGGCTGAGACTATCTTGGAGACTCAGGGCTCAACTGTGCACCATTTTCTAAGGAAAAGAGAAAAATGAGCACTCTCCAATGAGGAAAAGCTGACACTGGTACTCAGGGTCGTGGTGTACATTATGACGGTCTTTGTTGCCACCGTAGTTACGTGTTGCATTGTCGCAGGCCTGTTCTTTGTTCAAACTTTGCTGGCGTCGGCCACAGCCACAACTTTTTTCCCCAAGAGGTCATTCACAAGGCATTTTCAGTGAAATTAGTGGGTTAAAGGGATCCAAATGAGCTGTCAGCAACACACAAGAAAATCAAAACGATGAGAACAAAAGGATATATACACATAATGTGTCACACATTTATCAAAATTCAATTTTGCAATGTTCGCATTTCGAACTTCCCAATGAGCAATGCATGCGCAAATCTCACACTAGCACCTGTTTGTAGAAACAGTGTCTCCATTTTGTATTTTATTTTGACTCGGTTCTTGGTCCCCTGACTACCTACAAGTCTGATTTTTTTATGTGCGCATGATTTGGGCACCAAATACTCTATGCCAAGTTGCAACTCCTGACATTTACTCCTTCATACCTCTAAGATGGCCAGCCATTGACAGCAGTGCAATTTTATAGATGAAATATAGTCTCATCAATAAGTCACTAGCATTTAAAATATCAAAATTTAAATTTTTGTGCAGATTTGTTGTTAGGTACAAAGAGTTATCTAAAACTAACATGGCATCAAAATTATTAAAAACCTCAAATACAATCTTATTGCAATGCATCAGAATTTAAAAATATTCAGCAACAAGTTGTATAACTTTTCTGGCTGTTAAGATTTTATTTAAAAAATAACTTTAATATTATTATTTGTACTATTAATAAATAAAATTGTGTGGGGTGCCTTCTGTTATGAGATTTTATCATAAAATCTTTGTATATTATTAATTAATTGTTATAAAATGGCAAATAGCTCAATTTTTAGGATAGAGCAAAGTTTAATAAAAAATTGTAAATCTTAATGAGTAAAGTCTTCATTAAATCTGACCCTTTTCAAGATACAACACATGGCATCCCTCTATCTCCTCATCCCTTTGACCTTTAACCACCAAAATTTAGTAGCATCAATGCTGCTTATATAAAATTACTATGCCAAATTTAGTTTTTTTAATCCTTATCCATCCTGAGATATTAAATGAAATAGATGCCAACAAACATACACAATCTCGTAACAGATGTTGCCACATAATTTATTTATTAATAGTATAATTAATAATGTAAAAGTTATTTTTTAAGTAAGATTTCTTAACAACTGAGAAAGTTATGCAACTCAGTAAAGTTATTTTTACATTGTTGAGAATTCTTTTAATCTTTCATTCGTAAGGGAAGAAAAGGTTGACATAATTAGCTATATCATTGATTGAACAGAAAATTTCAACAAATATAAATTAGAATAATAATAGAAGTTAATTTATGTAAATGTTTTGTTTTATATAAATTCTTTAAAACTGAATTTATTACATATTTGTATGTATGTGAGAATAATTTTTCTGTCTGTAATAAGTAATTGTGCATAAAATATTACAAAAACTTTATTTCTATTGCCACATATCTATAAAAAGTGTTATTGCCTTTTCTTTGCCTTTACCTTACCAGCAATTACAAAAAAAAGGTGGCATAAACTTGGCTTGCTTCAGGTGGCAATTTTTGGTGTGCTGGTCCTGTTTGTGATACCTGTTATGTGAAAGCATTTGTTACTAAGTAGTTACTACTTTAATAAAGTTTTATATTTGAAATATTTACTTACTTAGTCTTTCCCAGAATAAGAATGGAGATGATGTTTACTAGTTAACACACAACAAAGCAAATAGTGTTGTATTCAAAGTATAACATAATATTAAACTGTTATAATACACATATTTTTGACATTTTTTTGCAAGAAATTTTATATTATAAAAGTGAAATTTCTGATTATTAAAATTTGAATTATTAAATGAAATAATCAAATTTTTTTTTTATTTAACAGAATTCCAATGATGGATCTTTTAGTCCAGGTGACTAAAGCAAATAAAATAAGTCCTGGTGGTCATTTTATTAGTCTTTCTCCAAATAATAAAGACAATTTACATTATAAACCCAACACTCCCATTGGATCCCTTGATACTAATACTATTTACATCATGTCCAAAAGTGCCATGAATGATCAACCTGCTGCAAAGATGTTGCGTTCCCAATCACAACCTTTTGAGGTAAGTGCAATAATGAAATATCTTTAATACTAACTGTAAGATAATTTAAATTATTTTGTAACTGTATTGTTTCAAATTTAGGTTATAAAACTTTAATTTGATTTTAAATTTAAATTTAATTTAACTTTCAATGTTTGCAGAAAACTTTTAGACTGCAAGTTAATCTTCCTAAGAAGCAGTTAATGGTTGTAAGGGTTAGTCCAAAAACAACATTAGCTGAAATAAAAAAGATGATCTGTACAGAAAAGAAATTAGAGTATTCACAGTATTATCTAGTTCATCCAAGTCAGCCAAGTTATCTTATAGATCTTAATTATTCTTTATCTGAATATGGTTGCACTGAAGTTTCTTTAGTTAATAAATCAAGTAAGTATAAAAAGTTTCTTTATGAAGTTCTTAAAATACTTTTTATTGATGTAATATTTTTAAAATCTCACATAAATACAATTTTATTTCAATTTACAAAAAGTGTACTTTTAAAAATAATAATCGTGGCTATTGTATCGTTAAAAATTATTTCTTTATTTTTTACAAACAAAATAAATATATTGAAACATATAAAAACAAAAATATTATACTCTGGAAGTTAATCTAGTATCAAAAACGTTCGATTCAGCATGATACAGTCTGACTGGAATGCTTTCAGTTGATTGGCATTCGGATAATTGACTCTCTACTGTATATGAATAGTGTGGTGTTCTTAAAGATTTTAAAGTTTGTACTGCACATGAAGTTAATTGATCTTAGAATAATATTGCTGAACATTTCAGAAAATTCTTTTATTTTTTTGTTAAGTTTGTCAAATGTTTTAAAAAATGTATATATTTTATATACACCCTACAGTTGGTAATTTTCTAAAATCAGTTTCTGAAGAAGACATTCTATAAATCTCAGATGTTTGAAGTATTAAAATACTTCACAAATACATTAAAAATTGCATTAATCTATTTAATTTTTACTAAGCATTGCATTTTTCAGTAGTAGTTTGAAGTATTTTATTAAAAATGTTTTTCATAAATTTAGCACCAACAAACTTACTGACTCTGAATATTGATATACCGCTGTTGTTATTTTGCAATCAAATTTATATTTTAAAAACTTCAATCTATTTTTTTTTCTTCCATATATTAGAATGACATTGTTAAACCATATAAGAAAGTGATTCCANGTTATTTTTTTTTTTTTTTTTAAATGAAATTTTATAACTATATAGATTTTTCTCAGACTCCCTGTACTTTACTGCTAAACAACATGCTGTGATATGAATATGCAAATAATCTTATTTAATAGAGAGTATTAAATACTGTTAAATAAAATAACCTAACTTAATCACCATATCACTGGTAACCTAAACCTGATCACACATTTAAACACTTCTGCATTGCATTTATGTTATGCAATGATGCACTGCTACTCTTTGTGTTGTGCAGTAAAGCATTTATCTGTCATATTGGACAGCCTATTTCAGAATCCCATTTGATATTTTGGAATGCACTAAAAGGTAATACAATTTTTTTCATGTGCTACAACTTTGTAAATGACAATGTTGCCTATTTTCATTAGCAGTTGAGATTACAACAGCCTTCTCCAATAGAAGGGCTGGAAGGGGAAGACTTTTGTTAAACCTTGTATAATATACAGTATAATTATATATATATAACATCTTTTTCTAAATCTCATCACATACCAAGGTAAATTTTTATGCGAGAGGTTTTTTATTTTGCCAGTTAATTGACTAAAATTATAAATATATTGACGGTTTCCTTTTAAATAAAATGATTTTAATAATAATTTATTGTGGCATTGTATTTGTAATTTACTTAAAATTCAACCCTTTGAGTGAGTGTACTGGTGGCTCCCTCTCCTTCCAGAGTGAGTGAGTTAAAAAACTTTATTTGGAAAGGTTACAATCTTGTCTTCTCATTCATATTTTTAAAATAAACTACACAATATTTTTTTCTGATTTGATTGTGTTGGATAACTCCAACAATTCAAGAGACATTGAGTATGAATCTCTGTTACATGCCATGTTTGTCTTCATGCTATTAGATGCCATGTTAAATCTTGTGAAACTTACAAGAACCATGTACATAAATTTTCTAGACCTGTCAATAGATATGAAACTTTACAGATAACTAAAGATATTTGTTCATAAATATAAGTATACTACAGTGAGACAACCTTAAACATAAAATGCATGCTTACTTTGTAGAGCTTTCCAAACCTTTCACATATGTTTATGTATGTGGGGAGTATTTGTCAAAAGATTTAAAAAATAAAAGATAAATTTTATATCATAGAGAGTCACAGCAGTGACTCCTTGCCAAGTAAAAATGTCACGGACTGACTACATATACAGGAATCACAGTTGCTGATTTTCAGGGATTGATTTCTCCTTCCAAACACTTGAAGTAATTCCAAACTTCCTGTTCTAAAGAAAACTGTTTTCTTAGGTAGTGTGCAAAATTTCAAAATTTTCTGTAATGCAATTGCTGAAATATAAGCAATTGAAAAGTGCAAAAATTACCAAACAAGCTGTATTTTTTTCTTCTTTTTCTTTATCTGGCACTGTAGATGCTGATAGAGAAAAAACTACTGGGTGTAGAAAGCTCAAATTTTAAACTTAAGTCTTTCTCATTATCAGTGAGGTCCTCACAAAATTTCCAGGTTGATAGGTCAAATCTTATGGGGATTTCCCAATAGAGCTAGTTCAGTTTTATGGCTTAATTCTATGCTTATAAAGATAAAATTGCATTGAAACAAAATAATTTTATTCAAAATGTTATTCTGAATAACAAAAGCTCTAATTTATGTGAATTAAGTTTTTATAACAATTTTACTAAATGGCATATTGAAAGTGTTCAGTCAGTGATGGCTACTGAGCACTAAGCAGACTGATATCATGTTGTGCCCTAACATAATGACATAATTTAAAATGTATTTAGACATAAACATAGATGTTATCATCATTTTGTTACATTATTGTTTCTATCATCAAAGTTCACAGTGATTTCCTCTACAGTAATTTTGCTAAATTTTATGATTATAGACTTAAAGTAACATATAAATGGACTATCTATATTCATGCCATCCTTCTCCTGAAGACACTGTAGATTTCTATCTTTTCCTGATGTGTCAGTCAAGGCAGTTCTGTCACATAGTGTAGTAATCATATACAACAAGGCCTTCTGTTCCATTTCTAAAGAGATAGCTTGATATAGTAAGCATAAAATTGTTTTTAGAAGAAACCCTACAATTTTATCACTCCTTAGAAATGAAAAAGACTCCATTGAGAGAAAATAGTGCCTTGACTGAAACATCTAGAAAGAGTAGAAATCTACAAAGTCTTCAGGAGAGGGACGGCAGTTAACTTTAAGGGGAGACACTATTTTGTCAGCCTGAAGAGCATTATTTGAGCTTGCCTAATTCAATGAATCATAACTGACATGTGCAACTTTATGCGTTTGATCTTTAATTTAAAAAAACGTTTTATTCTAAGATTTTAATGTTATTCCATTCATATTCTATCATCAGTTAAACCTGTGGATGTCAATTGCAAAGTGGGCATTTTGCTTATATATACAAAGAAAATAATGAATGGATAGAATGCAATGATACTATAGTAGAAAAAAATAAAATGGCCATGCAATGCAAAAATCTATATATACTTATTCTTAGAAAAGCTTAAATATAACAGCTTATGATTTCTTGATATTAATAAATAATATGCAGATACTCTCATTTTAATATTTCTTTCAGAATAAAACACTTTCAAGCTTTTAACCAAAAACAATTGATATCCAAACAAAAACATCTGAGATGTAAAAACTTATCACAGTTTACATGACAGTCAAAATTTTTCTTAGGAGTTTTTCTTTGATAAAGATAAGCTTTGCACTTGGAAGCAATTTGTAGATGACAATAATACAGGTAAAAATCTTGTGGGTCTTATGGATACCACTTCAAAGCACCAAGCTTATTTTTACCTAAGAAAAATTTTGACTGTTATCTAAATTGTGATAAGTTTTAACATCTCAGATGTTTTTGTTTGGCTATATAAATACAATAATCAAAATTATTTTAAAAGCTTTGATAAAGTTTAAATAAAAATGTTTAAAACATTATTATAATAGCTTCTTAGACTCTTTTTTTATAGAATAAATAAATATATCTAATAACTTTAAATGTACACTACTTTTAAAATTAAAAATTATAATGTTATCAGAAATATGTCAAAAGTATGCTTATCCATTTTTAACATAAGTGCAATTTTGAACATGTTCTTTATTATATAATTGATACAAAGCGAGATCCAATGGTCAAAGTAAGTCTTCCCCATAATAACAAAAAGAATCAGATTAAATACTGAAATTACAACAATTATTTCCCCCATTGTTTATATATATAATGTGATTTTACTATTTGTCTGTCTTTAGAATTATTAAATATGAAAATACAGTCAATTTTTTAATGTCAAGAAATTGTCCTCAAGTATTTTAAATAAAAAATTAAAAAAATGTGTTTTTTATTATTAATTTTATTAACTATTTTTATCTGAAAAATATTTAAGAATTTTAAATATGCATATTTATTTATAAGGTATCAATTAAGAATATTTTTATTTCAGCTATGAATTCCACCATTTCTAACTCAACTTCTGATTTAATTGGTTATCCTATTTCTATGACTGAAGATGAAAAAAAGAAAAAGAAATTGCTTAATATTTTCAAAAGAAAAAGCAAGAGTGTAAATAATATGATGGTATGTTGAAATATGTTTAATTCATAATATATCTAAACCATTTTATTTTTAAGTAATTTATATATAAATTTTGAAATATAAGCAGAATAATAGGTAATTATATCTTTATTACATAATAAAACCTTCCCACTATAAAACTGTAGACAAGTTTTTTTTTATTATAAGATTTTCATTATTTGTGGCAGTTACACACTAAGCACATTTCATAAGCACAGCACAATGTCAAACTCAACATAAAAAGAATTTAGATTATTATTTATCTGCTCTTTGGTTCAAACTACTGTAATGATACAAAAATGAAGCAAGCAGGCATCAAGAAAGAAGAAAAAAAATGCTTACAAGCCACCAATTATGCTTTGTTGAAATAAGCATTCATAACATTAAAAATGTAATATGAAGAACATAGTTGAAAGATTTCTGAAGCAGGTAATATTCATATTTTCTGGTAAAAAAATTTATATCCTTACACCTTAGTTCCTCATACACAGAATCACATACATGAAACAAAAATGGTAACACTAAAACATTATACAATACAGACCAATCACATGTCATCTAATACAGTAATACCCCGAACTTACGCGATAGGTGGGACCAAGCAATAACCGCGTAAGTCGAATTCGCGTAAGTCGGGGTATAATTTCGCAATTTGTGTAAAATCCAAATCAGATGTATGTAAGCTAATAAATGTTCTCGTTAATCTTATCTCGTCTTTTGATTCGTTCACGATTACAAGAAATCGCCACATAGTCTCTCAAGTCTCCGTAGATATAAATAACACAAAATAAATTGTAGCTATGTGTCAATTCTGCGCGACACGTCCGAACATGTAAGCCGAACAACAGTGTGGGGGGGGAGTGAGTAATCAAGAGTTGCGTGGCACTCAAACAAAAGACGAATCTACGAGATTTGAAAATCGCGTAACTCCAGGTTCACGTAAGTCGGGGTAGTGTAAGTCGAGGTATTACTGTACTACAAAATATTTAAATCATGTATTACAAACAAAATATACTAGCTTATTGAATAATACAATATTCTCAGAGAACAAAAAAAAGGACTGTTGTAGAAACTACATGGAAAGCAAACAACAATTATTCTTAGATTCAATTATTCTACAAAAAGTTATAAGCAATTTTTGTAACTGCTATATCAATGTTTTTATCTTAGTCAAGTTTAATATCTACTGTAATGAAAGTTATAGTAAAGAAGGATTTACATGTTTATGGCATGAATTTATTCTGAAATAATCAAAACAATAAAGAAAACAAATTTTTGTAAATGATATGATATACTGCTAACTTAACGGTTGCAACACTGTACATATTGATGATGGTGATACTAAAAACCAATAACAATTATTTTTTACTTTTATTCTCATTATAATAGTTTCTGTAATGATTAACCAATGCAGAAAGCCATTGTAATAGTTAATGCAAATGTCATTCTTACAATTGTGGCACATTGCTGAATGTTGTTTTCGTATGGTTTAGGTTTGGAGACTTGATAACTTACTAGTTTAATGGTTTATATTTTATACAAAACATGTTTTTATCAAATAACATCTTTTGTATAAAATAAAGTTTGTTATTTGATGATTTATTATGTCCTCACATAGTAATATAATTAGCATTTCATAATTTAAAAAGGATTTTTCATGTAGCTTCTTTGAAAAACTGGTGTTTAGTGATTTGAATGTAAATGATGCATTTTAATAAATCAATATTTACTGCATTGGCAAGCAATAAAAATAAAAATTAAAGTTGTTCTTGATTTAAACATGTCTATTATACATGTCTTCATAAACATGTCTATTTTCTGTGATAATCTGGTGGTAGTAGTCATGACAAATAACTGTTGCAGTTTTGCCAGTTATTGCTATGAATTCTGTCAGTCAGTATCAACCTTTACAGAATAGATTTTCATAAACTTTTGTAATACAGTCATACCCCGACTTACGCTACCCCGACTTACGCGAACCCGGAGTTACGCGATTTTCAAATCTCGTCGATTCGTCTTTTGTTTGAGCGCCACGCAACTCTTGATTATTCACTCCCCCACACTATTGTTCAGCTTAATTTAATGTTCGGACGTGTCGTGCGGAATCGACGCATAACTACAATTTATTCTGTGTAATTTATTTCTGTTTGTTATATCTACGGAAACTTGAGAGACTCTATGTGGTGATTTCTTGTAACCGTGAACGAACCAAAAGGCGAGATAAGATTAACGAGAACATTTATTAGCTTACATACATCCGACTTGGATTTTACACAAAAGGCATCTGCAATCGTGAACAATTGACGAAAAAAGTATACATTTATCAGATAATAAACAAAGACTCATTTTGTAAACAATTTACCTTTTGTATATACAACTGACAAGATTACCTTTCAAATTATAAACAGACTCGATCCCAAGCGGTCTTTTGATCGTCGGACATACAAAAGAAATGAACAGATGGCGCCTAACTTAAGCGCGGTTTACAATAACGAATATGATTAATCTTAACACTCTACTATGTCATCCAAACGAAGTAGAACTGATTCTTCTGCATCAAACAAGAAAAGAAAAACTTTATCTTTGGAATGTAAAGTTAACATTATTAAAGACTTCGATACAAAAATGAAAATTTGTGAATTGGCAAAGAAGTTTGATCTACCGGAATCGACGGTCAGAACAATTATAAAAGGTAAAGAAAAAATTCTCGAAGCTGTGAAAAATGCTCAATCTTTAAATTCAAGCATCATTCGTAAACGTCACGGTATTATCGCTGAGATGGAAACAATGTTAAAATTATGGTGTGATAATCAAGTAAATGTGAAAAATTGTATAATAATATAATTTGTTATACATATGTATTGTCTAAGATTTTATTAAACATTTTTTTCTAAATTATTGTTTTCTTTAGTCTCCGGTCTTAATTAAAAATAATTTGTATGTATTTATATGCAAAATTATACCCCGACTTACGCGAATTTGACTTACGCGGTTATCGCTCGGTCCCACCTATTGCGTAAGTCCGGGGTATGACTGTACTTTGTACCATGTCTAAGTATCAATGCAATAAAGACAGCTTTTTAAAAGTAATAAACAACTTTTTTTAATTTGAGAGAGGTTTTTTTGGTCTACTGAAAGACCCAGCTTTAGTTTCAAAATTAAAAACAAAATATGAATCTAATACCAGTAGTGTGTCAACTATCGGAATCGACTGGGGTTGTTCAGAAAATTGATTTTTTTGGATAACCGATTATGTACGAAAAAATACATTATTAATATAGTATATTAATATATCCCATGTTTAAATTTTTCTCTGTTGCGTGTCACTTCGCATTGAATTTTTGTTGATGTTAAGCCTGACAAATTTTTTTAATAATAATAATTGTGGCTATAGTATCGTTAAAAATTATTTATTTATTTTGTACAAAAAAATTTTTAAAAATTTATACTTAGAAGTTAATCTAGTATCAAAAACGTTCGATTCAGCATGATACAGTCTGACTGGAATGCTTTCAGTTGATTGGCATTCGGATAATTGACTCTCTACTGTATATGAATAGTGTGGTGTTCTTAAAGATTTTAAAGTTTGTACTGCACATGAAGTTAATTGATCTTAGAATAATATTGCTGAACATTTCAGAAAATTCTTTTATTTTTTTGTTAAGTTTGTCAAATGTTTTAAAAAATGTATATATTTTATATACACCCTACAGTTGGTAATTTTCTAAAATCAGTTTCTGAAGAAGACATTCTATAAATCTCAGATGTTTGAAGTATTAAAATACTTCACAAATACATTAAAAATTGCATTAATCTATTTAATTTTTACTAAGCATTGCATTTTTCAGTAGTAGTTTGAAGTATTTTATTAAAAATGTTTTTCATAAATTTAGCACCAACAAACTTACTGACTCTGAATATTGATATACCGCTGTTGTTATTTTGCAATCAAATTTATATTTTAAAAACTTCAATCTATTTTTTTTTCTTCCATATATTAGAATGACATTGTTAAACCATATAAGAAAGTGATTCCAGTTGAAGTTACAATCCTCCTTTTGAGAATTGCTGTTCTACTCTATACTGTGATTAGTATAACAAATGCAAAATGATCAAAAGTATAAAACAGATGTGACAAAATGAATTGTTAAATAATGGTAAGATTAGCATTTCTGTATATGTTGCACTAACGCATCCCATAAAAATTGTCAAAACCATCACAGTTTTATTAAAATTGTGGTTGTCAGTTTTCAGGCAAATGTCAGTGTTTTTTGGCCATAATAGTTTTTTCAAAATTGAGGGTTGAGAGCTTTTGATATCACATTTATTGCATGGATAGTGGCAATCAATATTCAAGTATGCATTGTTAAATAATTAAAAGTTCATAAAAACATTTGTATTTCATTCTTAGAGAATAGCTTTACAGTAATCATAAATAGATCATAAAATTTTTAGATATTTTGATATATATATTTTCAAATAACCTACTTTCATAAATTCTTTTAATATTTTATAAATTAATGATAAATGCTAAATATATTTTACATAGCTGGCAGGAGAAGCTTTTAAGGACACAGCAAGAAGCAGAGGAGTTTCTCCAGCAAGGAGCGATATATGTGATACTCATTCTCTTCGAACAAAAAGGCAAAGTACAAAGAAGAGAGCTCCTCCTCCACCACCACTACCACCACCTCCACCTCCAGTGCAGCCTCAGCCTGAGGTTACAGCAGAAGCAGAAATATCTACTAAAACAAATTCTTCTTCATCAGAACCAGTGTCTACTACTGTTGGATCCACTACTATCATTACCACTATGGTGTCACATTCGAGACAAAGTTCAGATTCCAGTGGTTATCATGAAGCATCTGTTCTTAGTGATTCTCCAGATAATTTGTCTCCTGAGACTTCTAGTGGAAGTGGAAGTAGTGGAATTCACAGTACAGACAATACAGAACAAGAAAATCAAAAAGTTGCAGTTTCAAAAAGTAATTCTAGGTTGAAGACACGTGAAAAACCTAATTTCAGTTCAGTTGCTCATTCTGTGTTAATTCTTAACGCTAATAAAAAAAGAAAAGCTCCGCCTCCACCTCCACCTCCTCAACCAAATGTTAATAAGGAAACTATGAAGTCTAATACAGAAATTAATGCTATTTCTTCAGAGAAAGATATTACACCAGTTTCAAATGATGAAAACGATTTGCCTTCCAAAACAGTTACAGAAGTTAAACCTGTTACAATAGAAATTGTGAATGATTCTTCAAACAAAGATGCCACTTCAGTTCAAAAAGGTCCAGGTGAGTCAATATTCATCAATTATTGAGCTTTCTATATATGCTTTAAAACAAATAGTGCTGTTTAGAGTGACAGATGAGTTCATAATACTACATCTTCAAATTGTCTAGAGTCAGACAGAACTTTCTACTCCAAGGTTCTTAAACAAATTTTTTGAAATAAAATTATAAATTTTGTTGAATGTTGAGGATAGGAAAATCATGGTCAGTTTCACAAATCAAGAGTTTATCAGCCAAAGGATAATTAGGAAAACTCTGGTTCAAACTTGCCATCTCTTTCCAAAAGAGATGTTAATTTTGAATCAGATGGTATTTAAGATCTTGATATCTGTAAAAACATTGAAGTAGACATAAACAACAACATAATAACTGAATTGGAAGATGCTGAATCAGATTGACTATGAAAACAGTAATTATTTCAAATGTAGCTATAACTCATAAGTAGTCAATAAATAAATGATCATTCACCACACCGAGATATAGTTAATCACTACTCTGAACTGATTTACAGTGTGCAGATAAAGAAAACAAACAAACAAAAAAACAAATGTTTTTGAGCTCCCTCCAAGTTGTTCTTCAGGTTTTGTAACAATTCCCCAATGGTTCTTCTTAACAGCTTTTGTAATAAAATATAAGTTTGAAAAAATTAAAACCACATTGCACCTGCACAAAGAGTAGCCCTACCAAGACTCAACAAATGGCTAAACTGTGTTATCAATTAACTCTTGCCAGGCCATTGACAAAACCATTTCCTCTTTATCCAATTTTACATCAACGTGCATAAATTATAAAGAGGAAATAGTTTTGTCAATGGCCTGGCAAGAGTTAATTGATAACAGTTTAGCCATTTGTTGAGTCTCGGTAGGGCTAAACTGTTAAAACCACATTGTGCAGGTGCAATGTGGTTTTAATTTTTCAAACTTATATTTTATTACAAAAGCTGTTAAGAACCATTGTGGAATTGTTACAAAACCTGATGAACTTGGAAGGAGCTCAAAAACATTTGTTTTTGTTTGTTTTCTTTATCTGCACACCGTAATTGGTTCAGAGTACATGATTAGTCAATAAATAGTTTTGATAGTTTGTAAAATATGTGAGTAAGTAAGATAATTCTTTCAATTTTTACCCACTCATCACCCGTTGCAAGTTAATAAATTTCAGCCTCAAAAAAGCCCTGAGTCTTCAAATAAATCTAAGTGGGTATGACATTTTTAAAAATAACTCCCTGCATTTAACTGCACAACACCGGGGTGTAAATAAAACTTATGACTCACCAACCAATCAACCGGTGTGAATAATGTTTAAATGACAAATATTTTTGTTACCCCTTCTGGGTACTTCTTCAGGCCAATTCTTATTTCAAGTAAGATGGCTGTTGGCACAATAATATTAGATTTATTTTCAAATGTCAATGGCCAGCCTACTTCAGATCAATTCTTATTTCAAGAAGATTGATTAATTAAGCCCAGGGGGTTGTTGATTGGTTAACCCCCTGGGTTTAATTAAGTCAACATGGTATATTTTTTATTTTTCTGGCTGTTATATAACAGAGGAGCTAGTATGGCAATTGGTCAAAAAAAAAAGACCCCACAAGATTTTTACATTTTTGGGACTCAGGACCTTGAAATGTTAAAATGCAAAAAAAAAGTTGGGCGTTTTTTTTTTCTGTGTGAATATATGGATATGTATGGGTGGCATGATTTTGTTTACCCACTTTGAAGCTTGACTCCTGACTCCTGTGCTTTTTTGTTGAAAATTTCGGAAATTTTGCAGGGAGGTTTGTGTATTAGGGAGATTGACACTATTAAATTTTGATGTTTAAAGGACAAGGGTTGGGGAGATAAAGTTGGAGTTGGGCTTAATGAAAATTTTATTCATTATTAGCATTTACAAGGTTTTATAAAACTCATCTCTACTACTGAAAGTTAATCTTTTTGCCATTTTATAATAAAAATTTTTTATATTATTATTTAATTATTAAAAATCTCAAAACAGGTGTGCCCCACATAATTTTAACATTTTTGCTATGAAAATTACACAAGTTTTTGCTGGATATTTTTACTGTTGTAATCATGTTTTCATAATAGGAACTGTTACATATGTGATATTCATTTCTCATTAATTAGAATTAAAGCTTTACAGAATTTTTTAAATCTAGTTTAATGTCTAATGTTGTTAAAGATAAAGGTTAAAAACATTCAAATTTATTCAACAATTTTCTAGTATCAGCTAGGAATAATGTGTTTTAGTAGTAATATAATTTACTTTTTGTACTTTTGTTATACTTTATTCCTTTACTTACCTTTTTTATTTTAATAAAAATTATTTTAATTTCAATATCTAAATTTTCAAACTTTTCATTTGAATCACTAAGTATCTCCATTTTGGGAAAAATTGTATATTAATAAATCAATATTTCATTTATTTGAATATTTATTTTTTAGAAGATTGAAGTGCGAAGAGTAATGGTTTTATTTGATATTTGCAGATCCAGATTCTTGTATATCACCAATTAAGAATGGAGTTGATTCTATTCTCTCCGAACAAGGAGATGCTTCTCCACTTTCTTCTCCCACAAATTCTTCTCCTTCACATAATGATAGCTTGAATGAACCAGAAACACCTGATTCTAACACTAAAAATCATCGCCATACTGAAGAAGAAACTGGTGAAGTAATTCATTTTCTGGAGAAAGGTGAAATATCTTCAAAATCTTCTATTATTCAAGAACTTATATCTGATTTCATACCACCACCATTAGAATTTTCAACTCCTAGTACTCCAACTGAATATGTTAATACTAATGAGAAGAAACCAGAGCCCATTCCTCGTACTAACGTTAATCGTGATGATTCTTTCAAGACAAAAACTTTTCCTACTCCTCATCCCCGACTAACCCTTCAAAATTCCTCCACTGAATCAAATAAATCATGCAGAAGATCACTTAATTTCTCTGGTGTGTGCTTCTTTCTAACAAATCCTTATTACTATCATTAAAGGCTGATTCATACTTTATGAGACTGGAAAAAGTGTTTTTTCTTTATTCTTTTCTCTCCAACATTTATATTTCAGAATAATGAAAAAGAAGCATGTATACTTGTAGTATTTTTGATTTAAAAGATTGCATCTCTTATGCTATCAAATCATACCTTTGAATGTAGTTATTATTTTTTTTAATATTTTACAAATATGAGAAAATAAGCATTTTAATAAATTTGAAAAGAAGAGAAAATGAATCTGAAACATATTTTTGATATTTCAAATAAATTATTAACATTCATTAAAATTTTAATCATAATATTCTTATTTTTTCTTTCCTCTTTTTTTTACTGAAAATAGAATGTTTAATTGTTTTGATAAACATTTCATTTCATTGATTTCCATGTTTAGCATGCAAGGAACTGTGGGTTATGAAGAAAAGTAGCTAGCTCTACTTTTCTTCAACCTGAAAGAGAATGGAATTATATCATAACTACAAAGTACTGTACATAAAGCTATTTTACTGTTTAACTGTGCAAAGTTTGTTTTTCTGTTCTCATTAAGTACAATTCAGCCTTAATATAATAGTATTATTTTATTAATATTAATATATTTTCCTTAATGCTTTATCTAATTATGAAAAAATATGAAAACACTTCCCAGCTAATAAGATATTTGGTATTTTTAAAATAGATTGTGTATTTGAAGAAAATAGTTAACTAAATTGGGTGTTAAAGTTCATACATATTTATGAAAAACTATGTCCATCATTTATAGACTATCATCAAAACTGATCTTATGGCAGATATAATATAACTCCTTGAGTTCCTTGAGTACTTGTTAAATCCTGTAATCTTGTAGTGATTATCTACATTAAAATTTCATTTTTAATGTACTCTGAAATATTTTAAATATTCTTAGTTTGAAATTTCATACTAATTCTAAAAGATTTCAAGTATGGAATTTCAGTATGTTTACTTAGATCTGTTTATATAATAAGAAGTAATAATAAACTATCTATTTTCTGTTTATTTAAAAAATATTTATGCACTTTATTAATATACATTTTTATAAAATTAAAAAATGATGTCATTATTATATGCTATATTGATAATGTTGAATACAAAGTTAAATTAAACATTATGTATTACTGGGAATTGTTTTTATGGGTTATTGTGAAACAATTTTTTAAGCAAAAGTTAAATAAATTACAACTAAAATTCTCTTTTAAATTTACTGTTTATAGCACATTTCTAAGGTTTAGTTATAAAACAAATTTCAATATTCTTATATTCTTCACTAATACATTTACTTATCATTTCATTATATTAATAAATGCTATAAAAATGATATATTTAATTTTTGAATTTATATTACAACAAAACCTCATTAAGTTGAAGTTTAAAGGATAAAAAAAATTCCTGACAAAGTTAGTTTCAACTTGAGTTTAATATTAGATTTTTTCAATTATCTTTGATTATTGAAACAAAAGATATCATGTGAATATTCATAGTTTAAAGAATGTAGAATGTTTAGAGAATATTCAATTATAAAAGAAACTATCACCTTCTCACATATATATATATATATAGATTAATAGATTAACAAGAATTTAAACTGATATATTGGGTAAATAAAACTTTAGTAGATTAGATCATCATCATCAATTAAACTTTTAAAACCTTTATATAAATTATTATTATTGATTAAATGATTTTTTCATCTGTATATATATATATCAGATCAAGTGGTCATATTTCAGAATTACTGTTGAAATTAAGGATTCAGTTTAGTTCAAAAGTCTGTTTTGAACAATTTAAAGTATGAATTTTGTAAATGTTTTAGTACTTTAGTATTATTGCAAATTTTTATTTGATAAATTGTTTTCTAATAGTCAAAATTGAAATGTTTTAAATATTTAATTCCAATAAGATTTATGAGTTTATCCTATGGCCCAAGGATTTCTATTCACTTGAATTTATGTAAACTGTTGCACTTGGACATTTTTGTACAATTAATAATTTACAGTGCTTTAGGTCTTAACTCACTTATAATAATGAAAAATATAATTATCATTAATTTCCATTAGAATTTCTGGAGGTGCTGTCGGGACTTTTGATGACTTTTGACTTTTTTGATTTTAAATTATTTCAAAAGATGATTTATATATCAATCACACAGTCATGACTACTTTATAAGATACATAAATGATATTAAAATTCATTGTTTGAAAGAATTCTAAAAATAAAATAAGTAAAAACCAGGAGAGTAAAAATTTTCTGATTTAAAGTAGATATGACATACCAGGCAAGGATTTTGAAATCAACTCATCAACCAAGTGAAATATTGCATAAATATACATAGTAAGATGTTTCATGCATATATGGTAATCTTATGCATGTAATTGAATAAAAATGTTGAATGTCACATATGTTTATGGCATGCTGAGAAACTCTTGACTAACTACAGCTTATCAAAACAGTCTAATTTCCATCAGTCTCATTAAAATTCTTCTGAATGAAAGAAATGTGAAAACATCTAGAAAATGTTTCCATTAATTAACTGCTAAAATATAATAGTGTCATGAAATTGCTCTCTAGATGGGGAAAAATTGCAAATGAAGTGGAAATAGGAATCTGAAAACTTTGTATTTCATTTTAAAACACTTGAACACTAGAAAATTCAATATTTCAAAAATTTTAAATAATTACCAATCAATGCCCTTCTTTTCAACGTTATAACCAATTAACACATTCCATTTCAAAAATTAAAAAACGAATTCAACNTATAATTGATTATTTTTGTTTTAAGGAATTGCTATAAATAATAATTAAATATTTTTAATATAGTTTTAATAAGAATTTCAGACTTTTATAAAAATATTAATACATTTTAGTTAATATTTTATTAATTAAATATTTATGTGAATTTATAATTAATGAATAATTTAAATGAAACATGAAACTTTAATAACTTACTTATTAGAAACTACTTTATATTTTTAATTGAAATTTTATACTTTATAAATTTCATGTTATAGATCAACCATCTGACCAGAAAACCATTGAGAAAGATAAAACTGCAATACATTTGCATGACACACACACAGTTGAAGACAAAGTATCTAATGAAGATACTAAAACAACTATAAATTGCTCAGGTATATTTAATAAATTTAATTTTAATTCAAAGAGATTAGTTGTAGATTCCTAATATTACAAATTTTGATTACAAAAAGTTCTTCCTTTATTATTTATACATTGTATATAATAATCTCATTCTTTTGCAGTTTTCCTTCTTTTTGTGACTCTTATCAAATATTTTAGAAGAGTTTTTATTTGTAAAGTTAGCTTCTTATCTTTATTTGTATTTTTTTAAATATTATATGCCTACTTGGGCCTTTATTTAATCAGTACTTATTACACTTGAAGTATGGAAGAAAGTTATTTTTATCTTCAACTTATTATCATGATGAAGTATTTAATTTATAGTTTTGTGAATTTCTCTTAACTGATTTATATAAACTCAAACTTTTGGCCAGTAAGTAATGAAAGAGAAACATTATATATTTACATAAAAAGAATAAATTAACTTATAATAATTCTATTTTTATCAGTTTTTTAGATAACCATATTTTATTTACCTACCAAATGATGTTGTATATGTATGTAATATATATTACCTTTGGAATGTATATTCCAAAGACGATTCACCTCTTGTGAGTGTTTCTGATGAACTCATAATATGACATGGTTTGGCAACTCCTGGTATAGTCTATTGATGCTAATGAGTAGCATAACAGTTTCAAAATAGTTTTGTAGAGATTTTGGTACTTTAATAGTATGTATCCTACAAATAGTATTGGTTAATGTGACTAAATTAGAGAGGAGAAATGAATTAATAACTTTCAAATTTTAAACTTTGTGTAAGAATTGAAGTTTTGTTGTGTCATCTGTTGAGGTGCATCATGATGAAAGGAAATCCAGATTATTTCTGAATTTTTTTCCCCCACACATGTTTGTAGTTAGTATGAAGTAAACTTTTTGGTTCTTCCATTGATCCCGTAGGGAAAAAATTTTAAACACCCCACCCAGATAAGGAATCCTCTTATTCTTGAGATAAAATGTTTTTAATGCTTAACTATTGATACCTCATCATCAGATCTCAAAATATTCTACTTTGAATATATCAATATATTCCAGATCCATTTCTGGCACAATTTAAAAACTGAAAAAAAAATTCAAAAAGTTTTTGTCTATTTACATATAAAATAAGCTTTTAAACATTTAAAGACTATATATTAGTATATAGTTGTAAGCTTTGTTGCCTCTAAATTAAATTATCTCAAAAATCATTTGGTTTCCTTGGCTTCATTACAGTTCAATAAACTTTGTATATCTCCACTGAATAGTTTTGAGAATTATTTGTATTTAATTCACCTTATATTAGATAACATTTGTCATCTATAGAACATGAAAATTTTAATATTTATTTCATAGAAATTTTCAAAACATTGCCATTATTTTATTTTGTTAAACAAAATGAAATTCTGTTTATATCTGAAGATTCAAGCTTAATATATATGTATATTAAAATTATCTCTGATCTTTAAAGATAAAATATAGTTTAATAATTATGTTTTCCTTCAGTCATCTTGTTTCCATTTATTGGTTTATGACATTCAACATTTTAGGATATTCTAATTTTTATTTATTCATATATCTTTACAGTAACACTAGAACTGACACTAGAACTGTTTATTTGCCGCACTCTTTGGTATAGACGAAAAACATGAATAGGAAAGAAGAATAAAAGTTTTAAGAAGGGTTGAGGTGGAAGGTGAAAGAAAGCGAGATAGGACAGAGTGAAAGCTGAGATATACAATTTGACCTAATGGTCACAGCAACTTTTTACAATTAAAGAAAGAAAATATTTACAGAGAAAACGTGTGAACAAAATATGGGTACAGTATTTACACTGAAGAGTTACATGCTGAACTTTTGCGCTTTAAATTTTTGTAGCAATACACTATATAAATGATTATATAAAAATTATTAAACCCAAAGAAAATATATTTTGAATTGAAAACTTCGTCCACAGATTTAAACTCGTACTGTACATTTATATATTTCACAAAATGTTAATTTACTTGTTTGGAATATACGCAACAATTTATTTTAATGACAAATGAGATATTAATAGGATGTTTACAAATGAAAAACTGTTGCTTAGGGATAAATTTAATGGTATACTTATAAAATATTATAATGTTACTAAAAACATATAGAAACAAAGAGAACATTGATACCAACAATAAAATACAAAATTTTTAAAGATGAAGCTCATGCAGAAAGTAAATACTTTTCAAGTGCATGCAATCGGAATAAAATTAGTCCAGAATCTTTATGCTTGTGGCAAAGTTTTTTAGTGCATTAAATAGTTTTTTGCTATTTGTTAAAGTACTTAATTGGCATGGCCACAGTTCATTTGCTGTACGCACAGATTCAATTAACACTTTCCTTTGCCTACTGTAGTGGGGACAGTGAAACAGAACTTTACAGTAACAGAAAATAATTTAGATTGTCATTTGAAGACTTGCACCTTTTGGTGTATCAACAGTATTTGTTACTGTACAGTTATATAAACAACTTTGCCTGTGTGGATTTTGCAAGCAAACTTCATTTATATTCAGTATTTCAACAACCATAGTAATTATTATATAACACTTACCGATGAGAATGATGAGAATTGCTGAGAATCAAATAAACTGTTTTCAATTTGATCAATTTTCTGGAACATTTACAATCGTTCTATAATCGAACCAATATGCAATAACAAATTCGAATTTAAAACAATTTGAACATTTAGTTAAAAAGTCATTGTTATAAATATTTATATATTTTGTCTGAAATGTTGTCAATTTAATTTAATACACCTAAGTACTCAATGAAGACTAAATGTAGTTGAAAACAAAAATTACATCTAAAATAGTACAGTAGAAGCCATTCTTCAGGTTAAGCCTTAATGCTCTCCCTCTCCCCCATGGGGAAATTTAGAAAAATCCCTTCTTAGTGTATGTTTTCATGATGTAGTCTAACTGTGTACCAAATTTCGCTCCTTTAGGTTTAGTAGTTTGCTCTGGCAATGGTCAGTCAGTCAGGACAAGTAATTTTATATATTTAGATGACTAAGTATTGAGAAGTTGTTGTTGTTGATAATATACAACTGATCTTGCTTCTATAACTTTAAATAGTTTTCCTTATTTTCCTGAATTAAGAGATTAAACTAACTTTCAAAAATTAATTTTGAAATTTCAAAATGCTATTATATTGTTTAGGATATAATACTATTGTACTACATTTTCATCTGTATAAATAAACCTTTTATTAAATTTTCTTTTGTTTATTTGAAAATAAAATGCTAATACCATTTCTTTTAAAAATTACTTCTATTGCATGTAAAATAATTTGAATTAATCTATCTGAAATTTACAATTCATAATGAAATGATTACAGTCCACTGGCCCTAAAATGGACTCATCAAAAAGGAACACCAATAAAGCAAATTCTCATGTTAAAGTGAATTTTACTGTTACCCTGATAAAATACCATTATTATAACACTAATTTTCAAGCAATAAAGTGAACAAACATTTTACCAGAGTTTAATAAACTGAACAGTAAATAACCTTTGTGGGAAAATCCCCAAGAAATAACCCTATTTCCAATAATGGTTGTTTTTTATGCTTTTCAAAATGAACAATAAAAAGTGACTGTGATAAATGTTCCATTTTGAATAGAATAGATTTTATTCTCCTAGTAAGCAAAGACTGGTTCAACCTCCAATTTCCAACTGTAGAGCAATTCAAACATCTGGTTTTAGTGGACTATTCAACTGTACTCAGAAAACGTGGGTTAGTGTAAGGATGCCCAACCCTTTAAATGGATGCAGTCCCATGCAAACACTTGCTAGTTTGTATATTGGGGAGTGCATAAAGTGATACCAGGCTTGGCTACTTTGTGCTAAATTTGGCTTCTTTATTTTACTTTTTTAGCACCAAACAAAGGAGTTGGTGCTTTGGCTATATTTGCATTGCCATTAAAATAATTCAAATTTTTACATTACACTCTGCACAATAGTGTTAGGACTGGTCAGGACACTGTTTGATGAAAGTAATGATTCCATAAATGAAAGAGACATTGACAGTGATGATCAATTGTCCAAACTTTCTTTCATGGGTGCAACAAATGCAGTAGACATCATACACCACTATCTGCAGTTTGAAAGTGACATAGATGAATATCTAAAGATGACATTTGTGATTGAAAAAAATATATTTTTTAATTTTTTTTCAAACAATATTCAACAGAAAAAAAATCGCTACTTTTTTTTCCTTCTTAAAGCTTTGTTTTGGTTACCCGCTTTGATACATTTAAACAGCAAACTGTCTCCTCATTTTGTTTGATTTGAAAATCATTTAGAGCACTTATTTGTTTTTGTAAATAAATTTTATTTTATTTAGTAAATTAATTCAAAATATAATTTAGAGATTTCCATTGCATATTAAGCCTTAACTCCCTAAATTTTACAACCTTGACCTTAACTCTGAAGATTGTTAATATGAATTTTTGAGAAAATGAACAAATAGCTGTTCACATAGTGATTTGTATTAACATGAGTTGATTGTATTTTAAAATTTAATTTGAAAAAAATTTAAGTAAAATATATTTAAGTCTTCAATTATTACATCTTTATAGTAATGTCAGGTTTAAATTATCCATTGTTAACTTATCAAATATTTCCAGATTTGTTTTAGTTAAAAATTTTGGCAGCATTTATCTTAGATTTATATACTATCATATATCAAATTTTAAAAGAAGTGGGAGAAATTAATGTAGACAATATTTGAAAGATGTATCTGATAAGTATTGCTTTCAGATTAAATAGTATTTCCATTCATTTGTACATTTTCATAAAAACACTATTGTGGATCAGAAACCAGAAGAGTTAATGATTTATTAAGTTAAATAATTACATTAAATTCAGTGATTTTTCTGATCTGAGTGAATTAACAGTGTGTTAAAAATTGTTGCAGTTGAAATAAAATTGAAATTATAACTGATTTTTAATTTTACAGAATAATAATCATTTAGTTTTCAGACCATGGTATATCAACTTTTAAATACTATAATTTTTCTTCCTGTTAATTAATTGTCTAAAATTTAAATAAATTAATTTTGAATTTCTTACTTTAAATTTAAAGATTAAACATCTTATATTACATATAAAATTATGAAATTGCTTTCTCTTTAAATTTACCTTTTATTTAGATGAAATGTCAATTAATCCAATAAGAAAAGATGATGACGATGATAAAGAATTGATTCCAAATTCCTTAGAAACAAACGAAGAAGCAGTTGAAATTAGTGATCCTGAATGGGACTTCAGTATACCAGAACCTCCATCACCTTTCCGAAACAATAGAGATAATTCAAATAGTTTAGAATCTGAATTATTTAAAAAAGATGAAGTGCATTTGTTTCCAGAAAATAATGATATAGAAAATATCATTGATTATAATGCATTAAAGGAAATAACTGAAACACCAAGAGCAGAAAATTCTGATTGTTTACAGGATAAAGCAGATGATGATTTAATAGATAATTATCCACCATCTCTCCCTGAAACAATGCCTCCAAGAGATAAATGTTTTAGGGTTGGCTCTATGAGCAGTGATATTCCTCCTCCTCTTCCAATAAGTGATCCACCAGAATCAGCAAGAGAAAAATCTTATAGTTTTTGTAGCACAAGTAGTGAAGTTTCATTTCCTGAATTTGATCCTTCTCAAAGAGAACATGATACAAATTCTGCTTATAAAGAATTTAAAACTGTGTCAAAAAATGAAACAGATGATATAAAAAAAGTGGATGATGATAAATTTGTTGGAATTAGCAGAATTGATATTACAAATCAAGAATCTATATCTACTCAGACATATATTGTAGTACCTCAACCTAAACGAAGACCTCATTTAGAAAATTTTACAATTGGTTCATATAAAAATGAAAAAACTAATTCTGGTGTGACTGATTCATCCTTTTCTGCATCTTTGACAGATACTGATAAATCATCAAATCTGATTAAAACAAATTCATTTCCTAAAGATAATGATAAAGAATCTAATAAGGTTAATAAGCCAACTTATAATTTTACAATTATGCCATTCAAATCTAGAAACAGTTATAATGAAAACAAAGTGGACCAAAATAAAGATTCAGATGAATTACTTCAAGAAGAAAAAGTGGAAGAGGTAAGAAATAAAAATCAAATGCCATTTAAATCAACAGGAAGAGAAGAAGAAACAAAAATAGAACAACGTCAGCTAGAAGAAGAATATCAAAAGTTACAAAACCAATTATTGGTTTGGCAGCAACAGTTGGTAAAAAATCAAACCCTGTTGCAAGAAAAGCAGATTGTTCCAGAAATGTCAGTACCTGATCTTTCTCCTCTTTGTAGTCAGCTCAAAGTGGAAGAAAAATCTAGTGTGGCACAAAGATCACGAACACTTCCAAGGCCAAAGCCAAATGTGAATAAAGAACTGGTAGAACAGACTCATTCTTCTACTGTTGAATATTATTCACAACCTAAATCACAGATTCTTAAAAATGTCACAATTGGATCTTGGGAAAGGAAGCCTGAGATCACAGTAGGAACAGTTGCAGAAGTAAAGCCAAAATTTCAAAATGCAAACAAATCTCAGGTAAATAATAGTGTAGTAGATAAATGCAAAAAATCTAGTGTGTTACTGGAAGATAATGAAAAAAATAAAATTTCACAAATTTCTGCAAAATTTGATATTAAGTCAAATAAAAAAACTGCAGTGGCAAACAACATGCCTGAAAATCTAGAAGATGCTCCTCCAGCAGTAATACTTGCTCAAATAAGAAAAGAAATGAAAGCAAATGCAAAATACCCTGCCGGAACTGTTATAAATTCGGAATCCAAGAAAGGAACTTCTGTATCAAAAACTTATATAAGACCTAAATCCCAAATCATTTATTCTCATTACAATTCTGCCTCAGATGATAGAATTTCAGATTTAACCAAATCATCATCACAGGATCCCATCAAAGTAAATGGGAATATAAATACACCTGTTGTAGTAGCAACAATTAAAAGCAAACCAGCTTTAGATAAAGATGTTGTTAATGGTGATAAAAACACTGTTTCACTGCCAGTGTCATCTAGTGTATCTATTCCTCCACCACCACTACCTCCAGTTGTGCCAATAAACAAAAACAGTTCTAAGTTTCAGTCTACATCACATCTTTTGAAAGTGAGTAAAACTGAACCATTATCTGATCCAAGAGAGGAACTTATGATTGAAATTCGCAATTTTGGAGGAAGAAAAGCATTGAGGAAGGTCAGTTAAAAGTTCATTTTCAGTAATTGTGTTACTAACCCTGTGGACAAGTTGGAACCTAATTTGTTTCCCATAATTTTAACCTTTAAAATGGTGATGGTCTCTTGTTTTTCTTTTGTGTTCAATAAAGTCCCCCTTTTTTTGTTTTAATGTATTGTGTGTATCTGTGTCAATGTTATTAATAATATACTAATTATTGTTTTTGTGTGACTAAATGTAATAATTTAAAATGTTCACCTTTATTAGAATTAAAATCAGAATAGATGCTATGAAATTAAATCTGAAAATTTTAAAATATTGAATATAAAATTGATATTAGATTCTTGGTTTAAGAGTTCTGATAAAGGAGAATGTTTGATATTAATGTCAGATTTTGCTTATTAATAAATTAAATATTCAACTCTATAAAGTTTTGTATTTTTCAGTTTCTGAATTAAAACCATTGAATTAAAAAGCCAAACTTTATAGAATTGACTTAATTAATTAATTAATAAGAAAAATGTTTGTTATAATAGGCATTCATAACATATTATCGTAACTATTATTAAACTAATACATTAGTACATATGAATGTATCATATGAAAGTGGACAAAATCTACCAAAGAAATAGAAATTTCATTTCAGAAACGTAGCTAACTGAAAACTATCTTATGTATATATTGATAGAATATGTTTAAATGTATTATCTAATATAAAAGAAAAATATTTTAGTTTTTGCAAGAATGTTTGAACAGAAGCAGATGATTTGTATGATTAATTTACGTAATGCTGTTCAGAAATAATAATTTCTTTGACCTTTGATTTTATGGAAAAGTTTATTTTTTAAACTGTAGCCATCATTAATTTCATTCAAAAGAGATTATACTATTTTGAGAGGGGAAAATCATACTTATGATTTTTACCTCTCAGAAAATATACTTTATATGAATGCCTTTAATTTTACATATTTTAAAACTTTAAAATTAATAACCTGTATTGTTTTATATTCCAGGTTCCTCTTAATCAGGCTGGTTGGCATTTAAAAGTTTTTGGAACCTTATCGTCATCATCAGTATAACTTTCATCATAGAGTGCCTTATCAATAAGAAAAGTATTTTTCAATATATATTGCAAAAATTTAAGATGTGACTGCATCATCATAATCTTAACAAATTATATTTTTTTTCAACAGTAAAATTTTTGTTTTAATGTAACAATCAAGATGATTTCATTTTATTTTATTTTTCAACAGTGTGCTAGCTTTGAATAATAGAAATATATATAAAGATGCCATATTTGTTATACCATTATCAGCTTTGTGAATGAAACATAAATTTGTATATATGTACTATGTAATTATTTTCATATGTTCTAGATCCTAAAAAATGGAATATAAAATTATTGCAAGATAGCATTGATATAAAAAGAAAGAAATTTGTTTTGAAATCCAAAGAACTGATTGCATTATTTTATATACATATATAAATATGATATATATATTTTTATAGAAAAGCATAATTCATTTCAGATGGAATTATATATAAATTTTTGCATACTATGCTATACCTCAGTTAAAATATTCATCTAAAGATAATTTTAGCCCATTAACATGTATATTTCAGAATTATTATTCAAGAATTTATTTTAAATCACAAGAAAATATTAATCAGAAGTTAATAATTATTGTGTTAATCATATTATTCTGTTGAATTTTTCCAAAGTTCGTTTAATATGTAAATAAAACGGATGAAATTAAAATTCCCAAGATTTGTGGGATCATAGTCGTGCCAATCCGAGTTGTAAAATGTGATTAATTTTCTGTACAGATATTTATTCTCTTGTTAAATAAATTGGCCAAATAAACTTTTATGGGAACTAATATATCCAAATCAAAGCACTTTTAAAAATAAAAAGTAAAAAAAAAAAAACTAAATTAAAAACAGGTAAGATAAAGGTTAAATCACTGGTTGATTAAATTAAGGTTGTGACATGTAAATTACTAAGTTTTTAAATGAGTAAGATATAATTTAATAAAAGAATCTATGCTAAATTGTTTGTACATTCATTATAAATAAATTTTTTTGTTTAATTCAGAATATTTCTGAATTTATTTTAATTATATAAATAAATATTTTGTGTTTATTATTGTCTGAAATACAGCTATTTAATGACATTTAAAATAAATTTACATTGTTAAAAGAACTTACAAATATTTTCATTTCAAAATGAATAGTTATTTAGTTAAATATTGGTGACTGTTTTTTTTAACAGAGGTGCCAAAATTTGATTTTAATACATTTCATTTTAGTTTTCTCATGATGAATTTATAAAAGTATTAGTTTAAATTTATATGAAACTTATACAAAATGGAGCTAAATATGGTTATAAAATTTTTCCTACCAGATTTGCTGAAAAGTGAAAATATTTTATTAACTTTTCATTTTTTAAGAGAAATGCTCTGAAGTTTAAGATATAGATAAAATATAGAAAAATTCAGAAAATTATATATTCTTAAATATAAATTAATTGGAGAATGTAACTTTTACTCATTTATATTAAGGCACTAAGAAATGTAGAAATCATTTTAACAGAACTGAAAAGGTAGATATTGAGATGATTTGTTTTAAAATTTTCTTAGAAATAGATCTGTAGACTTGAAAAACATTAAAAATTTCATATCACGTGGTTCCAATAAGCCAGTATATCAGTTCAATCTCATAATATAGCAGTATTCTGCAAAGTGTAGGGAAATGTCAACACCAAACTTAGTAGCCATGAATATCTACACTGTGTCCAAAGTCTCAGTTTGTGTTTATTGTCACGTTATTATTGAGTCTACTAATGTACAGAAAAGATAAGAATATATAACACAGCAATTAATGATTAAATTTTTAGCATTGGAAAGGGCACGCAGAGCTAGAATCAATTCAGTGAAGTATTGTGAAACTTAAGAGCTCATGAGAGGATCTTTGCAGAATAATCAGAACAATTTTTCTCTTGCAACATAACACAAGATCACACTGCAGTAAAAACAGTAAAGATGCTTAAGAATCTGAGGTTATGGGTTATTTCAGGCTCTGCTTGTGACCAATCCTGTAGCCAGGATGATTTTCCTGAGGAGGCACTTGATATTAGGGGTTCCTGGTTCAGGGGCATAATTTGTTCTAATGGGCAACAGAAGGTGTCCGTATGTTGGAGTAAATGCCTACTTTTTCGTTTAGGTTGTTGCTCTTTCCTATTGCTAGGGAAGACTCAAATTCAATTGTCAATAAATGGGAAAATTCACGACTAATCTATTCTGCAAATATAAAAGAAACTAATGAACGATAGTTGTCTATTGTTCCATGCAATCTTGTATGTTAACCAAAACCGCATTTGTTTTCAAGGCCAAAACCCCGAAAAGAGTTGTCAATATACTATCGTAAAAACTCCTTAAATAGATCTGAAATTCTTCTAGTTTCCCTAAAAATAGATTTTCTCTGAATATCTTTACTCCGGGTGCAATCCGTATCGAAAAAATATTAGTCTTGACAAAAGCGACCCGCTCCGGATCTTGCACCAGAACAATCTTGAGTCATGACTTTTCGAAGTTCCTACTCGTCCGAAACTCCACTAACCAATATGGTCGGACCATAGCCTACAACTAATATTGCTATAGTCAGACTTTACATCATGATGTAAGAATACATCTGATACCACTCCTATTATACGACTGTCAAGAATGTGTCCGTACTTCAGATATCTTATCGGAAAGTCCATTTTGTATCGTTTGCCATTTACTATCGCCTCATTCGACAGTGCTTTTAAGAAAGTCTTACAAAATGATGTGTGCATAATTACACAGGCACCTATTTTAGTGCCTTAAATACATTACTGTTCGTTTCTTTGTATTCAAAGAAACAAATAGTAAAACATATTTAATGAAATGCATTTATTTGGAATTGTTTAGATATATGGTCAAAACGAGCAATTATTTATTGTGACATCGTCACTATGCCGAGCTGCAATTTTTAATCATATATTTTAAATTAAATAAATTAAAAATATGTTTTGTTTTAAATTAGTAGTGTCTTGCCGCTGTACAATACATTATTCTTTCCCTGTTAGCAATAGAGTCGTGTCGGGTTGTATATAGCTAATCGGAGCCTCTTGCCACTATGCTCCTGTCATCCATCTAACTTTGTTCTCGAGATTAAGGAAGGACACCACGACAGTGGGGATTTATAGGTCTACAATTTTTTTTTTTGAACTGCAGCTCAATTATGTTCCTAGGCCTGCTTCTTTTTCTTTTGTTGTTAACAGATTAATGCAGTGCAAATCTTTGGAAAATAGGGAAGATTGAGTTGAAATCTATTTCAGGGCGTTCCGTTCGAATATGTCGGATCCCGTCCTTTACACTCGGTCGACTTATTGTAGGCTTAAGCCGAACCACGATGGCTATAATTACAAAGGCCTTTTAAATGCCCCTAGGACGGAAAGAGTTCAAAACTAAAAATAAATTTGTCGAAAACTAAAATATGTCTTTTATAATGATAATTTAACCTAATAAAAAAATCTATTAGAACCATATAAAAACTTCTGAGAAAAAATTCTGGACAAGTTCAATAAAGAAATGTCAATTCAATTGATTAACAATATAATATTTCTTATTGTTTTTTATTGTGAAAGTGGCACCAGCTGCGTGAGGATCGTTCTGATTAGTTCGATCAATCAGCAGATCTGAATCAGCTCAGTCGATTGTCCGTAATGCCGTTCGATTTTAGGAATAAGGGGCAACAATTTCCTGAACAGAACAGTTTACAGAAACGAATAGCTGATCCACCGATCAGGATCGTTCCTGCATTTACCAAGCAGAGTAATTATCAGAAAAATACCAAGGTAAGATATGCGGAAAATGTATTTCTAAAAAACAATAAAAATTTGTAAAACTTTGAATTATATTTACAAATTAGAGTGAGCTGAATGCAAACATCTCAAAACAAAATTAAATGTTAATATCGTTCATTTATTTAAAAAAAAGTTTTTTATTTATTTAATATTCCTTCAAAGTAAGATTAAACTATTCGACTAACTTCCTAATTATTTCTATATTATTAATTTTAATTTAGTAACATTGCAAGAATCAACATTTACTTTGACCTTTTATCAATAATAAATTTCAAAATGTGTAGGGTTTAGAAATGTTAAAATGCTTGAAAGATTTTAATATTTTTCTTTTCGTTTAGGTTACGGGACCATCTAAATTAGGTTTTTTTCGTCCAAAACCAGCGAGCCCGTCACAATTACGAATATGGTACGAAAGTGTTGGTCTACCCGTTTTCTTGAAACATGAACGAAGTGGTCATTCCTTACAATGGAAGGTAAGCTGTAATTTCAACAAATTTTAAACAGTCTTTAATTAAAGTTTATTTAAAACCTCGATTCCCAAACAGGTGAATATTAAAGATTTAGATTATAAAATTTATTTGCCGATATTCTTTGATGGTTTATCCGAATTAGAACATCCTTACGATTTCTTCGCCGTAAACGGTATCATTGATATGGTAAATGCCAATGGCGAAAAGGCACTGGAAGTGTTATCTTTTGTTATTCCTCCGATTAAAAGTAAGTAACAAATTTATAACCTCTTCTTTAAAAGCGAAAGCTATTCATTTATAGAAGATTGTTTTCTAGAAGCTTTGAAAACTCGTTATCCAAAAGTTGTTATCAACACCATGAAGGCCATTCAACAGCTGGCACTCTGCCACGATTTAATGGGTGTTGCCCTCATCCCTTATTATCACAGCATTTTGCCACCGTTAAACTTTTTCTTAGAATACAACAGTGAGAGCATTTTTATATATATTCGAATAGTCATAAAACAAAACTATTGATTTTCAATAATATATTCTAGTAAATATCGGAGACGAAATTCATTACGGACAAAGGAAAAGGAATGTAATAGGCGATCTAGTGAAAGAAACTCTGGAAATTTTTGAGAAAACTGGTGGACCGCAGGCTTTCTCTCGCATAAAGAGATATGTTTTGACATATGAGTCACATGTACACAATACTTAATTACCTACTGTTAAAAGTATCAATAGTAATCATTGCTATCGTTGAAATACATTTTGATGTACTGTTTATAACATTCAGATTTGATAAGTGATAAATTTTTAATTATATTTCTATTATAATTTACCGGAATTAATAAAATATAATTTACGTGACAACTTGTTGATTGCACGATGACGATCTTCGCTACTACTATGGAAATTTTGATTCAATTCGAATTTAGTCTCATTCCTCATAATTTTTCGCTAATTTAAGACTAGTATTTAGTTCTTTGTTTCTCACACGTGCTGTTCTCATATATGGGTCTAATAAGTTTAACCCAATGATAGGTTAAATTGGTTAGAACCACTTTTAAAATTCTCTTCGTCCTATGCCAGTGGCATGCCGTGACATTTGATGATAGGGAAGCTGTGTTTCTGTAAGAAGCAGACTTCCAGCGACAATCAGTCAGTGATGGTCAAGGGTCCATTTGTATTCGTTTGTTCAATAAGCCAGTAAAAACCGTATACTTCTCTAAGTGTATTTGCAATTAATAGATTATCTAACGCACTTAATAAATAAGCAAGTTCAATATAATTATGTACCTCTGTTATATTAGATTCAATAGATTCCCTATGCCCTCTAAATGCCAATTCTTGCATCTACTAACTTAGATATAATATATCTATTAGCCGTAACTTTGTTATAATTTGCAATATTTTATTTTGTTTACTAATGTTAAATTCTATTTTATTTTGATTTCCAAATTGCTTCAATTTTATGAAAGAATCGATGCGAAATTTACGATTTTCGTGTCTTTTGCCAGCTTTACTCAAATTATTTAAATCATCAAAGCCATTCTTATTCCACACACTAATTTAATTTGAAAATAATAGGCAAGGCCAACAAAACAATTTTTGCATTTTTATGCATTCACAAAGCCATTTTATGTCTTCATAAATTTTATCGTGAAAATGTCGAACAAATTTTTTTCGTTGAAGTATTTATATTTAATTTAGGCATTGGTCTTTCTCTTTTAATAATGTTTTCTTTTTCATTATACGGTCTCGAGCCAAAACTTTTTTAAAATAAATTTTTAATATCACAATTACACTACATTTTAAATTATTAGCCATAATATAAGGACTAAAATTAAAAATAAACTTATAAAAATTTGTTAAAATAAAACGTGTGATTGATATACAATTATAAATACCTGATACAAAATATTCAATTGTATGAATCTACTTTTAAAGAAAATTATAATTAAATATAGTTTTGTGAAGAAACGTACATAAAAATAACATAAAATATTCTTTACTTTTTAAATACGGTATTAAAACAATCCACTTAGTTAAAATTGCTCCCTAACAGTGGCTCATGGTTGGAATCAGAGACGATCTTGGTAGATGTGCGGTGCATGTATGCAGGCCAAATCCCGAGGGTGCTGATACAGGTCAATGTCAAATGCCTCTTTTGTCTCATCACTAGTATATCTCAAAGGACGCGATAGGGTTGTAAATTTTAAACGTTTTTCAACATAGCTGTAAAAATCTAAATATGTTAAACTTAATAGATTGTCCGTCTTTTGTTTTCTAACTAATTCGTTTTTAGGACCAAGTGTCCTCAGAAATTTCCAAAATTTACAACTTTTCGGTCACTCTCGTTGAACTGGAAACTTTTTTGTCTTTATTACATTAATAATACGAAGAAATCAGTCTCCACTGTACTCGGCTAGAAATTGGTTCGGTTAAGCTTTTGTTTAAGTAATATTCCGGCTCTTTCGTCGGGGTTTTGTTTATGTCCCCAATTCCCTAATCGCTTAATTATTTAACTACTACTTAAGTAGAAATAAGTCGAAATCTGTTACTTTGTACTCGAATATTTGTAGTCTCGGGAAAAGAGTGGAAAGACAATTTTTATGACAAACGGATACATAAATCGTAAATTTAAGGAAAATAAATTCTAGAGCTTTTTCTGTACCTCGTGCATCTCTCTCTCATCCATTAAATTTAGTTGTAAATGATGCTGTCAAAGTAACAGTTAATTTTTTAACATTATACAAGAATTGTACACGTTTTTTTCTACATCCTCTTATAGATGGGATATATGAAATCGTAATATCACTGACTCAACATTGAAATCCGTGAGTAATATAAAATCGGAGAGCGGAATAAAAATATCAAATATTTTAACGGATTTTTTAAAACTCCCATCAACTATACAGAAAACTATCATAAAAACATACCAGTGAATTCTTATGGGTTGGGTTAAGTTATAAATCTACTCGCGATTCACGTAATCGGGCGAGGGCGGGCGGCCTAACGGCCCGGAACCGGTCCCGGATAGAATTGGATGTGTTATACGTGTAGCAGCCACCTAAGGTCGTAGGCTTCCACCGGCTAAACCGGGTGAAGTTGGTGCTGTGTAAACCGCGTGAACGAATCTGGCTTTTTGGATGCTGACAATACAACGCTTCCACTCCGCCACTAATATTCGAATATACAATAGCAATTTTATTTTTTTTTTCTCACGTGTAGTATAGAAATTTGTAATGAGATACATAATGCGGTTATAATAAAATATTGTNATTCGAATATACAATAGCAATTTTATTTTTTTTTTCTCACGTGTAGTATAGAAATTTGTAATGAGATACATAATGCGGTTATAATAAAATATTAATTTTAAGTAATTAAAGTACGATTAAATATGAAAAAATAATCGCGCAATATGTACTTATATTTTAGAAAATACAAATCGTTTCCACAGCTTCCAATGACGGCACGTCGCTGCTCCCGGGAGGTAATTTATGGAAAAATTGGCTCCCAGTTTGGTGTACTAACGTGAAGAAAACCCGAAAAAACTCCACGAACCCACGACCAACTAAAACTATTTATTCGGCCAGTGGCGGGCGTTAAATGTTTTTAGTATTAGCTTATAAATACAACTGTATAGAATTTTTTTAAGTTTTATTTGAAAATTTGCAGGAATTTTTTCTAATACCGGATCGATTTTCTGAATTCTTTATCTAACAAAACAGTTAGAAAAGCTAACAGAAAATTTAAATGTCTAAAGCTCCTGAATCTCTAATAATTGTGGACACACGATTCGTAAACCGGAATCACTTTTTTGATATGATGATAAGCATCCGGTCCTCTTGCCTTTTCTAGCAATTGCAAAGTTTCGTTGGCCAATGTGCCCAAGCAATTTCCTTTTCGCTGACCGTAATCAATTCCATCACCTAAATTTTCTGTTATAAATATATATAACAGAATACGTATATTAGTATTTCTCAGACATATACTAAAAAGAATATTATTTTTTATAACTATCCTTACTAATATTTTCTAAAAATAAGAGCAATGACGGAAGAAGCTTAGGATAAGCGGATACCAAAAATGGGCCAGCTTCCGATAGAGCTAAACTTTGAATGACACGACAGGCTCTGACCAATATAAGTGGATGGCGAGTTGCTAAGGCTTCTGAAATTAAAAAGAATTGAATTTTATTATTATTATTTTTTTAATTTTTGGCAATAATTTTCTATACTTACTGTTAATTTGTGGAATAGCGTAAGGCAGCGCATGAATTATTTTTTCGCCACCATTATTCATCATTTCCTTGCATCCTAGTTCGGCGATTAGATTATATGGATGTTCGAGTTCTAATAATCCTTCCATAAAAGATGGTAGATAATGGCGATAGTCTAGATCAGAAATGTTAACCTATAGAGAAATAATCAGAATATGTTAGGAATCATCTTGATGTCATAATTAAATATTGCGTTTTAAAGAATAACTAAAAGGTGATTTAAAAGTCTCCATAACACATGCAAAGGATTCGTCTTATTATGCAGTCATACAGGTTCCAGTAACGGGAGCTGAACCATGACCAAATATAGATTACTGAAAAGGACACTCGAAAGTGTGTCCTTTCCAGTAATCTATATTTTGTTTGGAGACTGAATCACTCTGTGTAATAAATTTCATACTATCAAAACCTATTTTTATTAGTGTGAATAGCTAAAAATGCGAAAAAGTAGAAAAAACTTTATCACATTTAAGTTAACACCCCATTCTTTACTCGTGCTGATCAATTCTATTGAGGATTAAGTCCGCCAGTAATGTGTGCAATTGTGGCCTACAATATTCTGGTGTAGTTTAATCAACCTATTAAGTTAATCACAAAAGTAATAGAGTTGATTAGTAGAATATAACCGCAACTAATAAATATGTTCTCCACCTCAAATTACTAAGTGACCTTGTCCATGTATTGTACAGTACAGTACAGTACATCATACTTTTTCTTTAACAATAGAGTCGTGCCGATCAGGGGAAATTTTTTGAATTGAAATAATACAACTTTCGGTTTGCATCGGACGATCGTATATAGTTAATCGGGGCCTCCTGCTCCTAAGATTTCCATTTCTGGTCTCGGCTTTCATCTAACTAACTCCGTTCTTCAGATCAAGGAAAGACGAACAGAGGACGACATTGGGAATTTATAGGTCTACAATTTTTATTTTCCCGGTTGTTATATATAACAACCAGGAAAGTATGGCGATCGTTCAAAAAGACCTCCCCCCAAGATTTTTACTTTTTTGGACTCAGGTGCCGCATCTTGAAATGTCGAGAAATGCTATATATATATGGATGTTTGTATGGCACGATTTTGTTTACCCTGTTTGAAGTTTAATAACTCCTGTGCATTCTGTTAAAAATTTTTTGAAATTTTGCAGATAGGTTTGTGTGTTAGGGGGACTGGTACTATTAAATTTTGGTAATTAAAGGTCGAGGGGTGGAGAGATAATGGAGGTCGTGTGTATCTCGAATAGGGTGGGACTTAATGATTTTTTACTCGTTATTAGCATTAACAATTTTTTTTTATAAAATCCATCCTTACCCTCAAAAGTAAGCTTTTTGCCATTTTATAACAGTTAAAAATATAAAAAGTTTTTAAATAAAATATCGTAACAGATAGCGCCATCAAATGTTGCTGGAAAAGTTAAGCAACTCGTCGCTGGATTTTTTTTTTGTATTTTCATAGAATTTTATAGTGAAACATTCCATAGAACGATTCATTTTAAACTCATTGTCAAATATACAACTATCGTATTACTTTGAATATAAGCCGCCCTCGCATTTATGCTGCAGTAGGAGTTTAAAATTGGAAAAATTATTTAAAAAAAATAAAAAATGAATGATCTTTGTACAGTTCATAACTAAAACAGATAATGCACTTCATAGTAGACTGCTTAAATGGTAGATAGAAACACCTATTATGCTGTACAGCGAGTATCCCCGTCTTATTCAACTCTCTCGCCTCCGTAAAACGAAACTTACCAACCACTTTAAACTAAATCCAGAGCTTTCCTGATAGAGAAATACCGGAATTTCACCCGTCTCGTATCTCTTTCTAAATAAACTTTTGTAAACATTTACTTTAAGAGGTTTCTCTAATGGCGGTCCCGTAACCTAAAAATTTTTGTGTGAAATATTGAATTTGAATAATTTAATTACAGAATGAGTAGAAGAAAGAAAGGTATATTTACCTTTGTGTTTTTCTGTAAAGACTCAATGGTGAAAGCAGGAACCTCTCTGATTGGAGGATTTGCTTCTTTCATTAAAGTATTGCTCTTATCACGAACTTCGTATTCCTTTTTAAGAGATTTTTTCGTAGATTTTGATAATTCCATTCGATCTATTGCTGCTATTAACGAAATTTGATACCAGATGAAAGATTTCGATGAAAAATGATGTTAAAAGCAAGCACTAGACCGTAAGTTTTCAGTTAAGAAAAGTACGATTCCTCCTGTTTTTTTAATGTTATTTACAATTGAATTTTAGATATATTGTTGCGGAATAAAAAGGAAATTTGATTTTTGAGCTTTTTAACTTTTAGTGAAATTATTTTGAATCTTTTTATAAATAATTTTCGATCCAAGTCACATTATTAAAAATTTGCGTTCAAATTTATTATCTCCTACTCGAAAGCCGAAAAACGAGAATAAATATTTTGGTGAAATTTTGCCAAAGCACCTGTTGAAATTACAATCAAATGAAATAATAAAACCCCTCAGAAATCTTACAACAAAGCGTGTTTATTTAAATAATTTTGAAAAGTGAGGAGGAGTGTTCAACTAATGTCTCTTGATGTTACTTCTGTTATAGAGGTTTTACTTAGTATCATTATTAATTTATTAATTCTTATTTTGTTAGAGATTGGAGGTGTGTAACAGAATCCTGTCTGGTACTCCTCCTTACTCTCGACTGGTTAAATAATTTGCATAAAGAGTATGAAAAACGATTGATTCGTACAGAAGAGAAAATTGAAGAGTTAACAACGTTTTAAAACAGTATGTACTGATAATTTTTCTATGTAGTCTTTTTTTGTTAAATTCATTTTACAACGAACTAAAAAGAACAATACCAGTCGACCCCCCCTATAACACTGTTGATTATTCCGTTTTATATGAATTCCATGTTGTACGAGTCACTTAGATTTTACAAATACGTGTGCCGGGCTGTGAACGGCTCACGTATTTGTAAATTCTAAGTGACTCGTACAACATGGAATTCATATAAAACGGAAAAATCAACAGTGTTATAGGGGGGGTCGACTGTATAGTTATCTTTGGTTTAATGGGCAATGAGGAGGAATTGACAAATAACGTTAAAGAATTTCTAACTTGGAACAGACGAAAAATAATAATTTTTCGCACAGGAGGCAAATTAAAAATAATAGATAAATTTTATTTATAGAAACAAAAGTTGGAAGTTCTTTCAAATTTTAAATATTTGGAAATTCATTTTACTCCTCGTAGATCTTTTTCTTTACATTTGGAAAAAATGATAATCGAGGATAAGGTAAAAATCTCAAATCTTTATAAACTACTTGTCAAAATGTCGTCGCTTAATAACTATTTTAGATTATTTGATGTGTTAATAAGATCGAGCATTTCATATGCATTCCCAATATGGAGAAATTGGTGGTTGACAAAGTAGAAAAAATACAACTATCCTTTTTCAAGTAAATTTTTTAAATTAAATCTGTAAGGTTGCCGACGGGGGTCGAAATATGTCAAGAGGGTCGGGGGGTCGTAGTGATAATGAGATAGACTCTGCGGTTACAAGAAACCGTTTATGTGACACGGAAAAAAGCTTAAAAGATTACCGCAATCTTGAAAGTTCTAAGTCGGCAACGGCCTCTGGGTCTTTCTCTCCTATCCAAGATAGTCCCAAATGAAAGAGTGTCCCTTGTTCGCGAAGAGCAGTTCCCTCGACGACTCCGGGACGATGCGGTCGACTTCTGATGATGGGAAGATGTAGATCCGAGATCCGAGGTCGGGGGACGGAGACGATGTGCACGAGACACACACACAACTGGTCCGATACTTCGAATTTTCGGGAGAAGAAACCGCCGCATAAATTCAAATCACTATTTATTGAACTTCGTTTAAATAAATATACGATTATTCCAAATAGCAAACTTATCAAATAATGCCGAATATTAGTTCTGTAAGATGATGGTTATTCATTTGCTTGACAGTTGTGATTCTCTTTGTGAAATAAGATCTAATATTTTTGGGATTGATTACAATTATATACTAATTTATTGGAAGAATCTTCCAATAAGACCAGGGCCGGATTTGAGGCGATTGGAGTGATTTGTGCCAATCGGGCCCGCAGGACATCAAAATTTATATATTTAAAAATACTTTCAAATTACAGAATAGATTAAACAGTTTAGCAATCATGTCGATTGAGAGTCAAGAAGAAAGCCAGTTGGATTTTGATACTATTTTAGAAGATTTTACAGAACAAAAACTTAGAAACATATAAAACATCTCTTTATAGGTTTACATTCAATAAAATTCAGTAATATTCATTCATCAACTCATTAGAAGACTTTTNACTTCTATGAGAAATTAGACTCTACTTAGATATTAGACACACGAAGAAAACTCGGAAAACTTCACGTGGCAGGCCCATCGCTGAAGTGTGAACCCACAACCAGTGTTCAGCTCTTTTATTTTATTCATTCACTGTGGGTCCTCTACGAGAGTGCCACACAGTGGCTCGAAATTGATTATTGTTGAAGCATATACATTACTCTTAAAAGAAAATTTCATGATAAGGACACTACAAATTTTTTCCTAAAAGTTTAGATATTTTATATAATGTATCCTGAAATATTTTATTGTATTCGAAACTTCGTAATAACGAATACAGAACTTTTAACTATAGTTAAGATACGAATTCCATTATGTTCATAGAATTTCTATGGAATCTTCTTTCGTTATTTATTTACTGTTTCCTACGTAAAATACTTCACTTAAAAGCTAAAAAAAATGAATATAAAAATGACTTTATTGAGTATTTTTTTTTTCTTTTTTCCATTCACTTATTTCTTTCACTCATTCCAATAATGGTCTGCCGCTTTCAAAAGAGATTTCCCAAAAATTTCAAATATATATTTATTTAACTATATTTTCGTGTTTTACATTTTTACGATTTTGTCACGTCCTGCTATCAGCATCAATACTACTGTATAATCGATGAAATAGACGTGATCGTCACAATGATTCCATATTGAGCCTTCTGTCAGTTCTTGTAAATGTCATTTTTCTGAATTTTTATATTTTCAAAGTTCATTTAATATCTTTACATTTTTCTGAAATCGTTTGAAAAATAATTTAATTTTACTTATTTTTATAACATTTTATTCCTTGCTTCTAATAAAGATAATCTGTTATTTACAATTTCTTTGTTATCATCTAAAAACATCAGCATAAATAACCTTAGGCTTTCTTTGAAAGTTTTTTGATCACTTGGAATTTTACTAAATATTTTTGCACATTGTTCTTCGCTATGTTTTAATAGCAGTTTACGAAAAATTCTCTTCAGAAATTTCATCATTTTGACGTTTAAATCAGAAAAGCTCATCACCTAAAAATAGAAAATAACAAATAGTTTAATGTAACATTTTAAATCTTATCTTGCATATATTTATTTATTGAATGAAGTCAAAATGAACTAAATGTTGAGCACAGATTTAATTATACACAGAAACTCTTACACCACACTACTTTCAAAATAAGCTTCTTCTGTAACTACACACTTCTACCAGCATTTGAAATGACTTCCAAAACTGCTTTGGCAGTCTTGAAAGTCATTTTGTAATGCCTTTATGGGCTTTTGTCACTGTGGCTTCCATATCTGTTGATGATTAGAAATTGTAGCCCTTCAACTTCTTTCATTGTAGAGAACAGATGAAAGTCTTCAAGACAAAATCAAGGTAAGAAAAAAGTTGAGGAAGCATTGCTATACTCTTGGTCATACATTTATTAACCAGAAACAACCAAGTGAAGCTGAATGTAGATGTTGCTGCAGTGACAAAACTCCTTAAAGACATAAAAAATAGCTACTGCTAGCATTCATAGTACTTGCACTGCTGACATGCACAGTGCTGAAGCAGACTGGATCAAAGAGAACAGACGCACTGGACACAGTATGCATTGTGCTGAAATAAATATATAAGACATCCATTGAATAATGCAGAAAGCACACAACTGGACAACAACTGGCGTAGACAACATTCACAGTTTCTGGTACAAAAAATTCACATCTTTGCACTGGGAACTATCTTCAAATACTTTACAAGATTCTTACCTCTTGCATTGCAAACAATATACAATCACATTTATGAACACAACATTCTTACAGAACAAAAAGGCTGCTATAGAAATCACAAAGGTTGCAAAGAACGACTACGCAACTCTGTTATCCTATGGCAAGTTCATAAGCAACACAAACATATACATAGCATACACATGATTACAGAAAAGCATTTAACAGTATCCCACACATTTGGCTGCTGCACACACTTTGCATCTATAAAATCCATCCCCAACTCATTAGTTTCTTTGGTTTTACCATGCTCCACTGGATAACAACATTATATCTTAACCTCTATACACTCACAAAGAAACAAATCAAATACACATCATGCGAGGAATTTTTCAAGGAGATTCATTGAGTCCTTTTTAGTTCTTCCTTGCACTTAACTCTTTATCTAACATATTGAACAAAACACAATATGTCTACAATATCACACACAATAAAACAACATTGTTCACATTATCATACCTCATGTACAAGGACAATATCAAATTTATTACCAGAATCCCTTCCACACAGAATCAGCTTCATCATTTCTTACAAACTACATGCACATACTCAAACAATATACAAATGAAGTTTGGTCTAGACAAATGCAAAACACTACACATTGAAAAAGGAGTTTTGAAGAAAGGAGACTTTGTACTCAGAAGTAGAGAAATTATTGAGTCCGTGGAAGAGGAAAAGTTTTACAAATATTTAGGATTCCAACAGACCAAACTTACAGAACATGCACAGATAAAACAAAGGTTAACACTCAAATACCAGAACAGATTACATGCAGTACTAAAAACACACCTAAATGCAAAACATAGGTATTAAAGCTATTAATACCTATGTTGTTGTCCCTATATTCTCTCATTCTTTTGGAGTTATACACTGGACATGCACAGATCTCAAGAAACTTCAAAGAAAAACAAGAACAACTGTTACTAAGCATAAACAATATCACCCAAAATCATCTGTAGAAAGACTACTCTTCTTTGTAAAGAAGGTGACCATGGCCTTACTAATACAGTTAACCTGCACTATAAAAAAATTCAGGCACTGCAGAAGTTTTTCCACAAGAAACATCAAAATTATATAAAGCTATAACTCTGGCAGACAGTAACCACACACCTTTAAACTTACACTCTGAGCATCTGGACATAGCTCAATATACAATAAACATAAACACCACTATGCAGTCACAGGCCCAAAAGGCACTTCATGGTAGGTATCATGCCTATGACCTAGCTCAGGACAAAACTATGTCAAACTATTGGCTGACTAGAGGCTACCTGTTTGGATAGACTGAGGATTTTATGGTTGCCATTCAAGATCAGGTAATAAACGGTAAAAACTACACAAAACACATCCTGAAGGATACACTAACAAATGACTCTTACGGAAAATGCCACATTCTGCTAGAAACAATGCAACATATATCCTCTAGTTGTAAGCTCTTAGCACAAATAGACTATTGACACATGTATAATCAAGTAGCAAATATAATACACTAAGAGCTTGCACAGAAGTACAGCTTATTGAACATCCAGCTGTCATACTACAAATATACTCAACAGGCAGTATTAGAAAATGACAAACCCAAAATATATTTTGACAAAGCCATAATTACAGATAAAACAATTCATCACATTAGACCTGACATCACTCTCATTGACAAATGCAGTAAAATCACTTGTATAATAGACATCTACATTCCGAACATTCATTACATGAGAAATGCACACACTGAAAAATCAATACATACACTCCCCTTATTCAAGAAATAAGACAGATATGGAGGATGGATAAAGTATTTATTGTACCTATTGTCCCTTCTTCTGCTGATGCTATACTATATACCTTACACAAGTCTAAAAACATTAAACTGTAATACATATCACCATAGAAAGCTGCAATATTAAACACACGTTGCATTGTTAGTAACTTTCTAAATGTTGACACACATACCAATAACATGGCTTAATGTTAACTTGTTTGGGTAGCTATGCTTTGACTTTAGTAGCATAGCACTTGGCACCAGTATCAGCTGAGCATGACATTTGCAACATAATAATAAATTGTATAAATTATTATTATTATTATTTATTGAATAAATGATGCAAGTAAATATCAGTTAATGTTCTTTTAATGTCACAATAATAGAAATTCTGGTTTTATTAACACTAATCTTGTTTACTTTGCTAACACTTCACAAATAGCAACTACTGATATTATATTTGTCCAAGACAAAAGTTAATAAAATAATTTGTATTTGTAAATGTAAAATAATTAAGCAAAATGTATACCTTGAGAACTGTAATGTTAAGTGCTTCACCAATAAACGAATGAAGTAAAAAATCTGCAAAATTGTTTCGCTGAGAAGGCACTAATTTGTCAATATACTTTATTTTATCCCAAACTGCACACTGAAGGGCCATCTAAAATAAAAAATAAACAAAATAAATTTTTGTTTAAATTTCTAACAAAATTTTTTTGATTTACCCTGTATTTTCTCTCCAACTGGCAAAATTTATCAGCCAAAACAACATAAAATAAATTAAATGGATTCTCTTGAAGACAGCAATCCAATATCACAACAATGATTTCTCTGTATTGCATGCTCTTCAGATTCAGCCGAATTAATTTACTAAATGCCTCTAAATAGTCCTACAAAAGAAATGTTTAAAAGATAAAGAAAAATGACTGGATTGAATGAAATAAACATTACTGGAAAATACAACTATCATATAAAATAGTGCTTAATATATAGTTTTTTAAATTGTAGAAAAAAAAATGAAGCAAACACTATATATGTTTTTTTACTAGTCTTATTCTTAAAATGTTTTTATAATTGTAATTATTCAGTACATAGTTGTAGAAAAATATAATTATTTACTGTTAAAAATGTAGACAAAAATTATAAATTAATAATAAACTTGAACTGTGTCTAAATTGTAATTACTTTCATAGGTTTAACTTATTACAATTGAGTTAATGTAACATTATAAAGATTTAAGTTGCTGCATCCATAACAATCCCAATCATAGTTAGTATATTAAAAATTAGATAAATAAATAACATAGCTTTTAAATTATTATAGAAATGGTGTCTTAGTTTGAGGTAATTAAAAGTAAATTTTATTGATATTAAAATTATTGTGTTCAGTTATAGTTTATCCTTGTCATTTAAATTTTACAGCAACATAGCACAAAACCAAAGAAAGGAAAATTGTCAGAACAAATGAAATATTGCAACAGTCTTTTAAAAGAACTTTTTGCAAAGAAGNCGCAGAATCGACGCATAGCTACAATTTATTTTGTGTTATTTATTTCTGTGTTTGTTATATCTACGGAGACTTGAGAGACTCTATGTGGTGATTTCTTGTAATCGTGAACGAATCAAAAGACGAGATAAGATTAACGAGAAAGAACATTTATTAGCTTACATACATTCGACTTGGATTTTACACAAATTGCGAAATTATACCCCGACTTACACGGTTATCGCTCGGTCCCACCTATCGCATAAGTTTGGGGTATTACTGTATTATAAAATTATATTAAACATTACATTACTGAAATTGAATTTCTAATATCAAAAACGTCATGTGAATCTGTGCTATGCAAAGCATACAGTTATGTTCCAGAAGTTAATAATGAAAAATAGTAGTATACTTTTGCTAAGAGAAATATGTTTGGAAATAAATTATTGATTTCTTTAATAATCAATATATAACTAACAATTACAATTAAAAGCATTGTTAACATTAATTTTAGTGAAATGAGGGCATTTTCTTTTTTCAAAGTATCATTATCTCCTGAGCGTTTTTGTTAATTTTGATCAGAAATATCAGCAACATCAGCAACTTCATTTTTTTATATTTTTATCATAATTTTCTATGGATGACAAAATAAAAATATGTTGTTAATCGATAATTTGTTCTAGTGGGTAGTGTTTGTTCAGTCGAATACCAAGTGATTTTTTTCTAGAATTTGTACAGTACAAATACAGCAGTATTTCAAGAAACTTTACTAAATATGAAGATTGTCACTGTGTTTTCTTTTTATAGATTAGTCTTCAAGTCTAAAGTCTGAAAGCAACAACAATGACACCTGGTTTGATAGGAAAGCTAGTACAATTTTTTCTTCCTTGTCCTATCAGTTTTCGTTAAAGTAAACCTGATAAAAGAAAACCTGATTGCACAGCACAAATTGAAAATTTCAATATTTTAAAATCCATGAGCAAATTTGAGATGACATGCATGCTTACTTTATATAAAAGAAAAATATTGAATTACAATGATTCCACTTAAAAATTGCAAAATTTTGTACGAGGATTTGCAAAACCATATTAGAGTGAAACCAGAAGTCGTGCTGTATGATGATATCTCCAATTTTCAAACTCTGTTAGAGCAAAACTGTATTGTATGAGGGATACCTGTATCTTAATTATTCTTAAAACAATTCAAAATATTGAGATTAAAACATCGTTTTTCTTCAAAATTTAACATAATGTAAATGATATTTTGAAGTTTTTATGATTTTGTCAATAATATATAAAAATATTACAAGCTCTGCCATTGACCTTAGTATTTTTCATTACTTTGAATACACTATGTACTTTTGTCATTATTCTTTATAATAAATATATATATATATTATTTTATACACAGATTAAATAACTAAATAATATAATTTATATATTTATATAATTGTTGTTATATAATTTTTAAAAATTCAAATATGAAAAAGAAAAATTTTTATTTAATAATGCAAAGAAACTTTAAACATGTTTATTATTATGATGATTAAGTAGAGGGACTTAGAATACTGTAACCTGCAAATAGTTGATTAAATGAGGGTTGAGGATTAGGCTTTGAAATAAAAATTATAAAATATTTTTCTGGTAACTTTCAACAGTTTTGCTGCTGCCATCAGGTAAGTTGCAAAAAACATGCCACTTCATTTTTTTCACACAATATGTCACTGTTACATACTGATTAAGAAATCTTTATGAAATTATATATGATGATTCAAAATTCAGTCATTAGCATCCACCCAAAGACATTAATGATGAAAAACCATTATAATTAAATATGTCCTGGTAAAATAAGAAACCAAGGAATAAAATATAATCTGTAAAATATTTCTTACACTTCCAAATAGTAATAAATAACATCCAAAAAATAACGCATTGTGCAATTTACCAAAAACTTCAAACATCCAGATGACACAAAATTACATCAACATAATACAAAATCACATCAATCAGCAGCAACAGTGTTAACTGGATTTATTACAGAAAAATGAGTGGTATTTTTCCAACCAAATATGTCAGGGCAGTCAGTGAGATCAATACAACTGTGTGTGTGTGTGTTTTGTTATAGCTTGAACAATTTAGTCAAAAATAGCAACATATTTGATATTGTTAGAAAGTTTGTCTTCAAAACTGTGCAACAGATGAATTTAAACAAAACACTTATTTTTTATCTTCTATTAAAATATTTATCATACTATACTCTTAAATTACAGATTTGGAAACATCATCGGATACTATAAATAAGTTTTAATTGATATTAAATATGGTTTCATCGATTATGATAAGTGTTACATTATTGCACAAAATGGGATTATCATATAAAATTATAAATCAAATACATTAACAAAATTTTATTTTATTTATAATCTGAATTAAGAAGAGGTGAGATTGTTTAAGTAAGAAATAATCAAGACTGACTAAATCATTATTCACTTGCTCATAGTTCAGATGTGTGTATTGATGAATATGTTTGAACAAATGTTTTATGACATAAAATAAACTTATACCAAATATTATGCATGCACAGTTAAAATGATACCTTAACCCACTATTCCAACACATTTAATCTTCTAACAAACATTTTTGGCTTATTACACAACCCTACCTCAGGTCTATCTTTAGTTTAAAACAGGGCTGTGGAGTCGTGTAAAAATCTACCAACTCCAACTTTGTTTTACCATCCGACTCTGACCAGGGGCAGAATTGTTACCAAAATAGGCATGGGAATTCTGATGTTATCACGTGACTTCAGGCTAAAAGATTCAATAAATAGAGTTCTGATAAAGACAGAATGTAGAAATGTTTCTATTCCAAATCTAAAAGACTCCTCTAAGTAATGACATACATACATACAAGAAAGACATCAGCCATACATGAAGTGTTTAGCTGGCAGAAAAGAGGGTAAGGGAAAGGGGGAAGAGGGAGGGAGAGGAGACAGACAGTAGAGAAAGGTAGGATCCCTCTGAATTGACATACATATGACTACAGTACCCTCTGTTTTGATGTTGGCGTGCAGTTTTTAGGCTGAAAGGCCGTAGTCCCCTAAAGGGTCTAAAAGAAAACCTGAGTGTAGCAAACATAATTGAGTTCTGCCATGAATGGCTAAGTGTAGAAGTTAGTGCCAAGTGGCTTATATTAGGAAGACTTATATCTACTTAATACTAATAAAATTCATTTTTCTTACAAATTTTGTCAATAATTCATTTTTCTTATAAATTTTAGGTTAAGAGGATAGAAACATTATTACTGTGTTAAAATTCATTCCAGTTTCAATATTTTAATCATAAGTGCTAGATAAAGTAATTATTAAAACAAGATATGGTCCTGATAAATGTAAAATTAAAAAATTAAATGGTGGAAAAAACATGGATAGAATATTGTTCAGATAGATAAAATAACATTCTGGATATATAAAATGATTGTACCATTTCTCAAAAAAAACAAAAAAAAAGAAAAGAACACATGTGAAATGATTAATGGACTTACTATTTGGACCGTTTATTTTGAAAGTGGTGTAAGTCCATTTTTTCTTCTTTCGAGATATTTAAACATTTGCATTTTAGTTGATTCAAAAATATAAACAAAGTGTACTAAGTTTGACAATGTTTCTATGACTTTAGAAATATGTAAGTTGATTGCATAAAGACTTTTATGTGAATTTATCCAAACTAATATATTCTTTCTGGGCCATAAATGGACTTACACCACTTTCATAATTACTAAACTGTAAAATTCATTAAATTTCTATTATGTAAAACTCAATGTCACTTGAAACACATTGCGTTTTATTCTGATTTTGTTCATATATAATAACAAAAAATAAAATAGTATTGTTTATTCTGAACATTAAAAATATTTACTTATTGTTAAACTATTTTATGATAAATTTATCATTATTATGAGCTTACCATTAGACACTGCTTTTCATTTAGATTCATTACATGGATTTTTTTCTAGTTTATCAAATTGTACATTTGTTGGTAATATTTACAGTTTTACTCTTCTGTTGTAAGGGGCTGTCTTTAAATGATGTCCACACTGAAAGGGAGGGAGGGGTTAAGACAAGTTGGACAAGGAGGGTTGAGTATTAGTGGACATCCATTTATTTCATTAAATTTTATACAATATGCATTTTATTATATTTATTTCAAAGTTTCTTGTATGTTTCATTTCTACTTATGGTATCTATCATTCATAAAGTGATGAAGGTTTTAACAGGGATAGAGTTATGTTGGACATCCATAGAGGGAAAGGGGTTACAAAAACTTGGACAAACTGGGACAAGAGGGAAAAGTAAACATTTCAAGAAAAATGCACATGTAATTTATGGATAGCCCAAGTGCTTAGACTGTAGAAAATGGACTTACACCACTTTCAAAATCAATGGTTATGCAATGTCATTTATCGATAAATTTTCAATTGATCAAAGCTTATGGTTATTTTAAAATGTTAAGTGTGAATTGTTTATAAATAAAAAGTTCACACTAAATTGTATGTATATTATGTGTTTTCTCAATTTTTTCCAAAAATGGACTTACACCACTTTCAAAATAAACGGTCCATTTATTAGTGTTATGCATGTACAATGCTGATTATTTTGGCTATATATTTATACATAACATTGACTATATAATAAAACTTTCAAGAATTATATTATAATACAATTTACAATAATAATGCAGAAGCTATTTCCAATACATTAAAAATTCAAAAACTTCTTACCTCTGATGATGCAATTGTGCAAAATATCAATTTACGAACATTAGTATTCATTTTATACGCTTTTGCTTTTTGCAGAAGATTTTCACTGTAGTTAAATGGTTCATTTGAGTTTTCAATATCTTGTTTCTGATCTAAATAATAGTACCAAATAGAAAAGTTTTAAAAATTAAATTTCTCTTAAAATATTTTCTAAAGATCAACATTATGATTTTATTTTCTTACCAGTTTTATCAGAATTATCATCCCATGCTGAACCAACAATCCACCATCTTCCACCTCCTTTATCTGCTTTTAATAAATCCCCATAAGATATTCTCAATTCTTGAATACTACAACCTGAAAATATTTATCTTGAAAAAATTTGCATATTTATTTATATTAAACTAAAAAACTAACCTTTATGGAGATAACATCTTAACATCTTTCTCATATGTTCAACCAAATCAGGATCATAATTCTGAATTTTATACACGTTGTTATTACGAATAGCTGTAAGCGTATCCAACATGAAGTGAACTCGAGATCTATTACTTATATAAGAAAAATATAACAATATATACAAACAGCCTAATAATTAATTTAATTATTCAAATGAACTACAAATTCTTATCATGGCTATTAAGGAACTAAATAATTGGGAGTTTGAATATATTTAAATATTCTTAGTATTATTTTTTTTTATTGTATTAATACTATAATTAAATATTATAATGTCAATATAATAAAAATAGCTTTCTTATAAAGAATTCTCAATTTTTTGAGATTTTTATTAAATTATTTATTAAATATTAACTATTTCAAAATAAAAAATTGCATTCTGGAAGAAGTGCACAAATTGCAAAACTGAATTTAAGTAGAAAATTCTTTGATCAGTTAAAATAACTGAACCCTGTAGAGAAAAATCCTCATTGATATCAGCCATTCAGTTAAAATAGTGATAACATAACAAATTTTCCAACAAAAATTTCAGAATTTTGCAATATGTAAGTAATGCACAAAAATTTAGTTAATATTTCTGATAGATATGTGTCAATAAGATTCTATATTACTTTTCCAAAAATCACTTGATAGGAAAATTTTGAAATAATGTATCAAATTATAAAATATAAGTATTAAGAAAATTATAGGAATGACATAAATTTTATTTGGCATTTTAATATCAAGATTTCTGTTGTTTACAGAAAAAGAAATAAAAATTTTAGAATTTTGTTTAAAAAAATATCTAAAAGATACTTTATATATTTTTGTTTCAAATTTAACTATTTTAAGCTATTACATTTTTTAATAATTGTTAAATTAATTAAAAATCAGCTTTATTTTAGTTTTTAAAGACAAACTTAATTTATATCAATTTTAAATGTTTTAATCTGTAACTCATAGAATCAAAAATAGACTATCAATTTTAATTTTTTTTGAAGTCAAATACAAATGTTTCAAATTTCACTAATGCTAAAAATAAGTATATTATTATATTACTGTTTTGTTAACCACCTTAAAAAATTTAATAATAAACCAAAAATGTTAATATACAAATACTTCAGTCATCATCATTCTCATCCCTGTCCATGTAAGTTAGACTTAAGGTTAGAGATGGAACTAGCTAGTATTAAAGAAGACTGAAGGATAAAACAAAAAACTTAATCTAACATAACATATTTAACAATACAAATATTTCAGTACAAACACTGTTTTATATTGCAGAATGCTAACAATTAATTTAATTTATAAACCTATTCACTCACAAAATGAAAAATTTATTTAATACCTTTTATTTTATTATCTTCCATAAAGGTCTTTAATTTGTTTATATTTTGTAGTACAAAGTTAATTAAATTTGATTGCACATGAAAAATAATAAAACTTGTGTTTATTTTCTTGCATTCTTAACTATTATAGAAGTTTTTGCTAAACCTGGCAATGGTCTTTTAATAAGATTGAAAACATTAGTTTTTAAATAGTTTTTTGCTGCTTATAAATATTGTGAATGTCTTAGCTGCACATATGAATATATACAGTACAATCTTGGTAATCCAACATATAAGGGACTGGAACAGTGTTGGATTAAGGAGATTTTTACCAGAATATTGAAAATAAAGTGGATTCAATGGTTAATCATTAGAAATGAAATCATTTCTTTATTTGTACAATATTAGTACATTGTAATAATCAAAAACACATGTTGAATACTGAAAGGAAATATGAAAGGAAGCAGTTATATTTTACTGTATTTTAGATTTCTCAAATTCCTAACCCTTTTAAAATAATTTTAAATTGTCTTCTGCCATTTTGTCATCCCAGAAATGCAATCACAGGTAATCCAGTGTTGCCAAGTTGGTGGATCCCCACCAACTTTAAGGTGTTGGTGGATCCCCACTAAATTTAATGGAAATTGAATTGACAATAGGAGATTTTATAGGAGGTACAGTATTTTTGGCAGGAAGTTTTGGGAGGGCTTATTTTTACATTTATGAAGTATAGTGTTATATTTTCAGCAGTCTATGATGATGAGCCTAACAATCTAATACCATTCCCAAGTTTGAGTGTTTGGAATACAGGCTTGATGTCATGCCCATCATGTCAGGAAACTTATCTATGATTTAGTAACAGTGCCAGTCAACTATCCAAGTTGGACATACCCAAGAGTTGACAACTGTTGGATTTCTGAACATGTTGAACTAGCAAAACAGCCAGATTACTGAGATTGTAGTGTATATGAATTTGAATAAAATGCATACATACATATTTTCTTTTTTTATCATTCAATCTTATTATACATATTAAATTAAATAACAGATTACTTACTGATCTTGTTTCAGTGATGTGTCTGCCGCTTTTCTTTGAATTTCCAAAATTATTTGTTTAAGAGCACTTGGATCATCTTTCCTTAATGAAAATCCAACATCTATTTAATAGAATTTTCTATTTACTATTGACAATTGAATATGATTGATAATCTAATGCTGTTTGAGTAATTAATTATTTAAAGCCCTTGGGGACATATAGTACTAACTCTCAGAATCACATCTCTGAGGTAACTGAGTTTGAATGTTTGAATAAGTCCTAAAATCGCATAAATAGTTGTTAATATTTTTCTCTCCGAACATTGCCTGTAAAATTTAGCTGCCATCTCATCATTTTGTAATTTTTCATTTTTGGAGTTTTTTAAACATTCAATTCAATTACCCCAAAAAATGTGATTGTGAGAGTTAGCACTATACATCCCCGAGGACTTCATTTGTCAAGTTAAGAAATTATTTAAATCAAATCATTTCAAAAGATGAGGACAAAGTCATTGATTGAACTCAAAATAGCATAAAATAAAATTTAATGAAAGAAAACAAGCAATTCTTATTAAGCATGAATGTCTTTATTTAAAGTGATTTAAAAGAATTGAATCTATTCAAAACATATTATTATATGAGAAGCTGCTGTTTACTATTATATAACATATAAATCTTTATTAATACATAATGCAGTATTTATCTTAATTCAACTTTTTATCATATTATATTCATGAAATGATATACAGATAATAAAGTGATTTTAGTGTCCTAATGGACACTAAAATTACTTTATTATCTGTGTGACTCGAGTTTTCTAATTTTGATTACATATTTGTATGTTGATTATGTTAATAAGCAGCGCTTTTTTTTGTCATAGAACACAATGGAATGGCGTTCCACTACCTTTTTTTGATATATTTTAAAAGTTTTAAGAAAATTTTTGAAAATTTGATGTTTGGTTCGCGTTGAATCGCTCTGTTGAGCATAGAAGATAGGCAACAAAATTATTAAGACGGTCCTGCTCCTGCTTGTGTGCCAAATCTTGTATACGATGCATGTAATATATTTTTAGTAATGAGACGAGCATTCCATCACCTTTTTTTCCCCAAAAAAAGCACTGTTAATAAGTATTATATTTTTCAATCTTTATGTTTATAAATACCATAAAAATATATCGTCATAATTAAATTCAGTACATTTTTAATAATTACATTCTTATCAACTGTACTTTTGCTTCCACATATTCAGCATAAATAAGAAAGTATGATGGAAAGTTGCAATAAGAAAGATTTGTTTTATATACCACATTTTCCATATTTTATATATCATAGAGATTTGTTTATATACATTATTTTTAAAATGTAAGCATCTCCCAGGATTTATTTGAAGTCCCAAAGTTTTCTGAGGACAGTGTTTATTAATTTGTAAGAGAAAATAAATGGGTAAAAAACGAGAGAAATACTTAGTTCTGAAAATGTACAAGTAAATAATCAGAATCATTTATTTATTGTATTTATGGGTCACAGCTACAACATTTGAAATAATTACTGTTAATAACTGAATCAGAAGACACTGAATGTGATTATGTTGTCATTCATGATGCTTCAATGTTATTGTCAGAATCAGAATCTTGACTACCATCTTCCGGTTAAAACTCACATCTCTAATTCTAATTTTTCTAATTACGCTTTGGCTGATAAGCTCTTACTTTTTAACTTGATTACAACTTTTCCACGCTCAATACAAGATACCAAATACATCCTAATATTAAAATAAAATTTAAGTACAAAAAAGTGCATCTTATAAAGTCAAAAATACCGTATCATGTTTATAAATTAATAGTATAACAAAACAGCTCATAAAATCCATCAGTTTTTATTATTTTTTATTACAATTAAAATTAAAATGATAAATGTATAAAAAAATGTTTATTGGATTAAAACTTACTTTTTATAATCAACAGAATTAATTCTATATCTTTCTCTTGAAAACTTTCAATTAATTTATGCAAAATATTGTAAATAAGTATTGAGCTTGTAATCTAAAATAGTAAATGTTTTTATTTATTAAACATTGAAAATATAATAAACAATCAATTTAATAAAATATTATTTGTTAGGTTTTAAATTTCAGTTATTGTACAAATTTATTTTCTTATATCTAAAGAGTAATATTAGTTTATTTTTAAACTATTTGGTTAAAGAAACATTTTAATTATTTTTTAATATTCATTAAATAGTTTGTTGTGTATAGTTGTGCATTAATTAGTATATAGTTATGTATTGATATTTTGTCTAAGAATTAAAGAATTCTTGTTTGTTATTTAAATTGCTTCTTGTACTTATTTTAAGTATTCTAAAAATGTTCACGAGGACCTTTTATTATTTAAAAACTTGTTACATCAAGGAATGTGCTCAAAAACTAGAGGATGACATTCTCCTTGATATAACAAGTCCTTAAATAAGAAAAGGTTCTCATGAGCATTTTTTAGAATTAAAGTTTGTATTTGAAAATTTTTTTTTTTCCTTTCTACCTATTTCAAAATTTTCAAAGATTTATATTGTTGCTATTTAATTCAGAGTTTCAGAGTTTATATTTCTCATTATTCCAAATGCTTTCAAATTCCTATAATCAATCTTCAGGGACATTAACAGCTAGAAATATTTTTAGTGACCCATTAGAATTATGTAAGTAAAGCATAGCATTCTTGGAATCACTGTTCAAACAATGATGTCACAAAACATGTATTAGAGTAATGTTTCATGTAGGAAGTGAGCAATCAGAATGTAATAAAGCATCGCATTTTATAGCAATCATGCAACATGAGCCCTAGTTTTAAAGAGATTTTTTTCTGGTTTAAAGAGTTTACTTGTATATATAGTGTCTAATTTAATACTGGAGTTAGAATTGTGTTAAATTAATTTTTATGTGTAGTCACTATTTAAGTGTAAATAATTTTCATTATATTTTATTCATATTCATTAGAAAAGAGATTTACAAAATTTGCTTGTGTTTATTATTCATATCTCCAAGAATATTTTGTTAAATATAATTGGTTATATACAACCCCTGGCAAAAAGTATTTCAACATGATATAAGAAAATAAAATTTAGTTTGAGCTCATTTTATACAGGTTCCTACTCAAATTTTTCTTTTTAAATTCAATGACTTTCCCTGACTTCCACTGACGAATTTTGTAAAAATTCCCTGACCCTCACATCCTTTACAGTATTGCACATTGACAAAATAAAACAGTACTTGACTTACTAATGCACATACGCTATTGCTTCTACAACTTTTTAGTCTTTTTTCTAATTAACAGTTATATATTTTTTTATAATTGCCAAATTATTAAAATTAAAAATAAACTGTTTTATTACATTAAAGTAGTTTATCCTGTTATAACAACAAATCTATACGGCTTTGAAAAAAAGAAAAATTCCATTTATTTATTATTCATTAACAAATCCTGTATAATCCATGTACAAAAGTATGTATTTACTGAATTTATCTCTTAATAAATTTCATGGACTTTATAAAATATTAATAAACTGGAAAAAATCAGAACTTGTTTTATTATGCAATCAAAATTATTAAAATGAAAAATGATAAATAATACCATTTAAATTAAAATTATTTATCATTTTTTGTACTTTGTAAATTTTTGGAAAAATTTTGGGTCTTGAAAATATTCTGCACCTCTTTTCATAAGTTGTATTGCACTACGTTACTTCTTGCTGCCTGCAGATGGCTACACGTAGTCAAGCATTCTATCAGTAAAAAAATCAACAAGGCATCCAAGGAGGCAAATTCCTGATTTTCCATGTCTTTTCCCAAACAATAATGTAGATCCTTGATACATTGGAACATAGGTACAGTATTTAGGAACCCTGTTTATAGAAAAATAAAAATGTAATGCTCAAATCAAAAATATACATTTTATTCATTGCATTATTAGGTATTTATCACTTTAATTTCAAATAAATAAACCAAACCGTTTTCCCAAAAACATATTTTACTTTAAGAAGTATTGTAAAACGTATTTGAACAATAATAATAATAAAAGGATCACATACAAAATAACAGAAGTTAAAATTTTTTGGTCTTCCTCTTGATCTTATTACAGCTTTTATTGTCAAAATTAATTCATTGAAAGTTTCTGAAGTTATTTTACTCCAGTTAATTTTTATGGCTTCTTTAAGTTCATCTTTATTAGTTGTTGCCCTTTCATCAAGCAGTATTTTCAAATTTACTCATAAATTTTCAATAGGGTTTAAATCTGGATTATTTGCAGTCCAGTTAATATTTGAATCCCATTAGACTTCAAAAATTCTTTAATTCATTTGACTCAACAGCAAGTGCATTACTATCCTGAAAACAGCATCAGCATCACCAAAGTGGTCTTCAATTGTTGGAATCAGGAACAATTTTAAAATTCCCTTATACACTTCTGCTGTTACAGCTTCATTAAGAATATAAATATTTCCAGATCCAATAGCTGACATGCAGCTCCAAACCATTAAGCTTGTTGGAAACTTAGTGTTCCTATTCAGGCAGTATTCCTTAAATTTCTCATCTGCACTTCTTCAAATGAATTTTCCTAAATCATAACTATACCCAATGTATATATGACTCTCATCTGATAAAAAATAACCATTTTCCAGTTTTCTATGGTCCAATTTTTGTGCTGTCTTGCCCATTTTAAATAATTGTTTTTTTGTTTCTTGGTCAGAAAGAGTTTGTTTTTGGCTTGCAAATGAAAATCCCATGTCATTCAGTCTATTTCTTACTGTTCTGTCACAAACATTTGTTTTATTTGTCTTCCATTCCATATTTAATTGTTTAACTGCAGCTTTATAATTTGTTTTCTCATATCATTAATAGTGTTCAAATATATTTTGAACATACATGAAGTTGGAAAAAACTTTTTTATACTGCTTTATGTAAAAACATTTTGGTTTATTCATTTGAAATTAAACTGATAAACACTTAATAATTTAATTAATAAAATATATACTTTTGTTTTGAGCATTACATTTTTATTTTCTTGTAAGACAAGTGTAAACAAAACAATTTTATTTTCTTATATCATGTTCAAATCTTTTTGCCCGGTGCTGTACTATCAAAACTTATAAAATACTGTAATAATAAAAAATAAATACTCCTATGTAAATGTATTGTGGATTAATACATTTTTATAATATAAATACAGATATGTTAGATAGTTAAATTTAATGTTTGATGGTGCTTTGTTCTGAAAATCTAAAGTAATGTTAGCAAGATTACAGAAAAAGATTAAATTCAATTGCTGTTTGGCTAATTTTAACTCTTTATGTTGCACTGATGTAAGAATGTTTCAGCATGCTGAGACACTTGAAACCACTTTTTAGCAGGAAATGATTTGTGGCCTATATTTCAATAAAAATTTTTTATATCTATTATAAATATCTACGATGCAAACTCCTGGACATATTTTCTTAGCAATTCAGCATTAGTTTTTACTACTTTACTCATATTGTTGTTAAACCAAACTTAATGTAACAGGATTTTGCTACTTTACTCACAAGAAATTATCTCCCTTACATTTAATTAAACATTATATTTACACAATGTTTTGAATGATTTAAAATTAACATTATTAAATTAATAAATATAACACAATAATTTTAATCCACTTAATTCAAAGAATTTTAAGAATTTAAAAATGAAAGATTTCCATGGCAATGCAAAATATGATCACAAGTGGGATTTTAAAAAAATGCAAGTTAAATGGTTCAAATTTAAAAAATTTGAAGTTCAAGTGTTCATCAGGCTGGTAAAGTGAAATTACTCACATAGATTGTACATGCGCAAAAAATGATTCACTGCATGGATAGCTGAAACAGACTATAGATCATTTGAAGAAGAAGAAGAAAAAAAAAAATAGCACTTGCAATCATGCAAATAATCTACAAAGTTTATAAAGCACTTATAAAGCCCTGAAAATGGTCATATCTGAAAAAATATAAAATAAAAATCAAATATATTTTCTAAATATTTCTAAAATTGCTGAGTAAATCAAATCGTGTTTATATAAAAGTTTCAATAACATAGTATTTAAGGAAAAAACATATGCATACATCCAAATGGGCCTTTAGTTATCACTGTTATGTTAGATTAAGAATGCATACGTTTGGGTAGGTATGTAAGAAAGGCTATCTAAAAAGACTTTTAGAAAATAAAAAGAAAATAAATTAATTTTTATTACCTATCTAAATGCATATCAATATTTCTCTTTTCTTACTTACTAGTAGAAAGTTTGTTTGAAGTTAGGACACTAACTGTTTAAAATTCAGTTCATATGAATGTACCCTTACTTACAATCTATATATATATATATATATCACACTACATAATAGATAACATTTTTTTAATTTGCTGACTATGTGTAAGTAGCAGTTTATAGAAAGAAATTGTATGAGTATATAGGAGCCACAAGAATGTCTGGAAGAGCGGCAGTATGGCCACCATGGTAATAACTATTCTATTGCCATGGTGGCCAATATAAAATACCTAAAATCACAACAACACTTTGTTCTGTCACCAAAAACAAACAAAAAGAAAAAAGAAATAGCAACACAAGGAGTTGCTATTTCTTTTCTTTTATTTCATGTCACAAAATGTTCTGAGCAAAGTCCATGGAACAAGTGGTAGCTAATATATATTCTGTGAGCCACATAACCTTTCCACATCAATCTACCTGTGAGATATAGCACAAATCATATACAGTATCAATCAGTACTCGACACTCATAGGTACACTGATGCCCTAATCCCATCTCATTGCTTGTGGAAACCCAGGAGTCATTTTAAAATCATTAAAGTGAGGCTTCATGCAGAACCCTTCCACTAAAAAATCAAACTTTGGCCTCTCTTCAACCTTTACAATGGACAACTCAATTCTGATTGACAACTCTCTCTCTACATATATGTAGAAGACATACATGCAGCAAGACATTCATGGATACACTATATACATGATAAAGGGAGGAACAAATAGAAATGGCAACACTGATAATCAATAAACAGTGAAAACTTTTTGTTATAAACAGTCTAAATTGAGAATAAGAGGGCAAAGCTTGTAAGATAAACAAGCAAAGCAAGTGAGAGAAAAGCCTCCCTTGTAATAATATAATAATTCGTATAAATTATTAGTGTATAAATTATATATTTTTGAAAATTACATCTAGACATTTCAGATAACTGCTTTCTAATATTTACTTTTAAAACACTTCTTTTACTTTAGTATTAATAAGTTATTTAATAAAAATAGCAATACATACTTTAAAAGTAAAAAGATGAATAATAAAACAAATTAAGTTATCAATCATTTTTCCTTCATAAGAATTATCTTTCAGAAAATCTTCTAATTTGCAGATCCAAGTTTGAAGAAAATGTGCACCTAACATTAAATGAGTTTAAAAAATTTATTTTGTTTTCTCAAGTTTTATTTCAAGAGTTAATTTAAATAATGTTTAATATATTTTAATAAAGAATAAAGCTTAAGTTATAATTTATAATATTTGAATTTTGTCAATATTTTCTTTTACATATTAATTCTAGAACAATTAACAAAACAGAAAGAAATAAGAAAATAAAAATATATTTGATTCTAAGAGACTAATTTATGAATTTGGTTGTATTATTAATTCTTAAAAATATTTTTATTTGGCAAAAAATTCAATTTGATAATAAAATTTCAAAGCAAAATTTTATCACTATGTAAAAATAAAATTCATAAATTTTTAATTTACCTATTTCTTCACCAATATTTCCATGTAATAATGCTATTAACATAGCATGTTCCATTACTAGTCTGTTAGCCATCAATACTGGGGAAACAATTAACTCCATTAATAAAGCCGATAAAGTTTCATTTACATCTGAAATGACAAAATAAAAATGATCAAAATCTACATTAATTTTCTCTTATGGTAATTCCAAACAATTTAATTCTTTTTACAGAAAATGTTAAAAAAAGAAAATAAGCAAATTAATTCAAATAATTATCTAATAAACATTTTTACATATTACAAAGGCAATTTCATTAATCAAACAATAAAATTTTAACACTTAAAGTATTTGTCTAAAAGAATTTTAGAAGGTATGAGGAGAGTCCAGAAAGCATAAGTACCATTGGCATATACTCCCACTCCCACTATACACTCCCATGACAATGTCAAGGTTGTGTATGTGTAGTTACTTCTTTCACTCAAGAATGAAGTAGCCAAGTCATATTTATTTTTCTTGTTCACATTGAGGATCACTAAGCATCAGTTACAATAATCAAAACAATCAATTAGCCCACCAGTTATGAAATATGATCAGAAATTAAATTTTTGATCACAAGAAATGGTTGACCAAACAAAATTTATCAGAAAATTTGTGAAGTTTATGTACTAAATATAATAAGTGAAGGTATGGTGAAAAAGTGGGTTAGGATATTTAACAAAGGAAGGGATAACATTCATGATGAGGAGCATAGTGGGTGCCCATCCCTAGTCAATGAAGACTTACTGCAAATGTTGAAGAGGAGATTCATTTCAATAGACAGTTCACAATTTCTGATTTGTCTCTGCAATTTCCTGACATTAAGATCTTTGCTGCATGAAATTGTCTAAATACTAGCACTTCAAAAAGTTGTGCTTGAGATGTGTGCCAAAAAATGCTAACAGACATTCACAAAACAAAATGCATGGGATCAGTCTTGGAATTTTTGCAGTGGTATGAAGGAGAAGGAAATGGATTTTTAAAAAGAATTGCCACTGGTAATGAAACATGGATTTGCCACATGACACCCAAAAAGCAAACAACAGTCACTACAATGGCAGTATTTTATGGGACTGTCAGGTAATTTTGTTAGTGGAATTCATGCCACAAGGCAAAAAAATCAACACAGAAACATACTGTCAAACTCTGAAAAAATTAAGGTGAATGATACAGAACAAAAGGCCTACTTAATTCCAATGTAGTGTTGTTGCACAACAACGCATGAATGCATGTCACAAGTATGACAAAGAAACTGTTTAAGTCATTTTGCTGGGAACAATTCACTCATCCTCTTTATAGTCCAGACTTAGCACCCAGCAATTTCCATTTGTATCAGCACCTCAACATTTCAGTAGTGATGATGAGGCAAAGCAAAACAAACTCCAGAAATGGTTCAAATCATAGGCAGTGGAATTCTATGAAACGGTGTCTTCAATTTAGTGCCAAGATATGTTAAGTGCGTCAATTTGCTTGATGATTATCTTGAAAAGTAGATTAAGTTATATATAATTTAACGGTAATTAAATCAATTTTGTTTAATTTGCCTACTTTTTTAGATAGCCAAATGACACTTACTTTCTGGGCATGCATCATAACATAAACTTACTTTTTTAGCTTATATGAAAAAAGTTTTCCATTCCTTCATTTAATTTTAATTTTATGAACCTCTTACTAAAATAATGTAAATTAATATTGCATTATGTTCAATATTAAATAAAATTTGATGATAGAAAAATTAATAAACTTTCATCACATAAGAATATTTTTAATTCTTATTTCTTTGCTTCTTTCCATCTTTTTATCTAATTAATATTTTAATTTGTGTATTTTAAAAATTTTATATTAATTTATATGAGTATATTAAAAAGTATTTAATTTATAAAATTTTTTCACATGCATTCTCTAAATGAAAACAAATAATTCCATAAATAATTTACCATTTCTACTATTCTTCATATATATTTCTTCTATCTGATAACATATGGGCTGCATATTTGCTTCACTCAATCTGAAATTTAATAAAGTTTACTATTAACTAAATGTTATAAAAATTTTTTCAGATATATGATATCACAACTAATAATAATAAACTTATTTAGGGATCTCACTACTAGTAACTTTTTTTGCTACAAGTGATGTAATTTAGTAACAACTTTTGTCTGCAAAATCAAAAAAGTGACAGAAAATTTCACTTAGAAAAACGCAATAGTTTCCATACGACGTAATGATGTGTTTTTGTCAATTTCAGAATTGCTTTAATACAATAGCCCCTTGTTATATTGCGCTTGTCAGGAGACAAATAAAAAGTACGATGTATCTGGTGGCACGATATAACTGAATACTGAAAACATTTTGGGCTTATACTAAACAGATTATACATGCTATGGAATCTCTATCCTCTATTCTTTCACCGGCAAGTGCTTCTGATATAAAATAAGCTGTTTTGCAATACTGAATATTCATGGTTATATCATATTAAATGTTTACATAAACATTGATATCATGAACACCCATTTAGAATAATTGTAACAATGACATTTAAAGACAAATACCGTTGATATAAACATAAAATATCAGTTGCTATTTTATTACACAGTACTAATATTTCACAATAAATCACTTATTAAAAATTTGTGTAATTTATATTTTTCAATAAAAATTATAAATTTAGTAATTGAACATTTAAAAAGTAAATATTGAACATATAATAGAACATCAAAACTTATAAAATTACAAAGAGTAAAAATTCTGTAAAAAGCATAATGAAGTTACTACTGTATAAAAATTTTAGAATTTTCCATTCAGAAATAAAGAAATCTTTTCCTTGCACATTTTGCAGTGAATTCAAAATTTGTAAATGAGAAGACAGTACTTAAAACCAATAAATAAACAACTTTTAATATCAAAAGGAAACATAAATGATAATTGATCTGTCCACTTTGGTTTGCTTATTGTGAGAATCCAGGGTTGATGATTTAATTTGTTAAATTATATAACAAGATTTTGTTAAATTAAATTGATAAAATTTTATCTGTTTTGTATAAATTGTACAAAGTTGAAAAAGAACCTTCCTGTTTAGTTGAAGGAAAATGACATAGATCCTCCAAAGTTTAGTGATAGTTTAGTGTGGGATTTCTCATACTCTATCTGCAAACCACCCAACTTCATTCATATGGAAGCATTAATAAAGGGCTTATTTTAAACAATTTGATTGAAAGAGATTTTGTATAAATAGGTCACCTCAAAACATCTGATAGCTAGTTAGTACAGCTTAATCGACTTAAGTACAACTTAGCTTAGCTCACTCAACCTTTTGAAAGGCAAGTTTGGACTTAAAGAATGTTCTGTGTGCTCTCCTTAAGACTTCAGCTCAGCTCTCTCCAATCAAAGACTACATATAGGTAATATACTATGTAAACTCTCTCTGTATATATGTACAAATTAGTTAATAAGATTAATTAGAGTTCCTCTTTCAAAAGGAAGAATTTGTAATTAGATATTTCATTATCATATTATGTTTTATTCATTTAGATTTATTTTTCATTATAAGTTGTATATAGATTTATTTTATTAAATATATCTTTTAATCCTTAACTCATGTAATTTCCTTTATGCCTAACTCCATCGTCTAACTCATGTTAAAAATAATCCTCCTATGAATTCCGGAAACATATTTTTACACTTTTATTTGCGTCTTATTCTGCAGAACTGACTAAGTCATATCAGGAATCTTGATTTGAGAGATTTAACCAATCTCTAAAAATAAATGGTCATCATAAACATGAGACAGAGTATTCCGGAACCCCTCACATCTCACATTTATTTACCATAATTGTTTTGCTTATTTATATCTTGACAAATTTATTGTTTCACTTGCAGTGGTAGTTTCAAGGACAATGGTAGGAATAAAATACCATATTTCATTGCAAAGACAAATTCAATGACAATTGATATTTTAAAATTTATTGACTCAAATGCTTTTAAAATTTGAGGACCCAAAAAAAGCATAATATATCAGAATCCACAATATAACAAGGGACTACTGTATATCTACGGATAGCAGGCATAAGTGTAATGGACCGAGATGGCTGTAAGATAATTTTAAATGAAATTATTATATTAGATAAATTTCCATCATGTTTGAGGAGAACTATGTAGTTAATANGTCATATCAGGAATCTTGATTTGAGAGATTTAACCGATCTCTAAAAATAAATGGTCATCATAAACATGAGACAGAGTATTCCGGAACCCCTCACATCTCACATTTATTTACCATAATTGTTTTGCTTATTTATATCTTGACAAATTTATTGTTTCACTTGAAGTGGTAGTTTCAAGGACAATGGTAGGAATAAAATACCATATTTCATTGCAAAAAAAGAAATTCAATGGCAATTGATATTTTAAAATTTATTGACTCAAATGCTTTTAAAATTTGAGGACCCAAAAAAAAAAGCACAATATATCAGAATCCACAATATAACAAGAGACTACTGTATATCTACGGGTAGCAGGCATACGTGTAATGGACCGAGATGGCTGTAAGATAATTTTAAATGAAATTATTATATTAGATAAATTTCCATCATGTTTGAGGAGAACTATGTAGTTAATAGTCTGGCCTTTTGTTCCAGTCAGGTCAGCCCCAGCAATTGTTTACAGTCTTACCCAGAAACATCCCCAGTACAAACTAAGAAGTTTTTTTGACTTTGGAGATAAAGAAATATTATAGTTTCATACTTTCCTGCAGTTACAGCTAAATGTAGAGAAGACTGAGTTGCTTGTGGAATGGGGCATGTTTAAAAGAATACTTATCAACAGATGCAAGGATCTCTGTCTCTCAGGTGTCCACCAATTAATGGTCCTAAATGACTTACTTTCTGATTTTCCTNAATATATCAGAATCCACAATATAACAAGAGACTACTGTATATCTACGGGTAGCAGGCATACGTGTAATGGACCGAGATGGCTGTAAGATAATTTTAAATAAAATTATTATATTAGATAAATTTCCATCTGCTTGAGGAGAACTACGTAGTTAATGGTCCAGCCTTTTGTTCCAGTCAGGTCAGCCCCAGCAATTGTTTACAGTCTTACTCAGAAACATCCCCAGTACAAACTAAGAAGTTTTTTTTGACTTCATAGATAAAGAAATATTATAGCTTCATACTTTCCTGCAGTCACAGATAAATGTAGAAAAGACTGAGTTGCTTGTGGAATGCGGCATGTTTAAAAGAATACTTATCAACAGATGCAAGGATCTCTGTCTCTCAGGTGTCCACCAATTAATGGTCCTAAATGACTTACTTTCTGATTTTCCTCATATGTTCCTGATTTTAGAATATGCCTTTGCAATTCCAGTACATATTGTTGACTGTGAATGTGTTTTAGTGAAATGAATATCATTAAAACCCCAATACGCAATATGCTAGATGTAATAAATGTTAGCAATTTGATGAGTATATCAATCAATGATTCACCTCAAAGAGAATTTGATTTCCAAGCTGCCTTTACTGTATGGTGCAAAAAAAAAAAAAAAAAAAATGCTTTCGATTGTGACCTTAGTATGACTATGAGATTTGTAAAAAGCTAGCAAGATCCCTACTTATTATGTATGTAATATACATTATTTTAATTAATGATTTTAATATAGTTAAAAATAAATTTTTATCAAATTTTATATTAAATGAATGATCACCTATTTAATAGTCCTCTTAATTGTTTTTGTATGATTTCAAGTTGTTTTTCTTTTTTAGTACTGGTGGTCATACTTAATCGTTTTGCTGGAGGAATATATTTTTCACCTGAATTTCTTGATTCTGTTTTTACTATATTTCCTTCTTTATCTCTCAAGCGTCCATAAATATCCTCCCAGAATTTTGACTTGCTCTTTTTTTGCTTGTCATTGTCTTTTATATCACCTACACCTTCATTAACACTTTCAATGCTATCATTATCCTCTAAATTATTTTCAACACCACTATCATCGTCCTCACTCTGCTCACTATCATTTTCATGATCATCACTTTTGCAACTATCACTTTCATCATCATCATCACCACCACCACCACCACCACCATCATCATATTCTTCATCATTTTCAACTTCTGATTTAATATCCATATCTTCATCAAATTCACTGTTGTCTTGAAAAGACACTTTTCTCTCTTTTTTGCCTATTTTCTTTAAACTGTGAAGTCTTGAAGATATTTCTTCTTTCTTTGAAGTTTCATTAGAATTATCTATTATCTCAAGCAAATCTAAATATAGTTAAAGAAATTTAATATGCAAAAGTTTTACATTTACATTTATATAAATATATATTTGTTTATGAAACCATTTTCTCATTATACAAAATACACAACGATAATCTGTATATACATTAAAAGCAAAATGTTCCGTCCTCACCGAAACTGAAACCAACAGTACAAAGAAGCAGTGTGTAAGTAGGTCATATTACATCTTAGGTGGGCCTACAATTCATTTCTCGAAAGGATCGCCCATTAACATCCTCTGTAGACTCTGCATGAATTCGTGCAAAGGGATAAGAAAAGGAAAAGAAGGAAATTGTGTAGGGATAGGAGATACAAAAAGACTTCACTTTTGACACAGACTTGGAGTTGAAGAGACAACTATTCGTTTGCTCCCATAGCAACTATTCTTTAAGTTTGATTTCTGAATAACCTTTGGTCATATACAGAACACAGATTTAGTTTTAGTTTTACATTATTTTGTATAATTTTTATGTGTATATATATATATATATACTATACTATACTAAAAGCAAAATGTTCCACCTCTGCTAAATACAAATAATAAAAATTTCAAAACAACTTTTAAATGGTTTTTAAACACATTGTTTTAATTTTATTTGATTTTATTTTTAGTTTTGGTTTCAGTGTAAATGCCAGAATTTTAATTATTTTATTTTTAAATTTAATTATTATTTTTAGTTTTAATTAATTTTTGGTTTAATTTATTTAGTATTAATTTAGTTTTAATTTTTATAATTATCTTTAATAATTAATTAATTTAATTTTTGAACCCTTAATTACAATTCTTTTAATTAATTGTAACTTTTTTTTTCTTTTGTGACATAACTGTAGAAATTGTTTTAGTGTTGTGTCACACAAAAGACAATCAAATTTAAATTTAACGTTTTTAATAATTTCATTAATTTTTGTTTTATAAATTTGCCTGCTATTTAAAAATTTAATTTTAAGCTAGTTAATGTTAATTGAACTATTGGGCTACCTACTCTGTATAAGAGTAACATAAATATCTATTAATTATTTATATAATGTACATTAATAAATTGTTAAATAAAGTTTTAGTATGATATCTTTGTTAAAAATCTTTAAAAAAAATGCAATGACAATAGAAATTCTAGCTCTAATTTTAAATTTAGATGCTGTAAAATTATTTTAACAAAGACATTCATAAATGATTTTTTATTTTATATGATGTGCTACTTATAGTTTAAGTATTTTACAAATAATCATTTTAGTTAAAAATAAAAAATATCTGAACTATCACAATGAAAGAAAAAGCAAAAACAAAAAATACAGGGTGTCAATAATTCACCTGATTAAGAAACTCAATAGAAAAAAACAAAACTATAATGGATATCTAAAAACAGTTAACACATCATTTGTTAACTGAAAAAGTTTTTTTTACAAACCTTTCAGGTTGAGATGGCTTATTACTAAACTTTGACACATTCCTTTTATTGCTCTCAGAATATCAAGTCTATACTTGACTTCTCTCCAAATGTTTTTTAATTTCTCCTCTGATACCATATTCATAGCCTGGACAATCCTGTCTTCCTAATTTCTCTATGCTATTTATCTTTTTTTGCATATACTTTGTTCTTTATGTGGCTCCACAAAAATAAATCAAGGGGACATCTTCAGGAATCTTGGTGACCATGCAATTGGTCTATATCATCTGATCCAACAATTCAAGAATTTCTCATCAAGTAAATTATGCATCTCTACACTCAAGTGTGAGTTAAAACTTTTTGAGTTAATAATAATGTGTAGTTAACTGTTTTTCACGATTTGTTAGCTTTTCCTCTATTGAGTTTCTTAATTAGATGAATAAATTATGGACATTCTGTAGTTTTATAACAATCTTATAATAGAAATTGATTAAACATTTTTTGTTTCTTATATCATTTGATATTGAAGTTATAGCATTAAGACTAAACATAAAACTAGGTTTAAGAACTAAATTATTACTTGATTCCATAAAATTTTTAGTTTTATGAATAAAGTATACAAAGAAATCATATATTTAATATGAGACTGAAAGAAACCAATAAAATGAGATTTTGCACAAAAATTTGTGACAACTACATATGAAATAGATTAAAACAGAAATTTTATTTTATATAAATATAAATTTTACAGGCTCAAATAAAATTCTTTCTATTTTCATTAAAAAGGATACATCCTAAACCATCATCATAAAAGGATTTTGGTATCTTCTTTTTTCTGTTTTTTAACTTCAATTGTTTTTCAAGTCTGTTAATAGCTTTATCATCTTCTGCAATAGCTTCTTGTAACTGTATTTTTTTAACATCATTTTTCTAACAATAAAAATTTATATAAATAAATTAAAATATAATATAATAAAATATTTTTATATAAAATATATTCTTTAATGAAATTTGCATTGATATTTGGAGTAAACATTATTGTAAAAGTTGTCAGCTACATCTTGAAAAGATTTTGTAATAGAACAATCACTTTATATAACATCATACTTTGATTTGTATCATAGAGAATATTAACTAATTTTCTAAATGACTAAATTTCATAATTTAATTATAAGTTCATAAATGATGATAAAAATGTAATTTGTCTGAATATAGTAAATGACAAAATCCAATACAAAATGAGTGGAAAATCAAATCGATTTGTTTGTTGTAAATGCTTACAATAAGTGGGCCATTTTGTCATCTTAATTACAGTTTTTACATTTTTTGTTTAAAAATTTTGTAATTACATAATTAAATAAACAGAGTTTTAATAATAAAAAACTTAAAAATTTTAAACCTCAACATTTGAAAAATAAATAATTTCTGATATCATATTGTTTTAAACTCATTTTCATAAGTTAATATCATTATTATAAGATCTTAATATCAAAATATAAAATATTTTATATAATATATTCAGTCTAAAGAATTTGGAAATATAGTTGTAATATATTGATATGTTCAAAAAATGAAACAAATATTAATGCAAATATTAGATTTAGTATTCATATATAATGGAAGAATATAAAGCAAAAATTTTTATATGATATAAAAAAAAAACTTATGCAACTTCATAATGATTATAAAATATCAATTTCTCCGATTTGCAAAATGAATTTATTCAAACTAAATTTTGTAATATGTTGCTTACACTTCTTTCTGGACAACATTTTTCAAAAATGATTTGCATTTTTATAAAGAATGTTCACTATATTATTAATCCTTGATGCAACAGACTAATAACGGGAGAATTGTATGTTGAGTGAACTTTATAAAAGATTTTATAAGAGAATGTATATTGTGATACATAAAAAAGGAAACAAACACAACATTTCCAAGCAAGGACATTAATAATGGCTGCCTACATGCTGCCTAGCAGATGCACTACCTACTAACACTCACAAAATGATATTTCCTCTTCAGAGATTTCTCAAAACAAGCATATTTATTCTATCATTTCCAAAATCCATTATTTCAGGATCTGTAAAATTGACAGTCAACTTGTTTATAATTTTAAAGTTTGAAATAATATTAATCTGCATGATTATTAATAAAATTTTTACAATATATTTAGAATAATCTATGCTACATTGCCCACTAGCCACAAAGTACTGTACATGCCTAAGAGTACTGGACAGGAATTACCCTAGAGCCTGAAAATTGGAAAAAATAAAGCACTTTTGTTGTTAAAATTATATACCATAATTTATATAGATATAATTAGATGTTATTAGTTTATGATGTAAAAATATGTTGAGGACCCCCAATTTTCTGTGCTTAGGGGCCCTGGAAGGTCTTAACTTACTGAGAAAAATAAAATACAAATTATTTCAGAAATAGGATATTAAATCTTCAGCAAAACAAAATTAAAATATAGGCTCTAAATTCAATATTTTTGCAATTAAAAAAAGTAATTGATATTTTTATAAAAATTGTAATTTAGTCTGAAAATTTCACAGAAAAATTATGTGAGATCTGATTGATAAATAAAGATCTCTATTTTAATAAAATTACATTAGAAAGTAGTAAAAATTAGTAAATTAATATATTTAAGAGAATAATGTTTAATAGAATACTTAAGAATCAAGTAAAAAAAAAGTTTTCTACAAGCAATGTATCAAAGAATTTTCATATGGAAAGAGATAAAGGTAAACAGTAACAGAATTGATTATGCTTTTATCTACTGCAAATATAAATAAAATAATTAAAAGTATACAGAGTAGAAATCTGTTTAACCAAGATTCTGCATTATATGAGATGAATTGTAGAAGAGTACTTTGTCAATAAAGCCAAGAGAACTTAGTACAGTACACTTCATTTCATGAATCTTGGCTGCACATTACTAAAAAGTTTTACAAAGAAGTTACTTTGATAACTTCTCACAACAACATGAATTTTAAAAATGATTAAAGAAATTTTAACTGTAATCATAGATTTACATTTGCTTTAATAAATATAATTGTAAATAAAATTAATGTTTTATTGTATAATTTAAAAGTCATGTATAAAGTCAGATAATGAATTTAATCCAAAAACAGAATGCATCTTTCTTATTAATGTATCTAAACTCAGTTTATTTAATAATTGAGCAAACATGCCATATTATCTGAGGTTTTGATTATCATCCTTAATAACTGAGATTTACAACTGACTTTCAGTGTTAAAACTTCTGTTTATTTACTAGAAATTGTAAAAAAAAAAGCACTTTCAATGGTGCATTACTGTTTTCTTCAGGTGACTTATTCAAAATAGAATATCAAACATAAAACATCCAAATGAAAATTCAAGAAGAAGAAACTTCAAAAAAATCTTTAACATTCTTCTTGAAATTCCAGAACATAGTAAGCACCCATGAAACACAGCTCAAAGTTTAAAATTTATTTAATTTTTATATTGGGCAAATTTTAAATATTGATATAAAGACACAAAAAAAGCCTATGTAATATCCAAATTGGCAACAACTGTGCTTTTAATTTTACAAGTAATTCTTGATCCATTATCTTGAATGATCTCTCTACTATAATTATAATCATATTCTGTAACTGTCAATTTTTTAAAATCTATCTGTACAATATCCAAAAATAATTCTTGATTCTGTTAATATTTTTCATCATCCATCTCTGTATGAAAGATACTTAACTAAACTTGTAAAAAGTAGATTATTATTTTCAATTATATTTTAAATTACAACCTACAAACATAATTTAAAATATTTGATACAGTAAAAAAAATGTAAAATTAGAAATTAACAATAATTCTTTAAAAATATTTAATACAGTTAAATAAATTTCAGATAAAACAAACCATTGTTGACTTTCTTGGTGACTTTGGTTGTTTCTTTTTAACAACTGGAGTAATCTTATTCTTTTCTGTTGCATCTTTAATAATAGCTTGTTTGATTTTAGAACTCTACATGAAAGAAAATTTGAAAAATTTATCTAATTCATATTTTAATTTGTGATTTAAAAATTCAATCAATTAATAATTTCATAGTAAAATCCAACATCTTAGTTTATACTCAGTATATTATATTTTGTGTTCATATCTACAAATATTTGTAATTGGATTAAAAAAATAAAATATTGAAAAACTAACTACAAAGATCAAAATTATTTCTTCAATAATTATTATTGAAGAAATAATTTTGATCTTTGTAGTATACAGATGAGAAATTAAGGAAAAGTGAAACAACAATTAATTTTCTTTAATTTTTATGTTGTCTTTAAAATTAAAGATTTGCCTCATATTGAATTTTTGTACCATCTACCCATATAACTTCTTTCATTTGCACCTTCTATACTTTCATTCTCTTTATTATCACCATTATCTTTTATTTCTGTGTCAGTACCACAGTCTGAAATGTGATTATTATTCTCCTCTTTCTTATGAGTATCACAGTTTTCATCCTTATCACTTCTTTCTAGCAAAATACAGTCGATTGATAATTCCGTTTTATATGAATTCCATGTTGTACGAGTCACTTAGATTTTACAAATATGTGTGCCGGGCTGTGAACGGCTCACGTATTTGTAAAAATCTAAGTGACTCGTACAACACGGAATTCAAATAAAACGGAATTATCAACCGTGTTATAGGGGGGGTCGACTGTACTACAAGTTCTCTGCTGATCAAGAAATAAAAAGAGTTTTTCTATGTATAGGGGTAGAAAATGACTAAAATGTAAACACTTCAAATAACACTTGTATACAAGCCTAAAAACTTGAAAAAATAAGTGTAATTTTACTGCAATGTTTATGCTTTCATTCCTATAGAAACCACCACTTGATATCTGTATGCATATTCAAGTACAAGTAGACCGAGTGGCATTGAAAAGTACTGGGATGACAGAGTCACCCTATCCAATATCAGCATTCCTTTCTTTCATATTTTTCTTGGAAAAACTACACAGTGAATGATTAGGTCACTAGGATGTTCAGAAGTATTTTCAGGGAAGATACTGAAATGCCAAAATACTTCACACACATGTGTACAGTATGCATTAAAATATCACTGGGGTGATGCAGACAGCCTGCACACCCACTACTGGGTTAAAATCATAGAAAATACAAGTAATCTATACAACTATTTGAATTAACAGTCCATATTTTATTGACTGAAAATACAAGCATAAAAAAAAAAAATATATATATATATATATATGTCACTTTATCATTATGCTTTATATTTACTATGTATATATGCCAGTTACAGTTTGTCTATTCTTTCTGTGTATGTATGTAGAAATTAGAACATATATACTATATATACTGTGAGGTCTCTGACAAAGTCTGAATCCCTCATTAAATGTACAAAAATTCAATTAATTTAAGAAAATATTTTGTTATAAAAAAAATGTGTGAAATAGATCTATTGTGAAGATATGAAATAAAGAATACAGTCAACTCTGAGGTCATGAGATGATGCAAACTAACAGGTTGGAATGTTTAGAATGTCAATCAGAAAAATCAAGCTTTGAATCTGACACTCATAAGCATTATGTGTTTTCCAAATAAACAGCTTGTTATGTAAAAGTGGTTGTCTCAATTACCCCTCTTTAAATTTGCACTTCTCATTCACATTGACAAGAAGAGGGATTAATATCCACTTGTCCCCATCAGCAATACTTTATATTGTATATATATTATATATATTGTAATGTGATTAATTTATGTAAAGATATTTTCAATCAAATTAAGTGTATATTTTGCAACTTTTATTTGCTTTACTTTAGTTTTTAAAATATGACAACCCCATTGACATACAGTAAGATTGCAGATGTGAATGACAGACACTGTTGGGTCCTTAATAGAGCTGTAGAGCATGCCTGTAGGAACAAAACGGTCAAAGGAACCATACCTCTAAATGTGACCCTTTGGGAAATATAGCCCTCCAAAATCAGTCTAAAGCGTACATCCAGGAGCATGTAACATGGCTCCCTAAGCCTATTGCACGTTTAACAGTCAGTACAGCACAGCAATCAGACATTCTGATATTTATCAGTAAAGAATAAAGAAAAGTCTGACAGCCAACCATTTGCGAGATATTTGCCTCCAAATGTGAACCCAGTGGCAGTTCCAATTGCCATCTTGCTTGTGGACATCATGCTTTTGCAAAATAATAAATGAATTAACTTCTACTGATCAAAAACAGTTTTTATCTAGAACCAGTACTACTGCCTATTCTTCATGCTCTGCATCATGAAGGCAAGCGACAGCAAGCCTTGACTTACACTCCACATGTAGTCATGTGCTTTGGTGCTCACTATCAACACTGGGATAGAGTAAGCCCTCATAGCCCCTAAAACTATATAACATCGAATACTACACAAATAGTCAAGTGGACTATTCAAAGCCAGCATAGTCATGTGGACTAAATAGTTAAACACAACAGTCTTAGCAGAGCATGTGGTGCAGCCCACGATCATGTGTGACCAATTTCAAGAGGCAATATCTAGCGAATGGTCACATTTATAGGTATGGTTTCTTTGACTTTTTTCCTATTACAGCATGCTGTATAGCTCTTATTATACGCGTCGCCCCCAAATAATTCTATGTGTTTAGGACACGTCTACTAGAGAGGTGTCTTAAGAGAGCAAAATTAGAAAAAAAAGGGCACATGAAGTAAGGATAAACTTTTATCCATCTTTTCTTCATTCAAGCTTTTTAAAAATGTAATATAAAATACCTTACCTTTTTCATAAAAAATTCATGTTTCTTAGCTTTTTTAGCAATTCGTTCATTTTTTCTTCTTTCTTTCCGTGTTTGATTTTTGCGACGATTGAATCCACGAGCCATTTTCAAATTCTCCTTTCTCAAAACAACTAACACGTGTTTACCAGACAGCTATCGCCATCTTTAAAATTTCAAATAAATTATTCTTTAATATATTAAAAATAATTTATAAAATAGATAACAATAAATTATTTCTTTATTACTATTATAAAATAAAAAAATATATATATTTAAAATAATTTTATCCTGCATTAAAATATTTTTAATTCTCTCTTTTATTTTAAAATAATATTAAATAAATCAGAATGAGATGTTTTTAATTTTTTAATTTAATCTATTAATTACTTTTCTTTAATTTCAAGTTATATTTTCTCTAATTTCTTTTTATAAATATTGAAAATACTGAGAGGTATCGAGATTATAAACGAAGAAAGATGGCGGTTGCTAGGAAGAAGCGAGTTGATGTTTTGAGTCTTAGTTTATACATTTTGTTAAACTGTTATCTCGTTATCGGTACAGATAATAATTGTATACCAATTACGAGTTGTTCGTGCATATTTAAAAATGGAAGTATCATAGATCTGAGTTCGATAGCGCCTGCAAATGGACACGAGTACGTAGAAAAATGAGTAAATGTCAAACACGTGACAATTTTCCTTGTTTTTTTCCGTATTATAATTTAGTGTTTAAATCTTTATAAAATAGTTTGATATTTGAGAAATATGATTTTATCTTATTTTAAAGTTTAATTATACTAATATTCTTAATAATCAGTTTTTTTAAATTGAAACGGGAGTTTCGAAACTAATAATTGTTACGTTTTATTTGTATTAAGTCACAGGTAAAGAAAGTAATTTCTTTCTCTATTAAATACAGTAAGTAATTATTGGCTGTATCGTTTCTGGTTTTTCTTATGAGCAATGGTTTGGTTACTGGATTGAAAAAAAAATGACCCAATAATTGAGTACTTGCCAATTAAAGTTATTCAAATTATATCGGCATATACAATACTTAAATTGTTACATATTAAAAAATATATATCAATTTTTAGTTATTAGGAACTTAATGCTCGTAAATAAATTTATTTTTCAACTTTCTTTTGCTTTGTAAAGAAACACTAAATGTAAAGTAGAAACAAGATCTTATCTAAACAGCTGTTTGAATTGCTTTCTGTTAATCTGCTATTTGCTAACTTTCATCTTTAATCATGTGGATGTTATAGATCAATGGTTCCCAATTAGTGGTACGCGTATCCCCGGGGGTACGCGAAATTGCATGAAGAGGTATGCGCGGCAATCTAAAATTGGTCGATTTAAAATTTAAATGCATGAGATGAAGCAATCAAAAAAATAATGGGTGGACCAGCAAAAGTTCGACAATTTACAACATGAGGTCAAATGCACAAATTCGTTTATTTATAACTAAAAATATTTTCGAAATTTCATTTTTAAAAATACATTTGCGGCAATACCTAAATGAAATTCTTGCGCAAGAAACAAAAATTATACAATTAACACAATTTGTTTTCGCGAAATTAATTTTTAAAATTTTTGTCGCTATTGCGAATAACTCCACCGACCACCTTCCCATTTCTGACCAAGATGAATTAATAGACATTTCATGCAACAGCAGACTCAAGAGTTGTTTTGCAGAGGTAATTTTTGGGCTGACCTAAAAGACATTTATCATGTCGGCGAAGCAGCAATAAAATATTTACTACCATTTTGCACAACATACCTCTGCGAGAGCGGATTTTCGGCCATGACAAACATGAAAACTAAACATCATCACTGACTTCAACTCGAAGATGATTTGAGACTGAAGCTGATCAAAAAGCAACCAGATTTTACAAAGTTGTGCAAAGAAAATCGTGCACATTTGTCACATTAAAATTAAATAACCTTATGTTATTTTCATTATTATTAGAACTGTATTTTAAAGGTAATAAATGTAAAAAAAACTTATTCTATTTATCACTAGATGTCTACCCACAGCTTCGCCCTCATTATATTGAATTTTCTTGTGGGAATAAGATATTTTCTCGCATTAAAAAGTAGCATATGTCCATCTCTAACATGTAAGCTATCTCTGTGCCAAATTTTATTAAAACCTGTTCAGCGGTTTAGATGTGAAAAGGTGACAGACAGACATTACCTTCGAATTTATAATATTAGTATAGATTAATATGAATTTCTGCTATAAGGGGTACGCGAGTTTGAGCTCTTTCTTGAAGTGGTACGCAGGAAAAACTAATTGGGAACCACTGTTATAGATTAATGAAGCACTTATTAACTGATAAAGTAACAAAATTTTAACAGTCTTCTATTTTTTCTGTTAAAAACTAACAATTTACAATATTGTTAATTTTATGTAATGGCTATTTTTTAGGGTGATTCAAAAGTTCCCAAACACTGATAACAATTTTGTGAAAAAGATCTCTAGCACTGGCAACACTGTTGTGAATGCAAATGAATTGATATCGGTGTTATCATTAAAGCATGTACTATTATTTTATAGAGCTATTGAGTTCATTCCTTTGGCAAATATTGTTTTCTACAAGAATGACTGACTAAAAAACTCATCGTTTGAGGCATCTTGCATCATTACTGAAAACAAAGGTTCAGTACAAAGGTGACAGCAGAGAAAATTTTTGAAATTGAAGGTGCAGGCCTGATGAACATGACAACTGCAGCTGAATAAAAAACTGCATACAAACTGCAGCTTGTCTAACCCCAGCCTTGTAGACAAGCCTCACTCTGGACAACTATTGACCATTGATGACAAAGCACTGCTCCAAGCTATTCAACAGGAAGCAGCATTCACTGACTGACTGCCAAACTCAGGACTTCACAATTAACTATTTGGCATTTGAAACATCTTGGCTTTTACAGCAGACTTTGAGAGTACCCCATGGACTGACAGAGCAGCAGACACAGAGGAATATCCAAGAGACAACAGGATTGTAATGGGAGATGAAAAATGGATTTTTTTCAGAAATTCTAACAGAGGAAACCAGTGGCTCTGACCAGGTGAAGTGGTTCAACAAGGATAGTTCAAACAAAAATCATGCTGTGTATTTGGTGGAATTTGAATGGTCCAATGCATTGGGAACTGATTGGACCATGGACAGCAATCTCTATGCTGAGCAACTAGAATGGGTATTTGAAGTCCTGTACACTCACTATCCAGCATTGCTTATTCAAAAGTGTACACTGCTGCAGCATGATAATGCTCTGGCATACTGTTTCAGAGTGGTCCAAGGAAAGATAATGAGATGAAGGGGATTGAATCACTCAGCATATAGCCCTAATCTTGTTCCATCTGATTTTCACCTCTCAGTAGTTGGCACATTTTCTGCAAGGATGTTTCTTCAATATGATGTCAAAAATGGGTGATGTGAGTTTTTGGCATAAAAACCAGCTGAGTGGTATTGTTAAGGAATCCACCGACTTGCAGAAAACTGGATCAAGACCATAGCTAACAATAGTCTTTATTTTAAGAAATGACCATGTCTTTGTTTTAGTATCAATAAAGTTTTGTATCTTATGTCTGTGTCTGGGAACTTTTGAATCAACCTGATGATTTATTTTTTTTTTATATATAACATATATACAGTTGACTTGCCTTAAAACCAACACCAGTAAAGCAAATTTTTCCATTGCCTTGGCCAAATGCCATTGTCACAACATCAATTTTTACGCAATAAAGTAAACAAAAATTTTTCCACGATTTGTTAAACTGAACTGTAAATTACATTTACAAACCCCAAGAAATAACCCTATTTCCAATAATAATTGCTTTTTACATTTTTAACATAAACAATAAGTGGACAATAAACAAAAGTGAAAGTGTAATAAATGTTACATTTTAAATAGATTTTCTTCTCCTAGTATGTAAAGACAACTTCTGATTGTAGAGCAATTCAAACATCTAGTTTCAGCAGACCAACTCAGAAAATAGGGATTAAAGTTTAAGGATGCCTAATCCTTTAGATGGATGCAGTTTAATGCAAACACTGCTAACTTACATATGGGGAGTGCATATAGTGATGCTAAGTTTGGCAACTTTGTGCCAAATTTGACTCCTTTTTTTACTATTTTGGCACCAAAAAATATTTTCTACCTTTTCAAAAATCTTCAACAGAAAAAAAGTGTAGCAATGAGAGTTACATAACTTTCCTGGCTGTTATAAGTTTTTATTTTAAAAAAGCTTTTATACAGTGGTACCTCAGGATACGAAATTAATCTGTTCCGAAACTGAGATTGTATCATGAAAATGTCATAAGGTGAATCATTTTTCCCCATATGATTACATGTAAATAATTCGTTCCAACACGAAAAACACACTCAAATTAAAGCTAAGTAGTACATTGAAAAAAAATAACTATAGTAAGGAAAACACTGAAAAATGCATTTTGTAGTTGTAAATGTATAAATAACCATAATAGAATAATAATTGATAAAAAAAAAAAAATAGTTTTATTTGCACTTTACCTTTGAGGATAGACAACAGTGGAGGTGTACACTGGTGGCAGAGGGAGAAGAGAAATGATACTAAATCTTAACTTACATAACATAATGTAACAATAACTTTAAAAAGATAAAAAAATTAGTGTTGTTTTATATATATATTTTTTTTTAAATTTTATTCACTGCTTTTTGCTTTCTTTCCTTCACTTCTACCAGCACTTTCACTAGATAGAGGTCGCTTGGTAAAATATCTATCCAAAAAGATTTGGCTTTGCGTACTCTTCAAAATGTTTCTAAAATGACTTAGGCAAATGTCATTACTCTGAGCAGCAATACGGCCAGTATGAACCTTTTCGGGATGTTTCTTTTCAATAAAATCAGTCACTTTCTGATAATACCTCAAGATTTTCTTTATCGAGAGAGATCCTTCCACAATAAAGCAAACACACAGACTGAGACTGATGAACAGAAGTGAATAAAAAATGGCTCTGCAAACTAATGTAACGTCGTATGGTGAGTTTTTGTTCGTATCGTGGAGCAAAAATATGTTCGAATTTCATGTCGTATCCTGAAAATTTCGTATGCTGGGGCGTTCATATCCTGAGGTACCACCATATTATTAAGCAAAAAAATTTGCATATAGCACCATCTGTTATATCGGATTTTGTTATAAAAACTTTTTAATTACCTTAAAATGGCAAAAAGCTTAATTTTGAAGTTAGGGGTGAGTTTTATAAAACTTGCCCCCTACTTTCAAAATTAAGCTTTTTTCCATTTTATAGTAATTAAAAATATAAAAAGTTTTTGTAATAAAATCTGATAACAGATGGCACCATACATATGTTATTTTTTTGCTGAATAATATAAAACTTTTTTTAAAATAAAAACTCATAACAGCCAGGAAAGTTATGCAACTCTTGTTGCTAGATTTTGATTTGAAGTGTTGGTTAGTGAGTATAGTTGTAAATTATTATTTTTATTTATTTATTTATTTTATATTATTAAAACGATGATTTCTTATGTTTATAAACAAAATATGTATATAAATTTATGTATAATGTATAGATATACCATAACAATTGAACCTACACTTGGTTTAACTCTGTAACTTTTTCATTATTTTTGTAAATTATTTAAATTTTGATGATGTTAAATTAAGGTATAAAGTAGTATTTCTGAGAAAAAAATGTAGAAGTAAAGCTTTGTCTGTACTTTTAACTGTGTAATTGTGAAATATATATTTATATTTTTATATTAAATTTAATAACATTTATTTATTGTTTATGAACAGATGTTATGTTTATACATAACATATATCTTAATGTAGTAAGTATTTTATAAATTTGTGATTGGTATATGGAGCCGTTTACATAGGACACCCTATATACAAAAAGATTGTGAACTTAATAAATTTTATTATTATTATTGTTAATAGTCTATAACATTTATTTTCAGGTGGTCTGGAAAAGCTAAAAACGATAAAGATAATTCTGAATATTTTTTTAATCCTTGTAATGTATTTAACTTGGGTGGTGGTTGCTCACAAGTTACAGTAAGTAATTTTTTATTTATTGTTATTTAAATGATTACTTAAATATTTTAATTGAACAGTAAGTAAAAAGTATTTTTACATTTAAGTTATATAATATTTCAGAGAACGACAAGCTTTGCATTAAACCAAATATATACAAAATTTGGTCTTATGTCTAGCAATTCTAAATATTTTAAGTTAAGTTTAGTAGATGCAATTATATGTTAGTCATCTTGGTTTTTTACCCAGTAATTCTAACCTAATTGCAAATTACCAAATGATTCACTATTTAATCAAGTACATCTTTCTCTTAGTTCCAAAGTGTTTAGTATTAGAGTTCAGTAGAAAAAATCTTTATCCTTGATTTGTATTGTCATAAAATGATTCATTTATCTCTGGCTAGAAAATTAGGAAGGATTTGTTCGAAGATAGAATACAAGGCATTAAGTAATGTATCATCCAAGCTTCACAAAACATTGGGATTTTTTGTAGTTCTAATTTATTCAAATTTTATAAAATTTAAATTTCTTGAAAACAAATAGGATATAAGATATGAAGTTTAGGTGTCATTCAACAAATAAAAATAATGTAATAATTAAGTTTTTTTCCAGTTTGTCATGGTAAGCTAAACAAAATTATTGATCCAGTTTATATTTGGTTGGGAACACATATATCTCTACTTAATGGTGTAAATACTTATGTACTTTTTCCAACAAAATAAAAAATTTTTAATACTTACAACAAACATTAATATTACATATTTGCTTAGATTTTATTTATGAAATTATTCAGTTATTCAATAATCTTGATATACATAAAAATAATGATTAATATCTGAAAAAAACAAAAAGAAAAATTAGAATATAAAAGATTTTTATTAGTCCTATTACAATATCAGAATTATAACTGCATGGAAACATACCAATAATAATACTTTAGATCCAGATAACGTCATTTGACTTTTGATGCACAAATTTCATTAATAATTATACTTGTCATTTTTATCAATTTTCAGTGTTATATATATAATTTATTAGAAAAATAGACTATAAAATTCCAACTTAAAACTGTTTATCCAATGTAGAAAGATCAATGTGAGATTCCATATCCAATCAAGCAGATAATAATATTCCCACTTTATAAATACACTAGACTCTTGCTAATCTGGTCATTTCTTCCAGAGATGCCAGATTACATTCAAATCTTTTGAAAGATCTGTTTGAAACCTCTGCTCACTTTTTGAATAAATTGGTTCACAAAGAATTTCAAACTTATAATTGCACTGATTGCCATACAATAACTTAGTTACCAAACAAGCTACTTGGCCAGAGCTGGCCACAAATTAGAGAGACAGATGGTCATATACCTCCCATACCCTATACCTCCCAAGGAAGGAAGGATGTGCCTAGTGCTCTTATTAATGAAATTTGTGCAAAATAGAGTGAAGTACAAAGTTTTGTTGAAAGGTATCACTCTAATAAAACAGTAGCAAGCTGTGTCATTAATCTTTTCAATGAAAATACTCTGTCTCACTTTTATAACATTGTGAAATGTAGGCAAAAGTAAATCTCATTAGATAGGTTTTTAGTGAAAAAGAGACCTAGTGAGTTCCAGGCAGAATCTGCTAGTAAGAAGCAGAAAATCCAGGAGGTAAGAGAAAAAACTGAAGTGCAGTTACCTGATGATGTTATGGAGGAGGACTTCCCTTCAAGAAATAATATCCCTTCCCTTCTTCCACCTCCTTTTCACCCTCTACTTGTGCTATCAAGACTTCTCAGCATAGATAAGGATCAATAAAATTGTCTCTCATTTATAACTTTATTCAGTTGGTATGTTGTAGTATAACATTACATTGTTTCAAATGCATGATGAACTCAGGATATTTTTCTTCCAAATTATAATTAGAAGTTCAGACTATTTACAAAAAAATTAATTTTTGAGTCTATCAATTCTTCCTTTTCACACACCATAGAAGTTAATTTCACACACCATAGAAGTTAATTTCACAACCTATTGTTAATTGTTTTTAATGAAGTGATTTCTTCAAACAAATGTAAAAGGTGTACTTCTATGGTGTGTGAAAAGGAAGAATTGATAGACTCAAAAATTAACATTACATTGTATTTGTAGGCATTTTTATTCATGAAATACAGCTAAAAAGGTTAAAAGAAAAAAGGCTTTATTTTGGAGTCCGTAATGGATTAATACATTTTATATTGTTTTTTTATGGAAAAAATTTGTTTCAGTTTTAGAACAACTTTTAGGAACGAATTATGTTCAAAAACTGAGACTTAACTGTTCTGAATGTGTATAGTCCTAAAGCCTACCTAGAGCAATGAAAGGTATCACCTATTGCCATCCTTTGATACTGACATTTTGGTAAAATAACTATGAAATTACCAACAAACCAGCAATAACACTTCAAAAACAAATGTTTTCTACTGTCTTCAATGGTCATCATCATATTTTAATTCCTACACCAGTAGTGTTGGTATGGTGGATGATAATACTGACATTTTGGAATCAAACAGGCAAATAATACAGTGTGAAGACACACAATTCTTACAAAGAAACTAAGCCCAAGTAAATAGGAAAACAGGAATGACATGATTTAACATTTTTGTGAGAATAGACGTACACAGGTGATTACACTGGAGGTATGCCAGATAATTGAAAGGATGGGTTATCAAAGGTCAGATTAGCAAGAGATTGTACTGTATTACATAACATAGAATCATATAATGTTGGTTTAGCTTACAGGATGCATTTACTTGGATAACTTCAGCCAGTTTGTTGTTTAAGTTATTATACATTCATACATGCATACATACATACATACATACATACATATATATATATATATATTTCTTTATATTTATATACAGTGGTACCTCAGTATATGTCCAATTCGGAATACATCCTGTTTGGACGAAACAAATTTTGCTTAGTATACAACTTAATTCAATTATACACGCCATCTATGAACAAGTAGCACTATCGGTGTACTAGACCAGACTAGACGTTCGCGGTGCCACAGTTTATAACTTTGTTAAATTTCTTCTGATTTTAATTTGTAAGTAAAATTTTATTATTTTAATTAATCATGAATCGCAAGAAGGCAAATGAAAAGTAACAGAAAACTAAAAAAAAATGACTAGAATCACAATGAAACTGATAAAAGAGATTGTTGAGAAATATGAAGGTGGCACGTGTGTTTGAGATTTTAACTGTTGCATACCGTATTCTGAGAATGATGATATCAACAATCATGAAAAATAAAGACATTATTAAATCTGCTAACGTTGTGAAAAGAGTTAAATCAATTTGTAAACAGAGATCAAAGACATTAGATCATGTTGAGAAATTGCTTTTGCTTTGGATAACTGAAAAACGTGTGCTGGCGACATTGTATCGGAAGCAATTATTTGCGAGAAAGCTAAAAAGATATATGCTGATCTCGTGAAAAATCAAGCAGGAACTAGCCAGGAAAGTGAGGTGTTTAAAGCCAGCCATTTTTTTTCACATGAGAATGAATTAATCATTTTTACATTACTTCTTATGGGAAAGGTTGATTTGGTATACCTCCAATTTGGTATAAGTCTGAACATCAGGAACGGATTAAGGTCGTATACCAAGGTTCCACTGTATTTATTTATGTATTTGATTTATATTTAATTCATTGGTTATTTTTACATGGTGTATTGAAAATGTTCTGCTTTTGGGACATCTCAACTTTTGATTTGAATTTTGTAATATATTCTACTGAAGGCTATTAGTTTGGTAAATTGATTTCTATGTTGTCTGAAGATGACTTATAAACAAAGTTGGAAACTTCTATGATTTAAAAGTTGTATGCTGGCTGAACTGATTTCTCTGAAACTTTGTACATTTAATTATTCAGGATAGTCACAGAAAGGATATAGACTACTACTTATTTCCAAAACCATTGTTTTAAACTCTTTGATAGTACAGTAGAACCTCAAAAACTCAGCCTAATGTGGAGCAAAGGGTGGCCGAGTTTGTGAAAATGCCGGGTTATCGGAAATGGGGTTAAAAAAAGGATAAGTATGCGTGTTTCCTCAGAAAATATTGTACTGTACTTGTATGTATTGTTTGCTTGAGAATACAACAGAGATTAAACTGCCCAAATACCCTTAAACAAAGAAAATGTACTGTACTTGTATGTATTGTTTGCTTGAGAATACAACAGAGAATAAACTGCCCAAATACCTTTAAACAAAGGAAAAGTACGTCCTTTATGAAGGCATAGAGCCTTTACTACATGAAGATGAAAATTAATGAATACACTGTGTACAGTAATTTACCTGATAAGACAGACCTCAGAAAAATACTTTATGAGGCATAAAACTGTCTATAATGAAAATTAATTAACTAAGGATTTTTTTGCCCTGCCAGGGTGTGGCCGAGTTATCCGGAGTGCCGGGTTATCGAGTGCTGAGTTTTCGAGGCTCTACTGTATTAATATTGTTTGCAGGAGTTTACATCTGGGCCATGTTCAGTAATGCAGAATACCAAAGTTAGAATTCTGAGTGGCTTAGTGGGCAGAACTAAGTATGTTCTGAGCATCATTGAACGATTATTCTGTTAGACAACTGGGCAAAATGGTGGACAAAGTTAAAATTATGATTGTAACAATTGTCGCAAATGAATTAATGAAGCAATTATTAATTGTAATCAATGAAATGGACTGTTATCTTTTGTTAAAATGTATTCGGAATCTGTTATACTGACGTATGATAATTTCACATTTTGAAGTCATTTTAGAATGAGACAATAACTTTGTGATTGTTATAATAAAATACGTTTAGACCAACACCAACAGCAATCTTGTAAATTGTACAAAGAGATAAAAACAATGACATCACTAGCAGAAATTAGTATAGATAAAAGAAGCTAAACTAGCTAGAATTCTAGTGGTGTCAAGCAGTAGTTAGAAACAAGTTCAACATCTCAGCATAACTAGACTTAGCCAGAAATTTGTATTACTGAACATGGCCCTGGTTCTTATCAGGTCTTTAGCATGAATATGAAGTTTTTGCCTAGAGGCCAGTGGATATGAAGTGAATGATGAAATTTGAATATAGACTAATACAGGTATACCTCGCCTTGCGTCGGTAATTGGTTCCAGGAAAACGACTTAAGTCGAAAAACGACGTAAGTTGAATTTACTTGTCTCTGAATCTACTTGTCACTAGGCTAAACCATAAGTTACTATTCTCAGTTCTGTATTTTATTTATTAATGCATTTTTAATAATATATGGTTAATAAGAATCTATTTTAAGCTTACAAACAAATAAATTTCAGTTTTTAATAGAGTACAGAAAAAAGTAATCTAAATTTACGAATGCATGTACTGTTCTGTAAATACAGTACATACTTGTAAATGTATATATTTTAATATGATTTTATGTGCTTTAAACGCTTTTCTAGTGATATTACGACTTCAATATTTGTGGCGGACGGATGTAAAGTCGAATAAAATGACTTAAACTTGATTTTTATTTTGACAAACGACGTATAATCGGGAACGACGTAACTCGAAACGACGTAAGTCGAGGTATACCTGTATTGTGGTCATTAAGGCAATAGTGAACATCATTGAGCCAAATGGAAACTTCCATCATGGTCAAATGAAATTCGATTGATCGGATCTGTTGTTTGAGCAAAATGTATACAATACTGAACTTATGAGCATTACCATTTTTACTTATCTCAAACTTTCTAGAACTTCTTTCAATATAAAATTGTTTTTGGTCAAATTATGCTGCATTGGAATTTTAGTTTAAATTTTTGCATTTTTGCATTATCTGAACAGAATTTTGAAGATTTTAGTTTTCCATAAAATCATGATTTATACATATAACTAATTTCAAATTAATTTCACAAGAATGTTGTCTTTATAATTATACTATATGGGAAATTTAGAATAGATGAGACAGAGAAGTTTAGAACAATTTCATTTGTCTCATAATAAGATAATGGTGTCACACAATAAATTTCTAGGGAATTGACTCATTTACTGTAAAATTTCATTTAAAAATTTTAGCAAAAGTCAAAGTTAGAATAGTGAAATTTGAAATTTTTTTTTGCATATTTTGTTGATCTGAGAAATAATTTGATTTAGAACTACAAAGAAATAATACTATTAGCTGTAACTTCAGTTCTAATGTCTATTATCCACCATTATTTTTTTGAACACTGAGCACATGACTTTTATTTTATCACTGTTTAAGTAATGTGACTCTAGATGAAAAATCAAACAGATTGAACTCTCTCATTTTTCTACTTCACAATTGTCATGTTGAATGATTACATATGCCAATATGTCAAAAATTTATTCAAACTAATCTAACATGTTCATATTTCATTTTGGGCATGCATTAATTTATTTAATAGGTATATTGTTCTCCCAAGTGAAGGCCATGCATAGCAGATAGTAGCGAGGTTGAGGCCTAAGTTTTAAATGCGAAAACATGTACGTTGGACATTCAGCGCCACTTTCCTGTAAGCCTAGAAGTTTGACAATGGTTTTTGGAATGTCAAGCATAATTCCACTGACTATCCAAACACCATTGTCAAACTTCTAAGCTTACAGGAAAGCAGTGCTGAACATCTGATGTACATGTTTTTGCTTTTAAAACTTTGGCCTCAACCTCGCTAGTATTGTATATAATTGATTAGAATGAAGAGTATGATTAATGAATGGAATATAATGGAATTCTATACTATAATACAGAATGAAGAAATCATAAAATAAAAATTGAATTTCTCTTCTGTAATATAAAAGTTTAACTTTATGTAAATTATACAAAGTCTCAGTTATTTTGGTTTCTATCTGTTTCTTATTGGGGTCCTAATAAGAAGTGAAAAATAAGATTTTAGCATAATTTTTTTTAGCTTTTCTGAGATTAATATTGATCATGATTATTGTTTAAAATTTTGTTTTTTTATATGAGTTATTAAGATCTATTCTAAACTTATTTTAAGTAATTATTTTATTAATAATAATAGAATTTTGATTGCTGATGTATTTGTACGTACTGTACATATATTTAGGTATGCCAAAAACAAGGTAATGGTTATTATCCTCTTGGAAAATCAGATATGTTGTTTGAATATAACTATACTACCAACAGATTAGAAATGAAGTATCGAGTAAGTGAAAGGTAAGATTTATAATTAAATATAAATAATTATAAATATCATATTTTAATGATATCAAATTACTTTTTAATATCCTTTCAAACTTGATTTTTTAGTAGTACAGGTAACCCCGTATAACACGGCACTTCTATAGCATGGATTCACTCTAACACGGTTCGAGAATTGGTACCATCCCCCGTATAACACGGTACTTTTATAGCACGGATTCACTCTGACACGATTCAAGAAATGGGTAAAACCCTCGTACAACATGAAATGTAATAAATTTTTACATACTTAAGTACTAATAGTTCACGAAAATTATTATTTTCGTGAACTATTAGTACTTCAGCGTGTAAATTTTTTTTTCTCGTCTCCATACACATGGTTTTTCGCAAAAATTGTTTCAATTTTGCCATATCTCGACGCTTCTGCTTCTGGTGTTGCCAGATGTTTTTCCGTTATTCCATAAGTGCTTAGCACCATATAAGGAAATTTATAAAGATTTTTTAACTAGAAGCAAGCAATCTAAAATTACATACACTTTTTGCAAAAGGTAAAGCATGAATCTGAAAATAATAATGCAGAAAAATGCTCAGAGGATAATGATAACTTGCCAAAAATAAAACGCTCTCGGTTAATAGTGCTTTTAGTGATGACAAAGAAAACATTGTTTAACTTATATTAATATGTATCACTTAAGAAAATTTTAATAGAGATATTTATCTTAATTATGAAAATATAGTAGCATGCTTTTTAATTTTTGGAGCCTAACCCTCCTTTTCGTACTAGTTCTTTGATTCGCATAACACGGCAATTTTTTGGAACGTAACTACTGTGTTATACGGGGGCTACCTGTACATACATTTTAAAAAGATTAATTAAATTACATCTTTTATAAAGCTATTTTCTTAGGAAAAATCTTTCTGAATACTAGAACTAAACATCATCAGAAAAAGAAATTAACAGTTTTTATCAATACCCATAATTAGTTATACAGTAGACCCCCTATAACATGGTAGATATGTTCCATCTTTTATGAATTTCATGTTGTACGAGTCCTTAAATACATGAGCCAATCACAGCCTGGAAAGTATGCAGTTTATGGACTACGGCTGTTTGAAAGGTTTTCTTCCATAAAATTAATCGATTCTAGACTAATTTGACTTAACATTTCCAAAACACGTTATAATTTTTTGGGAATAATCCATATAAACTATGCTATAAACAAAAAATTGTAGTATTATTTACCAAGTGTGCCCCATTCAACGACACCATTGCTTAAGCTTGTTTTCGTCGCGGAGCAGCGCACCAAACGGCAGACACGTTATCTGATAAGTTATTTTTCTGTGAAAAATTTGCTGAACTTTGGAGACATCATTAATATAAATATAATTTTTATGGCTGTTAAATAATAAATGCTTGAGTTTAGATGAATGTTGAGTTTAAACGAGCAGCAGACCTACCAAAAGTAGGTCTGCTGCTCGTTTAAACTCAATGGTTTGTGCAATATCTGCTATTGGTCTAGATTGGAGCAATCCTGTCACGACACGAGTTGGCGATGGCATTTTACCGTATTTTACAAGTTTCTTTTGGCATGTTTATACGGATACAGTCACACAATTTTTTTGCCATTATATACGAATCCGTATTATATGAACCTGTTTTATAGGGGTCTACTGTAATTGTTTAAAATATAATAAGATTAAAATAATGAAAGATAAAATGTTGATAAACAGTAAAATCTCTTTTCTCTTTATTAAAATATAAACTAGCAGATGAGCCCAGCATTGCTCAGGCAAAAAAAAAATAACAGCAAAGATTAAGATTATTAGATTATTACATAATTCTAACTGTTCTATTATATTATAATATTTGATTTATATTTACAAAGGTTATCTTATGTAAAGGTTTATCACATAAAGTGCCCAATTTATAACATTTTAAAAATTCTTTAAATTATGTACATTAGAAGAAGAAAATTTTTAAAATGTGTTAGATAGGTCACTCAGTGTGATAAACTCTTAATGTAAGATAACCTTTGTAGTTATATAAATCAAATACTATAATATAACAAACATTAAAAGTATATAAAGTATTTGGTTATTTCAGCCTATCATTGTCATATTTTTCACGATATTCAGAGGGTACAAAATGGCACAATTTCATTGATCAAGTAAACACCAATTGAAAATACAATATTTTAAAAAATTTAAGATATTATATTTTAATATCATATTATAAAATATCATAAAATTTAAGATATTGTATCATATTTTTTTCTAATATTAGCACTTACAAACTGTTTCATTCACAGCTGAATATCAAATGGTAATCAGCCAGTCAATCAAATTTTGCAAAAAATGGACTAAATGTTTAAACTCTGCATCCTGGAAAACATTGTTTTGTGCTAGCAAGTAACCTTGTATTATGCAATTTTCCTATTCGAATGCCACCATACTGCTGGTGTGATTAGAAAGAAAGGATTGTTGGGGAATGGGGTTGAAGTAATTTTACCAATAGTAGTCAGTAGTTGATCTCCTTCTGGAAGAGAGAATGGTCAACAATTACTAATTAATATTGGTCTACTATTAATTAAAATTTGAAAAGTGATTCATGTTGGATAGGTCGAGATGACCCCACACATGATCAAAGTTGCTAACCTTAATGGCCAAAAGACTTCATATAAAACTTGTTTAAATAAAAATCTCTTGTAAAAAAGTGAGAATAATTGCTTTTATGTGATGATAAAGGGTTTATATTTTTGAAACAAATTGTATAAACTACATAATAATGATGTTCTTGTATATATTGTGTTTACAGAAAAATTATTTGGCTGCTATTTGAAAAGTTGTAGACCTATAAATTTTCAGTCTTCTGTCTGTCCTTCCTTAATCTCTAGAACGAAGTCAGATAGATGAAAATTGAGACCAAATATAGTAGAACCTCTATTATCCGGATTTTCGATTATCCGGATTATTCAAAATAAACAAAAATTTTACGAATTTGCTGATTTGCACTTGGCGAATTACAACACTGTTTATGTACGTGATGGAATGCATAACATTTTTTGTTTCAACAACGTCTCACCCCGCACAGTGGTCGTAAACTCTTAAATATATTTTGTGTCGTAATAAACATATAACTTGACATACGTATTTATAAATAATTTATACTTAAATTACATCATTTCTATAACCAAGGGCAGCGTAAGGCATGGGCAATGTGGACCACCACCTATGCCTTGCGGTCCGAAGGGCCTCGCGCCTTGAAGATTTATGCATTACTTAAAAGCCGAGAACACGACGAAAAAATTTTATTCGTCATAAAACGATAAATAGTTTGTCAAATTTTTATTCATAAAAATGCAGTTTCAACTGCTTTTTATTTTATAAAATCCGTCTTCTTGAGCCGCCAGAGGGCATTTTAAACAATAGCTAGTCTGTTAGCACCGGTCAGTAGTAGTCCAAATTCAATAAAACATTTGTTTCTTGAAAATTTAATCACGATTTAAATACAGTATTTATTTTTAATCTTACCGATATGTCATCGAAAATAAAACGTGTTGTATTATCATTAAAAGACAAATTAAAGTATTTGTTTCAATTATCCGGATTTTTCCTTACCCGGACTACCTTCATTCCCAATTAGTCCGGATAATCGAGGTTCTACTGTATTAGCTTAGGGCAGGAGGTTCAGATTAACTGTTAGGGGCAGTCAAATGAAAATGAGACAAACTATATAACAGTTGTGGCAAGGAAGTTGGTAACGAGGTAGGTGTGTATATAGAAGTGCCCTCTATTAGGAATCAGGAAGGAACAGTGTGAACATTCACTGCTGTGCCATTTGTCTGTTAGACGTGCTCGAAGTGAGGTCTGCGAGTCGTGTGTGCATCCAACATCACTGTGAAGGTCCGCTGCTTGTTGACTTTCTGGAATACAGCGCCACAATTAATGCACAGCCGTACGTAGAAACTTTGCAAAAATTGAAACGTGTCATCAAATCCAAACACCCAGGAATGTTAACAGACAGCATCATTCTGTTGCAGGATAATGCCCACCCACATGTTACCAAGGTTGTTTTGACTATGCTGCAGAAGTTCCCAGCGAAACTTCTGCAGCATAGTCCATACACATCCTCCATACAGTCCCGATTTCTCTCCATGCGATTTCCATATTTTTGGAGCCTCGAAGAAAGACATTTGTGGCTGTCAATTTGCTTCAGACAAAAAAGTGCACGCCTGGGTACAATCATGGTTCTGTAGGCAACCGCAAACATTTTCTATGAAGGCATTGATCGTCTTGGCTCACAGTGGGATAAATGTATTAATAGTTATGGCAATTACTTTTGAAATAATAAACAGTTTACTTACTTTTTTCCCATCTGTTTCGTTTTCATTTGACTGTTCCTAATATATAGGAACATCTAGTACAAACTGGAAGTCACATTACTTCAATTCACAATTTTCCCCTGAAAGAAGTTAAATAGATCACTGGTACAACTCTATTGCTAACAGGAAAAATATGATTACAGGGCAAGACACCACTAAAAGAATTGAAAGCATTGTGACAAAAATTTGCATCCCATTGTTAGAATTATTTTGGTTTATTTTGGTTAAAGCAATGTGACATCTGCTGATGGGGATGCATTCCGGGAAGACTTTTATAGGAAGCTAGACCCTATTTAGATATTACTAATGTGAAGAAAACCCAGAAAACTGCACATATCAAGCCCATTGGCCATGTCCAAATCCACAACAAACTAACTATCAGTGTTCAGTGGTTTTATCCACTCGGCTACTGGAGGGCGCTTATTAGAATTAAGAAAGTACTGTTCAGAAATTAAAATTTTATCCTTTTTTGTAAGAATTATATTTAGTTTATTATTTTGTTAAATTTTTTGTTAATAGATGGCACTACAATGTAATCAGCAAATCAAATGTAAATAGAAATTAATTGATTTACAAAATTACAGAAATTCAATAAATATTTTGGTGTGGGATGTATGACATTATCTAAGTTAGAAGTATGTGAACATAATGGCAAGTTTCATAGCAATTGGTCAAATGGCCTGAAAGTATATACAGTCGACCCCCCCTATAACACGGTAGATATGTTCCGTTCTTTATGAATCAATTTTGTACGAGTCCTTGCCAATCACAGCCCGACACATGTGAATTTTACGGACTATGGCTGTTTGAAAGGTTTTCTTCCATAAAATTAATCAATTCTAGACTAATTCAACTCAACATTTCCAAAATATGTATAATTTTTTTGGGAATAATCCATATAAACTATGCTATAAACAAAAAATTGTAGGATTACTTACCGAGTGTGCACTGTTCGACATCGCCATTGCTCAAGCTTGTTTTCTTCATGGAGCAGCGCACCAAACGGCGGGCGATTTCTGATAAGTTATTTTTCTGCGAAAACTTCGTTGAACTTTGGAGACATCATTAATATAAATAATTTTTATGGCCATTGAATAAGGAATGTTTCTTTCACAAGAAATGTATAAAATTACAGTACTGTATTAGACTTACGGTACCTAATTTACATACTGTACAGACGATAGTAAACAACTTACTCGCCTAAACTCTCCGTAGCGTGGCGCTGGACGGCAGAAAGTATATATATAATTATAATAAAGTTACAATAAATTAAGTTAATATATAATTATGTGTACAGTACCTAATTTATATATAATACTGTACAGACGATAGTAAACTCAATTTACCCGCCTAAATTCTCCGTAGTGTGGCGCTGGACGGCAGAAAGTAGTTCGGCTGCCCAATGACGTTTTACCAAATTATAGGAGTTTTTTACCGAGTTTTGTACTGATACTGTCGCAATTTTTTCGCCGTCTTATAGGAATCATAATTATAGGAACCCGTGTTATAGGGGGGTCTACTGTAGTATGTATACATATATAGATTATATATAGATTAATTGACAATTAGTTTCTAGTTTGTTACATCTGTCTGATTAATTTTATATTCTAGTCACAGTTTAATTTTAACCAGCATGCTAGCTATTTAATGAAAATACGATATATATAATTTACAAAAGTCACAAGTTTTTTTTAAATATATATCAAAAAATTTGTGACTTTTGTAAATTTTTCTATAAAAATACATTGGAACAGCTGTAGGAAAGTATATAAGTTGAAAAAAAGTTGAAAGAAAAATGAAATTCAATGACACTGCAAATCCAAACATAAATTTGTCTACGAAGGCCTCACACCGATAAAATTGTGCCACAAACAAAATCTCCCCATTATACATGAGTGTATTTAATTCACAATTATATGAATAGAGTATATGCTAAAAATTATTTCTTCCTAGGATATTTTTCAAGTTTTACTGCTTAAATAGTTTGACCTGAGCTTTGTAAGATATATAATATTGAATTTCAGTTTTTTAAAATATATATTTATATAACATATTACTTAAATTCAATTTTTCTAACTTTGACAAAATTATCTGTAAAAGCATAATTGATTTACATTTTATTAAATTTGAATAGAATTTAGAAAATGAAACTTGGAAAAAATTTCTATTATATTTAGATTTGATATTTCAGACTTACGGAAGTTACTCTAATTTGTTCTGATGGACCTACAAAATTTGAAGCTTATGGAGAAACTAATCCAGGATTATCTCTGACTTATGTGAGAGATTTTTCTTTTAGTATATAATAATTTTAATTTAAATATGCTGTACCTTATGTACGGTGATATAAGTTTTTTGGTACATTATCATATTCCTCTAAGAAAAAAATAAACTATGAAAAATAGTTTTATGTCATTCATTTTTGAAATAACAGATAATGGCACGCTAGCCAATTAATCTGATGAATTGATATATCTACATAAGTTTTATCTGTATGTTTAATTAACTTCACAATATCTTTCCAATATCTTAACTTCACAATATCTTTCCAATGCACTTCAATATAAGTATGTATGAATTACCTATGAATATGAAAAAAACAAACTATTTGTGTGAGAAAAGTATAGAATAATATAAAAATGGAAAATGTACTTATATTATGTGACATTAACTGATACATGATTACTGATATGTGATTTACAGATGTTTAGAGATAGCTAAGATGGGAGAGATAATAAAGCAATAAAAACAGGAAAAACAAAGAAAGGCAGTTTAAAAAGGCCGAATGAAGTTTGGTAGAATACAAAATCTCAAAAAAACAAAATGGAATTTGTTTGTAGAGAAAGAGGGATTGTATTTACAAATAACAGAGAATTTTACAATAATGTGCAATTTTTTTTCCAACCTGGATGCTACTGTATTTCATTCCATCAATTAGTAAAAACTTCTGGGAAGAACACTGGTTTAAATTGCTGGCATTACATTAACTGTTGTTAGAGTTGGTAACAGACAATATGAATGAATTATATATTAATAATAATTACTACTACAAGTCGACCCCCCTATAACACTGTTGATAATTCCATTTTATATGAATTCCATGTTGTACAAGTCACTTAGATTTTACAAATACGTTTGCCGGGCTGTGAACGGCTCATGTATTTGTAAAATCTAAGTGACTCGTACAACATGAAATTCATATAAAACGGAATTATCAACAGTGTTATAGGGGGGTTGACTACTACTATTAATAAATCTTAAACACATTAATTTATAATTTATTTTGTATACTAGTACATTCTATATATTAACAGGACTTATTATACTGGAATTATGGATGCAGATATTTATCAATAGTCTTACAGTTAATAAAGAACACTATTTTTAAACTGTAAGACTAAATATCTGCATCCATAATTCCAGTATAATAAGTCCTGTTAATATATAGAATGTACTAGTATACAAAATAAATTATAAATAGTGTAAAAAAAGGACAAAAAGGCATAATAATAATTAAATACTTAAACACATTAAATTGTTCTAACATATCCTTTTAATTGATGAAACCTAGATTTCCTCTAATTGTAGTCTTATTTACTTGCTTCACATAACTAATGACAATGGTTGTTTAATAAAATTTAGACAAGTTTTAAAAGTAACTATAATAAATTGAATCTGGAATGTACTACAGTTTAACCCGATTATAACGACATCGGATGTAACGATAACCCTAATATAACGTCAAATTTTTATCGGTCCCACGATTTTACTATACTAGATAATGTTAAAAAACCCACTTGTAACGACATGAAACCCTGTTTTAACGTCATATTTGAAGCACTTTTAAATTTACAAAATTAAATTATAAATTTTATTTATCAAAGAAAATACTGTGTTCAGTCCTAGGGTCAGAGTCCGCTTCCTAGAACGATTGTGGGTGGTACTGTCACCNTTCAATTTTTCTTTTTTTTTTAATAGTAATTTGCTATGCACGGATCAGATCTGTTTTAAGGAATATCATTGTCCAATGTGGAACCAACTTTCAGATTCAAAAAGTTTGCTTTGATGATTTTTTCAACCAAAAACAAAGCAAAGTTTTGTAAGACACTTTGATAAAAAGCTCTCTCATTTTTATTATCAATGCTAAAATGGTAAGGTAACTTTTTACTGTGATATTACTTATTGCTTTCATTAACTGCATTATTACTAAAAATGTATAGTCTTTGTTATTGATATTCGGATATATTTTAAAATATTTGTTTTCTGTAAATTTTTTAAAATAATTAATCTTAGCAATATCAGAAGTTCCAGTAAACACTGAATACTGTTTCCATATATCACAATAATAATTTAGGGAAGTCATTTCAAAAAATCTCAACATATCTTTTAAAGTTCTTACGAATTTTGGACACATTAAAATTTTCGTAACCTACTACCTACCTTTTATTCTTTAAGATGTCTACTCCCAACTTTGTTATCAATCATTGTTTAAATTCCATTGGACCTGATGGTATTGCTATATTTTAATATTTATTTATAGAAATATATGAATGTTTACGGAAAAGCATTGCATTTATTTTTATTTTGGTAACTCAATATTGTCTTTAAAAAAATTAAAAGATTTATGAGACAGTATTTGATGTTTCATTTCATAATTTTCTTAAGTTTTGAAAATCATTTTTAACTCTCTTATTAGATAAAGATATTTTAATACAATAATGTGCATTTGACTGTAAAATCTTAAGGAACTTGCAAAAAAAGGGAAGGACAATTACAAATGATATTAGATGAATGCAAAAGAAGTCTGGAAAATAGTTCAAACTGTTTTGGGATAATCAGTCATCTGTTGTTAGACTATGATCTAATTTACCTTCAATACAGTGATTGCATTACAGTATTTATTGTTCAAGAAAGTTAACAATCACTGAGCATTTAATTTGTACCCAAAATACAAATGGAGTCTCTGGATAAACAAGTTTTCACTGTATTTCATACTTATAAATTTATTAAATTCAGCAAGCAGGTAAAATAATATAAATTGTCAAAGAATTTTTAGCCAAAACATCTTGNCCATTATCGAAACTTGACAAATAAAAATTTTTTATAAAAAATTTTTGAAATTTTTAATTACATCGTTGTAAATTTAGACATAATAATGTAAATAAAGTTGATTTAAATATTTAGTTTGCACTTTTATACATACGATATTAAATTAGATGAATTTTATAATAGATTCTTAAATAGGCTTGATACTTTTATGGGTCTGAAATTATGACCCCGCAGATAACGACACTCGGTTATAACGTCAAAAAATTGCCGGTCCCATGGATGACGTTATAAGCAGGTTTAAACTGTATATATAAAAAGGAGAGTGAAAAATGAACTGAACTTTTAACACTGGTATTTTTTTTCTTATTTTTATAAAGTATAGCTACATTAATATATATAAAAATAAATGGTAGACAAAGATGATAATTTTTATTTTAATATTTCCTTTACCAAAATGTTAAAAAATTAAAGTATTATATCTTATTTAATTACTACAATTTTATGTGGATAACTTGTACTGATGTGCATCTTGCAAACAATTGCCAGAATGGAAATAAATTTTTGTAACTCTCATCTCTAAAGTGATCATTGAAATATGACACTTTTTAGTGTTTGGTTTACAAGGTATTGTTTCAAAACATTGTTTTTCTACTACAGTTTCTTTCATTTCATTGTGCATATGTAATTATAAAATAAGTGAAACAAGAAACAAACTACAGTGATACCTCGGTATACGTCTGCTTTAGAATACGTCCAATTTGGAATACGTCCTGTTTGGACGAAACAAATTTTGCTCGGTATACGACTTTTGTTTGGTATACGACATAATTCAATTATACGCACCATCAATGAACAAGTAGCACTATTGGTATACTAGACCAGACTAGACGTTTGCGGTGCAACGGTTTATAACTTTGTTAAATTTCTTCTGATTTTAATTTGTAAGTAAAATTTTATTATTTTTATTAATCACAAATCGCAAGAAGGCAAATGAAAAGCAACAGAAAACTAAAAAAAATGACTAGAATTACAATGGAACTGATAAGAGAGGTTGTTGAGAAATACGAAAATGGCACGCATGTTCAAGATTTTAACTGTTGCCTACCATATTCTGAGAATGACGATATGGACAATCGCGAGAAATAAAGATATTAAATCTGCTAACGTTGCGAAAGGGATTAAATCAATTTCTAAACAGAGATCAGAGACATTAGATCATGTCGAGAAATTGTTTTTGCTTTGGATAACTGAAAAACAGTGCTGGGGACAGCATATTGGAAGCAATTATTTGTGAGAAAGCTAAAAAGATACATGCTGATCTCACGAAAAATCAAGCAGGAACTAGCCAGGAAAGCGAGGTGTTTAAAGCCAGCCATTTTTTACACGAGAATGGATTAATCATTTTTACATTACTCCTTATAGGAAAGGTTGGTTTGGTATACATTCAATTCGGTATAAGTCTGAACATCAGGAACAGATTAAGGTCGTATACTGAGGTTTTACTGTATTTGAGATATAAGCTCCTCAACTGCGTGTCAAAAACATATGGCCATTGAATGAAAAAATTTTCTATCCTTTGCTTCTTTCCTGTTTTGTTTATCAAAAGTAATAGTAAATGCTAACATAATCTAAAAAATTGAATAGAAAAAATTTTAATGTCAAAATATATGGGTTCAAAAGTCACTTGCATAACTCTTAATCATTGTAAATAACATATATAGTAAAATCTGTTAGTTTTTAATATTTTTCTGAAAGTTGTTACATAGAGAGGAATAGATTCCAGAACTTATCAGTTGTCATGATAAAGTTCAAGCATGAGTATTTAATAATATCAGTTAAAACATGGATTGACATGAGGAAATGAATGAGAGCAAACTAAAGATGAGGTCCGTCTTGTGGTTTCAATAAAAACTATGAATAAAAATGAAAAATTCTTTTCTTTTCATAAACACACACACACACACACACACGCACATTTTTAAAGATGTGATAAATTTAAACACAGAAAAAACTATTTGAGTTTAAAATTGCAATTTAAATTTGATAGATAACCTGCAAGTTATCCACATAAAATTATAGTAATCTAAATTTAGAAATGTTTAATTATAATATGAGTATAAATTAAAATTAATTCATATATTTTGATATAAATAATTATATGAAATTACTTTTTTTAGCTGATGACACTATATTCAAAGTGTGCTTGCCCAGATGCATGTGTGCAATCTAGTGCAGATGGCTTGTCTACAGGTTCTGTGTTAATCATATTGTAAGTAGTAATTTTTATAAATTAAAAAAAAGAAGTAGTGTAAACTTAGAAGTAACAAGAATAATACAGTGAAATTCTGTTAACCTGGTATCTGATATACTGGCAAACTCAATAAACTGGCACGTCAAACTTGTTATTAGGGATTATTGGTGTACTGTATAAGTCTGGAGTTAACACATCGACTGCAACAACAGGTTAGCTCATATTAACAAGCTGACTCCTGGCGCCATCTATGAGATAACTCTTGTAATATTGTCTGATTGGTTCTGCCTGGTACAAGCTTTCTCATTGTAAATACTTGTAACTGATTAGCGGACATCAGAAATAAGTATGACACATCAATTGGGCATTGTAGAACAAACTATAAAGTGGTTCAAAATGCAATGTGATTTTCCTACCTATGGATTGCCAGATATGAATATTCTCATAGTAAATATACTTCAAAAGAGGCTAATATGTGCCTTTTGTGTGGATTACATATTAATTTTCTGTTATAAAAGGAAAAATTATTGAAGAAATATAGAAAAATAGTAAAAAATATGATATCATATAAATAATTATTATTTTTTATCATATATATTACCCAAATTATCTTGTATTTTGCATATGCAAAAGAAAAGTTACTTCTGACGAAGATAACTCGATCAATATATATATATTTTTCATTTTATAATGTAATGTGGTTTGTGTTTTTTTTTTTTTAGATCTAAACGTTTTTGTTGATATATAAAAAATAATCTTATCTACTTTTGAATAAAATAAAGTATTTTATTTTATTCCAAATTTTTAAAAGATTACAAAAAAGTTATACATACATACTGAGAAATGCTTATATGTTACTTACTGATGGTGTACTCTGAAGCATTTCTCAACACACAGTTTTTCTTCACATGTGACACAAAAATATCTTGTTTCTTCTCTTTTCTTTTTTCATTGTGCAAACTGTACATGGCTTCTTGGTGTTGGCGGTAAAGCTTCTAAGTAATGAAAATTACTATGGACTTTTTTTTTTTGCTGTATTTGGCATCATCTCATCAAGTAAACATGCTATAAATTTTTCTCTGAGTGTTTGACTTTTTATAGAGGAACTGGTTATATTACAAAATAGGATATAGGCATTATGAATATATATTGCAAAAATATGCAAGATAAGTTTTTAAGCCATCTAATTGTTTTTCATAAAGATGAATAATAAGACATATGATATGACTGATCTATTCCAAATATTCCAGCATTGTAATCTTTTATTATGTTAGGTTTTCATGGAAATTTTTCCATTACTATTTCCAAGCTTGTGAATATTAGAAATTTCAATTACATCTCATTTATCTCTCCACTTACATACAATCACATCATCATTATGTTTCCGGGCATATTCATTTTTCTTTATTTTTAGTCACTATATCCTGTGGATTACCTTTCCAACTTTTCTACAAAGTTAGTTCCACATAATATATGTTTTGCACATAGACAAATATTTTCAGTTCATCAGAGTTGTAAAAGTTGTCCATATAGAGTATAATCCTTTATCTAAATAATATTCCATCAAATTTAGTACACCTGTTGCATGAGACAAGTATGGTTTAGGTTTTTCTACTTTACTACAATAAATTTTTATTTATAAAACCAGGCCATTTGACTGACACAGTTTATAAAGTTTGATGCCATATTTGTGCTTTTTATTTTTATATTGTCAGGAAAAAAGTCTTCCTCTCCACAAAACTGCTGATTCATCTATATACAAATTTCTGCTTGGAACATAATTGTTATTCATGATATCCTTGAAATGATTTATAATGGATGTTATTTTGTAGAGTTTATCATCTGTTCTTTCAAATTATATGCAAAGTGCAACATTTGTAATAACAACTTGAATCTATTTCGACTCATAACTGATCACCAAAATTTTGTATTTTATAGATAAAATATAGTATTAGTATTCCAATAATGCTCTACTGATGGTAATGAGCATGGACCCATATGTAATAAAAGTCCTTGAAAAACTTTCATTTCAGAAATATTTGTTCTTCTATTTTGGCATTCTGTTAGATCTTTGCACTTTTCCAAGATTTTTAATTGTTTGTGAAACACACAAATTTGTTTGGTTGACTAATGAAATAAGAAATTCTTCAGAAAAAAAACAGCTGTACTAAATTTTCTATTACAGAATTTGAACAGTATCTTTAGACCAAAATTCTCCTCAAAAATAAAATTAGATGTGTCTTGCAGCATTTTTCTCCAGATATCACTTTCATCTGTTGTTTTTGAAGTATTTTTGTCTTCATCTTCATTTGATGGTTTTGACAACTCATTGAATGGAATCCGATCTTCCTTATCTGAGTCAGACCAGTCAAAATCATCATTGAATTCCAATACACTGAAGTTAGCATTGTACATCTTTTTTATTTATTTTTCTTTTACTTGCTATATTTCAAAAAACACCACTTTAAAAAATAAATTAAAAAACCAACTGTATTCCAAGAAGCAATAGATGAACACTTTATCCAGGGCCCAAAACACTACACTCCACTAACTCTAACTTCATACACAATATAAAATGGCTTGTCATTGTTACCGACAAGAATTTTTATTGTTTTAGTCATGTTTACCAGTTCAACTTCTCTGTCCCTGTGTATAACAAAACAGATAAGCAAGCTCATAAAACCAATTAAAAATGTTAATCAGACAATACACTGACAGAGATAATTCCTTGAATAAACACGTAGTGGATGGCATAGATAGAAAATTTATTGCAGTTGCCAACTACGAGATGTTTCGCATAACTGTTTTTTTTTTTTTTTACCAAATATTAATTATTACTGCCTATTATACATAAAAATAAATATAAAATCTTAACATAACAAATAAACTTTGCATAATAAAAATGGCATCTAAAAAACATTACTGCAAAATGTTCATGGCAGTCAATGTGTTAAGATTTCCATGTAAAAACACTCAACACATGCAGTTATTGGAAAGGTATATGAATTCTCCTTTTAGACATAACAAATGCCAAGATGACATGATGCTCTGCTAAGTAAAACCAATTAGCTCATGCATAATTTTTCTAAAGACTTTTCCAAAGACATTAATGCACAGTTTCATACAATAAGCAGAAATATTTAGAACTTTCAGAATCAATAATAATTATGGAAACAGCTATAGTACATTATTGTTCATATACTTTGATGATTAGAATATGTCTGTATTTACACACAATAAAAGTGTACAAAGCCCAAAGTAAGAACAGTGTGTTCTTGTTTCAAGTCAACTAAGGATAGGAATAGTTTGGAAAATTGAAATGGCATGTTAAACAATCAGTTTTACATGCCATTATATTGGATGGATTTGTACAGTTTTACATGTGAAGATATGTAAAACTGTGTCCAGAGGATAAAAAAAACTGGAAAAACTCCTACCACCCAATATGGCAGTATATTTGATAACCTGGCTCCATGTCAGTTTCAGTGATTCTGGTTAGTGGAATGTCACTGTAATAATTTTCCTTATCAGTTACAAACATTAACTGATAAGGTTTTTCAGATATTATTGAACTTAGATTTAATCAGAACATACATTAATGAATACATTATGCCATAAAGTTGTAATGATATTTCTTTTTATGGTTCTGGATATATCTGCAATTTGTTAAACAAACTTTATCATGTTGTTGTAAATAATAACTTATATGAATCCATCATCATTATTTGTATGTAAATCAATTTTTGATTCAAACTCTAAATTATTTTATAAATATGTTTTAACCATTTTAACTTTTATAATAAATTTTTTATATATATAATTTATTAACCTGATAAGAATGGTTTATTAAAGCTTAATCATTGGGCTTTTATTAAATTTGATCAAAGCTTTCTTGGGAATTTTTCAATTATTTCTCTAAAATAACAAATAACAAATTGTAAAAGAATTGAAGACATAAGAAGACAAATCCTAAAAAATACTCATATTTTGTTTTTTAGCATATGACCTTGTACTGGACATTATAACATATTTTTTTATTTTTTTTAATTAAATTCATCATGTGAATTGTAAGTTTAACATCATTTAGTTCATTAATTCAAACTAACTCAACATCTATTTTGGTACAGAGTCTCTCTTGCTATTTATTTTTTTTTCTTTTAAATATTATTAGTTTCTGTATTAATTTAATAATATATAAGAAAAATAGGATTATTTTTATATTATTCAGTGTATCAGGGAATGGATTACTCTGTCATTTAGACTAGAAGAAAACTCTTGATTAATTAAACAGTTAATTAACATCCCAACCCCTCTTCAGTGCTGTTAAGATTACACAAAAAAATAATAATTTAAGGTTAGTTTTACGACATTGGCTAGTAGGAACATAACTAAAAACGCGAGGTGATGATAACATAAAAATGCTTACTTGACATATAATGGTACAGCATAGATGTATTTTACAAAATTTTTAAATACATAGTAGTATGGTATAGCCTATGATATGAAAAAAGTGGCATAAGGGGGAGGCTGTTTAACATATCATTTTTATGAAGAACTGTATAACATAGAATATTAATTTAAAAAAATATCAACACACACTTACATTTTAGTTAGAATGTATTATTTCCGATACAAAAGGAACATAGTACAAAAAATTTTTAACAACTGGTGTTATCCGTTGTTCGCCTAGTAACAGAATACCGACAAGTAATGTTATATAAACAGTTACCCACATTCCGTACACGGGGGTTGTGATTTAAACAATCTTTAACGCGTGGAGGCGTTCTCTATGAGTTTGTACCATTGGGGGTCTATGGACATGCCTTCTGAAACATTAATTAAGTTTTCTTTAGGGTGTTTTTTGATTTCTATGTGTTCTTTAAATTTTCTTTTATATGTGTCTTTTTCTACATGTAACACTTTTGTATTGTTTTTATTAATTTGGCAATTATAGTCTATTGTGTGGTAGTACCAGGGGGAAGTGTTATGTTTTAGGCGGATGGCTGCCATATGTTCTT